CCCTAACCCTAACCCTAACCCTAACCCTAACCCTAACCCTAACCCTAACCCTAACCCTAACCCTAACCCTAACCCTAACCCTAACCCTAACCCTAACCCTAACCCTAACCCTAACCCTAACCCTTTCTCAGAAGTTTTCACCTTGTCAACGAGAATACAGTTCTTGGGTGAGATGACGTTTTCATGACTTTAGGTTGGGGTTTTGCTTCGATGAGATATGTGATAATCATTTTCCTACTGCGAAGAGAAATTACGTTTTTCGCGCTAGTACCTGAATCCAAGATATCGCCCTCGACGCCACGATTTTTCCGATCAGAATGATATGTTTGATGATAGAATTTCCCGAGTTGACATTGTTTGCAAGCTAGTACCTGGATCCAACATATCGTCCTCGACACCACGATTTTTCCAATGGGAATGATATGTTTGACAACTATACAACGTATCTTGTAAGAATCTGGCATTCAAGCGTCAATATCTTCGCTCACGATGGAGCTAGTACCTTAAAGTTTTGCTGGCCCTACCCTTTCCGGGTTCTCTAGGTCCAGTCCGATTTTCGTCGATTTCCGTCACCCAACCTTTTTTCCGGTGCTACCATGGGGCCTCTTGCTACCATGGGACCTTCCCAGACCCGGCGATCCCTACCGCTTATGGTCTAGTCTTGCCCAAAACAGAGGTTTTATGCCATAAACCCTTCATGTACTAGTAATAGGTCGAGCATAAGTATATTTTTCACTTCAAGCTCAATACAACAATCCTTGCGCACCTTTGGTGATCGTACATCCCCTATCTTACTTCTTCTCCGCCTCCTTCTTTTGCCCAACCTCATCCGCCTTCCTGATAATCTCCGCCACCATATCCATATCACACTCCTCCCTCATCCTACCACTCCACAACAAGACCTGCTCCACACCCTGTTCAATCATAGCTTCAATACCCTCCACACATTCCCATCCCGATGCCGAGGCGGTCTGAAGCAACGTCGTCCAGCGGGGCTTGTAGCACATATCCAACAACACGCCGTTCTTACCCTGCGATACTCCGTTCGTGGGTTCGGTAGGCAACGGCGCCGCCAAGATCTTTTGTGATAACTCGCGAACGCGTTTCTCTGCGTCGGAAACCGGGGGAATATCCGGTACGCACCCAACCACCCAAAACGGTGCCTCCGTGCCCTCCTTCACCCAGGGAAGCTCATCCTCCTCCAAATCCACCGCGACGATCTTGACACCGAGGGACATGAACTGCGCCTTCACCGCCTCCGTTTCCGCGAGATCACGGTTGAGGATGTAGATCGTATTTGCGCCAAAGTAGGTGTGAAGCGCATACGAGCTCGAACGGGTCGTGCCGCCTCCTCCGATGATCAATGCGTTCTTGCCCTTGGGTACCTCTGCACCGGGGAAAGCATGACGGAACCCGTGGAGTAAGGCTTCTCGTACGCCAACGCAGTCGGTGTTGGTACCGACGAGAATCTTGTCGGACCAGTGTTTTGGTGTTGGGAAGTCGGCCGATGGACGGCGGAGGAAGATGGTGTTGCATGCGCCGATGGCGGCACAGGCTGGGGTGATGGCGTCGAGGTGAGGGATGATGGTAATTTTGTGTGGCATTGTCGTCGAGGCGCCGAGGAATGGTTCTTGGGCGAGAGGACCGGGAACGTTGCGTCCGGGATGGTCTGCGCGGCCATTGACGTCAAAGGTATACACCGAGTCGACGGGATCGATCGCAGTCTCGTCCATGTTGAAGAAGTCGGTAAGGGAGAAGGATTCGTAGAGAGTGTAGGTCCATGGAAGGTTGAGGTTCTTGTAAAGCGTCGAGTGAAGGAGAGGGGATAGCGAGTGCGTCACCGGATGACCGAAGAGACGGATCTTGTGGGGGTAGGAGGTGTCGAGGGGGATATCAGGGCCGACATCGTGGTAGATGGGCGGGACGAAGGCGGAGGTCATGATCTAGTCGATGGTATCAACTATGTTAAGTGCTGGCTGGGTTGGAAGGAGGAGAGGGGCGCACCTTACCTTATACCGAAGGCCTTGTCAATCGCAATTGCTTGTCCTCCCTCCCTCGGCAGTTTCACGCACGGACTCTTCGTGAGCGTCGGGCCGGCACGTGATTTGGGGTTCCCCACACAAAGTACACCTCACGGAACGACATTAATCCGACGGTAACGGCAAAGCCAGACGTCCTCCATTGATCCCGAGGAAGGAATTCCTGATGGCGAACGGTACTGACATGGCCGTTGACCTACACGAACTGCACCGTTTCGCGGTCGAACTCGCTGTCGAAGCCGGTGCGCTACTCCGTGATGCCTCCCTGTCCCTACGTCGACCTTCTCAATCCTCCTCCTCCGCAACAGCTGCTCAACAAAAGAAGAACGCAGTCGACTTGGTGACCTCCACTGACCATGCCCTCGAACATCTGCTCCGCACACGGATACACAATCGCTATCCCTCTCACAAATTCCTCGGGGAAGAGTCATACGAGGCTTCCCTTCCCTCATCCGAGCGGCCATATCTCGTCACTGGTGAACCCACCTGGATCGTAGATCCTCTCGACGGCACCGTCAACCACGTCCACCAATTCCCCCTAACATGCATCTCTATCGGTTTCGCGCTCGACGGAATACCCGTCATGGGCGTCATCTACGCACCCATGCTCGACCAACTCTTCTCGGGTGCAAAGGGATGCGGAGCCTACATGAACACGCACTGTCTCCTCCGAGCACCCACATTCGATTCCACGACTTCGTTACCACTCATCCAACCTCCACCACCGATACCGCCAAATGCACCACAAGGATGCCTACTCGCCGTAGAGTGGGGGAAGGACCGAAGACTGAGCGTGGACAGCACTTTGGCGCGAAAGATCGAATCATTCGTTACGCTGGCATCATCCCCCTCCATCGCTCCGCCACCAGGGCCACATACGCCCGGCGCATCGATTCCGACACCTTCGCACACGCCCATACCCACGCAGCAAGATACACCGCCACCAATATTACCAGCCCTGAGAGCACCTGGTGGAATGGTCCATGGCATCCGCAGCCTCGGCTCCGCAGCTTTGGACATGGCATATGTCGCCGCTGGCTCTCTCGACATCTTCTGGGAAGGCGGATGTTGGGAGTGGGATGTCTGTGCAGGATGGGCCATCCTCGTCGAGGCAGGTGGGTTGATTACGACATGTAATTCCCCTCCTGAAGGTGATCCGGATGTGGCTGAGATACCGGAGGCGAGATTGGGGAGTCGCCTTTATCTCGCGGTACGACCTGCGGGGGATGCGGTGAGTGAGAACGGTTCGGGGAGGGAGACGGCCAGGGAAGGGCAAGAGAGGTGTGTTCGGGAGGTTTGGAAGAGGATCAGGGGTTTGGGGTATAGGAGGGACGGAGCATGAGGAATGTATGATATGGGGCTAGTATGTTGGTATTGCTTTGGACATTGCCATTCTCGTAACGGGATGGAGTATCGCTGATGCTATGGAAGTAATAGCACATGATATCCATTACACGACGCAATACGTTCTGCTTATTACGAGTCAATTCACAGGTCCTCTTTTCCAACATTCCGCCCTACTTCCCATTCGTAATCGTACACCTGTGGATCACCTTCGCCTCCTCCTTCCTCTCCACCTCTTCCATCGTCGTCGTCGTTAATGTCGTTGAGCTTAAGGGGGTGGTAGCGGTGGAGGAGGTGGTGAAAGTTACTTGGAGGCCTCAGGGCGGCGGGAAGAACGCCTGAGGCCCACTCGGATGTCTAGTTCGATGGATGACTGCGACAAACCGGCGATTCATAGGCCTATATAGGCTCTTATTGTTGTGATCGCATACGTCGACGTATCCGAATCGTTGACGGTCATGGAGGTTCTCCCGTTGCATCGGTTTCGCTGGTGGAGCGGAGCCTTTGACGCCGTTGGTGACGAGTGCGTCATGATTCAGGATTTCGCGTACATCGTGGTATGGTATACGTAGAAAAGTCGTAGTAGAGTGACGGCGTTGATGGAGGTTAAGGCAACGTTGGAGTAGAACGCATCCGTTTGGGTTATGGACAGAGTGCAGCTTAAATGTATGATATATCATCACGACCAATAATCTCTCAGTACCGTAGCGCTTGTTCGTCCATCACTCGTCCACCGGCAGAACCCCCCTACCATCCCTCCTTCCCTCACACGGGGACACAGACTTGGGATTGACCGTTCAACGTCAATCCCCAACACGGATCGATACGAAACGCACAAAGAATCCCGGAAACCCACTTACGCAACACATCCCGAATGACAATGAAGTCGAATCGGTTTGCTCAGAGATAAGACCTTTGTGGAAAACGTACGTTTTCTCTTTGATTGGTCACAATTCGTCATAGCAAAGATGTGCGCACATCGGCCTCGGACGACGAAGGTCATCAAGCTTCGACATCTCAAGCCTACCCCCAGAGTCTCTAGCGATTCAGCGTGAAGATGACCGACCACCTACACGACATGAATCACCGATAGGCCACAGCATCGCTGGGCGGTCAGACGATGCTCCCCTCAACCCCCTCGACATGTGTCAAGGTCACCACCCTCGACGACATGGACCACGATAGGCTGCACCAAACATGACCGCGACCTTGCGCGACCATACTCATGTTCAATCGTCGATGCCCTCCGGTTCCTCAGGTATGTTACTGCGCGACCTCAACTCTCACTTTGGTACAAAAAGTGTAGAACGTATACATCGTCGCGGATCCTCTAGCCAACCTGGCCTCCCGGGCTTCCATCACAGAAGCGTAGAATAATAGGTCGTGTTCGATTCCTGCGCGAAGGAGCCGATACACGGTAAAAAGACCCCGCAGTGTCGTTCCACCGCCATGTCGATGCATCAACATGTGCGGTTATAGCAGTATTCGCCAATCCGAACCTAAAGATGCATAGCACGGTTCGGATTCAGTCGGCAAGACTGTCAGGTTCCCGGAGAAACCACGACAGATAGCTTGCCAAACCCCGGTTTGCACGGGGCCATTCAGGAGGAGCCTGCATTTCTGCTGAATCACCATCGACGAGACAGAGCTGTTTGTTGCTGAGATTCCATACCCCCTCGTCATGCCTCAAGGTCACCACCCTCGACGACATGGACCCACGATAGGCCACTGTAACGCTAGTCAGGCAAGGAAGAGGAATGACTTACCCGGGTTCTCAAGACACGGCGCGTCACCAGGACGACACGATAGCCTAATACACCGCAGTAAAGCTGGTCAAACAAGGAAGAGGAACGGCTTACCTGGATATGGAGTTGTTCGTTCGGGTTGACGGTTGCAATTGAAGTAGGGGCTTCATCGTTATAAGCACCCCGCCAGATCGCAGGTGTGGGGGTGGGGCGGCAAGCATGGGTGGCAATCATTATACCGGCCGGGTGTCTGGTGGGCCACATGACGTGAACACTCAATAGCCGCCGGTAATATCTCCCTCACCATGCTTGCCTCTCTTGTCGGCTGCTGTCTCTCAATTGCTTAAAGGCGGGCAAACTGATTTTGCCGGACGCCCAGCCTTCAAATTGCCCCTCTTGTGACCTCAATATCCTCGCTCAAGTAACCACGGCATGATTCCCCATTTTATCAAAAAAGCCAATAGATGACCGGCCCGCCTCATGAATCATCTGGCGGAGATGGCGAGCACCTTTACCTCATCGACAAAGTCTTCCCGACCAATAGACATATGGATGGCAGTACATATGCAAGAGTCTCGGTTCTGTGAAGGTTACGTTGACTTCTTCTGGCTGGGAATGGCTAAAATTGCATGCGAAGCATGCTCGGGCAAGCGTGAGGGTGTTTGTTCAGCGCCAAGACTTTCCGGTCAGTAACCTTACAACCCGGCTATGTCCCACCGGCAGGAGTCACCATCGGTGAAGCTTGCTTTCTGCATTATCGAATTCCAGGAATATTGGGGACGAGCGTGACGTCCTTGAACTACCCAAGTAAGCCGTCCCATACGGGCGCTAGCCGATAGGGTCGCGCGACAAGTCCACCTGCACTCGACACCACTTACATCAAATCTTTGGAGCTGAGAAAACGTTGAGCAATTTTTTCCGCCAGAGTCCCTCCGTTTGCTGCGTCGTTACGTTCGAGCACGGTCAATCTCAACTTCGCGATAAAGTTGTCTGTCATGGGAAAGCTCACCGCGGGCGAAAAGAAGCGGCGCAAGCGCGGGAAAGCGGCCGAATCTCATCTTCACAAAATCAAGGAGGATTTGAAGCACCAAGAGGTACAGTCCTACAAGGAGCAGAGACAGCAGTACCATCAGCAACGCAAGGACACGAGAAAGAAGGGTATTCGCGCCGTCCTTAAGAGGAATTGCTTGCCTCGATGATTTGATCTTCGCCATCGAGGAACACCGGGACCAGAAGCAAGACACAGTCCACCACGTTGGCCATGACAAGAGCCCTAAAGATGATCGTGACGGGGACCGAAACAAGAGGCATGACGCGAACCATAACACTGGTCACTCCTGTGACCAGAAGGGGAGCCATGGCATGCACGGGCATGGAGAACAAGACAAGAACCAGAACGGGACGTCAAAGAAGAAAAATAGCTGGGCCCAAAGGGGGGGAAAGAAAGTCATCGCGCGCAAACGTCTTTTGAAGGCGCAAGAGTTAGCCGAGTGTCGCCAACAATGAAGAGGTCGTATACGGCAGCATTCTTGCGATCGACCGGGGAATAAGGCAGTATGTTATGGAGCTGTAAGATAGGGGTTTGATTTTTTTCAAAGTTTGTATGGTGGTTTATGATAGCGGTTTTATTTTCTGTAACGTTTGGGTATCCCAAGATATTACCATTGGCAATCTATTTCTCTTACTATAGGCACGAAAAGGCTACACCACACGGCCTTGATATTCAACCCGGTCTTTATTATGCTTAAGCCAACGCCCACGTGCCAGATTCGCCCGCCCTGTTACCTCCTGGTCGGACGTCTCGTCACGCTCGGCCTCCTTTCGTTTGTCCGTAATAAGCAATGCGGAGTTGTGAATTCGGGATTGGAAACCGCTTATCACCCTCCCGCTCCTCCCCCGCCCCACAGCACAATCCCCGTCTCCTCCCTTACCTATTTCCTTCTCTATACCTTAGTTTTAGATCTCTGGATTGTTCAATCACTGCTTGAGCTGTATGTGTGCAATATGTACTTTCTTTTATACTCAGTATCATACTGGGTACATAAATATTAAGAGATAATAAGACTTGATAATCAACTCCTACGTAGGGTGCTCTGGAAGGACGCACTGGCCTTATACCCTGCGTACGGTGTATTCCATTCTTCCTCCTCCTCCTTTAAACGTCAAAATGCGTTCAATTGCAAGGCGAGCGAAGCAGCAGCGAGAGAGACGGCTGTCACAGGAGAACGGAGGAGAGTGGTTGCGACGGTTCCGGTATACACAGGAAGAGTGAGGATAATAACGAGTGCTTCTTGCGTTATCTCTTAGGGTGATAGGTAAAGATAGCAAAAACATAAAGCATCAACCTCTGCGTCTTGGCTCTAGAGCTGGAAGTTGGAGGTTGATAACGACTTACTGACTTTGCCACCCGTGGAGTTATACGGAGCTGGAGGCCCAAACTTCATCTCACGCCGCCTACGCCTCCTATCCCTCTTGGGCGGAGGCGGTGTTGCAGGCCTTTGCTTTCGACGATCTACACGCCTTTGTTCGACGGGAGGGTCGGGTTCTTCCGTACCCAGGTGTTGCGTCCTTGTACGCTGAGGCAATGGCAAGGTGTCTTCCTCCTCGTCGTCGGCCCTACCTCTAACCAACTTCCTCTTCCTTCCTCCATCATGCGGCTGATCCTGCTTCGGCCTAACGTAGCTTGGGTTTGAATTCCCCTCCCGGCGTCACGTCTAGGCGGACTATGAGCCGTTGTGGGAGGTGGGATTCCGGACCTGGTCTCCTTGCGGGCGAAAGGGTTCCCTTCCGTGGGCACGGGAGCTGTACATCCCTCGCCACGTCGGACTTCATCAAGCCTCACACCGGCAAGAGGAGCAGTTGGATCAACAGTCCTAGTAGCCGGTGCGGGAGTTGTGGCGGAGGAGGACGGAGGAGGAAGGTATCGACTGGGTGGATAGACAGTTGTCTGTACTGACGTCGCCGGTGCAAAGTCCCTTTGAATAAGCTTTCCCACCTCCGCCTTGGCCTGGCTACCCCATGCTTCCTGTCCTCCTGTCTGTACTGCTGAGCCTTTACTCAACTCGCCGAAGAGCATGTCCGTCACCTTCTCGTTCAAGAAACCTAATTGACTTGCGTTGATCCTATCCCCAGTAAAGTACGGCGCAAGTAATTTCCTGACTTGCAGATCAATCACGGTCCTAGACGTTTCCGGAGACGTGATGTCGATGCTTTCGGGGACCGGGTCGAATGAATGACAACGTAGCGCGCTTGAACCCTGCGCAGCTTTGGATTGTCGGTCATTAAAAGAGCTAGACCTGCCTACCGCGGCCGTGGCAGGCAGGGCAGCAGGCGACCCGGTTTGGTTGCCACTAGTGAAGGTGAACGAGTTGGCGGTGGCAGGTTTCGGTGGGATAGGTTGAAGCGCACGGTTGTGTGAGTTGCCGCGGAAGGGGTTGGAGGGTGGGGTAGTGCTCGAAGGGGTCGGAAAGGATGTGTCCGGACGGTTGCGTAGCGGCTGTTCCTTCTGCGAGGAAGCCGGGGCCTGGAGGGGACGTTTGTGAAGCAAGGTGGTGGTCTGTTGTGGTGTGGAGTGCGCATATTCTTCCTCCCTCCTGCCTCCAAGAACCTTGCTGTTGCGAGTGCTGTGTTGGGGAAAGTCTGAATCGCTTCCAGTATGGCTGCCATCATCGTCACCGGTCGCAGCTTGGTCCTCATAGTCGCTGTCATCATCTCCAGCAAAATCTTCGTCGGAGCTGTAGCTCCCGTCGCACTCTCCATCGGAATCGTTGTCGTCGAAGGTACTCTCGCTAGCGCGATCGGTGTGATAGGGTATCTCGACCGTCTCGACACTGCCGGGTTGCGCTGGTTGTTGAGGCATAGCAGTTATAACTGTATCGCTAGCAGTTAGGTTACCTAAATACTTAAGCTGATTCATGATCAAGCAGTCGTTGAGCGAATCGATATCCGTTTCGTGGCTCAGGTTGCTTCTGATAGGCTCATCTACCTCGGCGCCGGCTCCAAATACCTCCGCTATTTCTTCAACGTACGCCGGCCAGTTCGCTTGTACAACCGGTACGAGTATGGAGTTGTCATGTGGTGGCGATATTGTACCGGTATTCTAGATCAGCTTTTCGCAGAGTTGTATCAGCCTGTATTTTAGAGTTCAATTTAGCATGCTCACGTTCGAACTCATATTCTTGCTATTTTGGGATTAGCGCAGAATTGCCTCTGCGATCGTTCATGAACGCGGCCCGCACGAACTCACCCTCCAGAAAAATGTCTGCTGGTCAATTCGAATTGCGATGGGGTTTTATGGGTAGCTAAGGGTTTTTTGTTGCTCTAGAATTGCGCTGATTTGTCTCCATCAGGTCATGGCGCGATTGCCTGGTGTATGGCCAAGGATCTCCAGCTTGATCCGGCGACCAGGGGTGTTACGGATGGTATGTAACGCCTCTTGCTCGTGGACAAGGGTCGCTGACCTTGCCAATAGTGAAACACAAGATTGTGGCTGTCGCTTCCCATCTTGGCATCGCACCGGCTGAGGAATTCATCCACCGGATCAAGGCGCCTGAAGCCAAAGCTTATGGGTCATATGAGGACTTGGCAAGTGACCCTAACGTCGGTATGGAATCACGTTCATTGGCTTGGGAATAATGCTAAAAAAAATGTCGCAGATGTCGTATACGTCAGCAGCCCTCACTCCCACCACTATCCTCACGTCCTCCTCGCTCTCCGCTCCGGAAAACACGTGTTGTGCGAAAAGCCCTTCACCGTCAACGCAGCCCAAGCAGCCCACCTCCAACGCGTCGCAAAGCAACACAACCTCTTCCTCATGGAGGCTGTATGGACTCGATTCTTCCCGGTATCGATCAAGATGCGCGAACTTATCGCCAACGGCGAAATCGGAGAGCTGAGACGCGTATTCGCAGAACTCAGTCAAGACTTCGACCCATACAACATTGATCCACAACACCGTATCGTCAACCCAGACCTCGCAGGCGGCGCACTTCTCGATCTCGGCGCATACCCATTAAAGTGGATCTTCCAAACCGTCTACCACACCCTCCCTCCCTCCTCTCGCCAAACCCCCACAGTCCTCGGCTCCTCCATGCAGAAACTCGGTCACGGCGTCGATGTTGATGAGCACGTATCAATGATGCTCTCATTCCCCCGCGATACTGGCAATGTGATCGCAGTCGCCAACGCCAGCATCGGAATGCACGCCTGCACCGCCGGTCCCGCCTTCAAGCTCCAAGGCACCAAAGGAGAAATCACCGTCCCGTGGCCACCCTTCCGACCAACTGAATTCACCGTACACAAACTCGGCGAAGAACCCAAGAAATACGAGTTCGAGATCCCGAGTGGAGGAGGTTTAGTACAGGATTTGGAGAAGAAGACGTTTGATGCGCCGAATGGTGGTATGGGATTGTTTTGGGAGGCGGATGAGGTTGCGCGGTGTATCCGTGATGGAGATTTGCAGAGCGAGACCATTCCGTGGTCGGAGACTGTGGAGGTTTTGAAGGTGATGGATGAGGTGAGGAGGCAGGGTGGTTTGAGATACCCCGACGCCGTGGAGTTCGTGGAGGAAGAGGGTAGAGAGTGAATGATGCGATATGATATGATCTAAAATGTTAAGATAGTATGATGAAGTATGCAAGGTATCGCTAGTAATATAAATTACGAAACCACCTGGGCACCATGCTTACCAAGAACAGATTACCGCCACGTCTCCCCACTCATCCAAGCTCCCAATTGTTCATCCGTCAACGCCGCCTCATCCATCCTCCCCTGCAACTCCTCCATCTCACCTTCACTCTGAATACTAAAATCCTCACTGGGGTGCATTAACTCCATCCCATTTAAATCCGTCCCACCTAATCCCTCGACACCATACAAACTCTGCAAGAATCCCGTCGGACTCTGTGATGGAATATGCCCCTCAGGAACCGGAAGATCAGGAGATGGTGTCGACGCAAATGATCCAAAGGGGTTCATCAATCGCTCGTTCATCGTGGGCTGTGGAACCGTGATGCTGGCGAACCCCGCTGTGGGGCTCAAGCTCTGCGATGGGTATTGACTCTCATGCGACGCCCTCCGTCGTTTGTTCCCGCTCGCAGAAGATATACTCCTGCCCTCCTCCCCACCATATATAGATCCCGTATTAGAATACATCGAAACAGCCGAGGATCCAGTCATCGTCCGATGTAACCCCGGCATCCCCGGCATCGGCGTAACCATCCCTTCATCCTCCACCTCCTCCCCCTCAGCATCCTCATCGAAAACCTCATCCGCCTCGACCTCACGTCCCACCTCCGTCATAGATACCATCCCCTTTTCCCACCCCACCCCACCAACTCCCTCATACCTCTCCCAAAATCCACTAAACCCAAACCCAGTCCCCATACCCTTCCGTTGTCGCACTAATTGTCCATGCGCCTTGTATATCGCTCTCATCACCTCACACAAATGACCCATCCCCGCCCACCTCTCCCTCACCTTCTCCAACCACTGCACTTCACGCACGATATGACCTTGTGCCGCACTCGCTTTATCGGGGTAGTAGAGTGTGTGTGTGTGCACCAACCCCGCAACAAAAACCGCATATCCCACGAACGCGGGCCATACCGTCCCCGCCTCCGTCGCCGCAGTACATATATCGACGATGTGATCAGCGTGCTCCAAACAAGTCGTCACCGCATCCGCCTGCCATGCTTGTTGCGCATTGTACCCCAACCCACCCTGTGCAGTGGATGGTGGTGCCTCCAATGGTAGGAAATCCCGGTAGAGGAGGATATGGACAACATGCCAGACCACCCTAACCAACAACCAACTCGGGCCATCGGGTCTTCCCAACTTTGCGCGTGCCCCATCCTCGCTCCACGTCGCCCTCGCCACTGCAGCCGGGAGAGAAAAGGGGATGTTGTAGGAGTATTGCATATCACCCACCATCTGCCCCTCATAACTCACCGGTCCTGGTTCCGGGGCCGCAGAAGGCGTTAGAACGAGATCCTCGTCGAACTTCGCCCGAAACACATCGAGTGCCGAACGGATAGCGTGCAGTCTGGACTGCGCATGCCACGGGAAATGCGAATCCCCTTTGACACCCCCCGCAAGTGCGTATGCCACCCCCATCCCCAATATTCCAACGATCTCACACAACCTCCTATCAACACCCTGAATCTCCGGTGGTCCGTGTCGTACAACATCATCCGGCACCGCGGGCATCCGGAGTCCCTCGACGCCCAATAAACGCTCCAGAACGACGCCTGTCCAGTATGCCCGTGTTGCGTCGTCGGAGGGTGGGTTGGTGTGGTAGGAGAGGAAGATACCGTGTCGAACGGCGATGTCGACCCATACTGCGGTTTTGGGGCCCATGCCCAGACCATACGCAGTTTGCGATAAAACAAGGAGGGTCTGGATTACTGAGAGGGATGGATTGTCGATGTCCATGCCGAGTGATTGGCGGGCTTGGGTGAGGAGGGTGAGTGAGGCGGGGATGGGGTGTGGAGGCTGGAGGAGTCGGGTGGAAGCGATGAAGTGTGATGCTGCGGCACATATTGCCAGGGTGAGTGCTTGTGGCCGTCGTTGTGGGTGCGGTGATAGAAATCCGAAAGGCTTGGCGTGGATGTGGGCGAAGTAGACGTCGACGAGGTACTGCTCCGTTTGCTGATCCAGATCGACAACGGCGAGAGGGGAGGGCGCCGATTGCGTTGAAGGTGTTGACTGCAGTATTGGTCGTCTGGGCTGTGCAATCTGCCTCTGCTCCAAGCTCGTTGTCAACTGCTTCAGTTTCTCGTTAACCTCGCTGATCCCTTTGCTTCCACCGGTCGCCTTCACATCCCCTGCCCCTGTTGTGCTTGATTCACCACCAGAATGAACTGCACCCCCTCCCATCAGTTGCTCCACCCTCTCAAACCTCTTGAGCAATTGCTCCATGATCTCCGTCTTTGGCCCTCGTTTCTTGGGTACAGCATCGTAGACACACTCCATCTTGAACTCGATACAATTAGCGCATGACGGTAACACCCTATTACATTTGATCTGTCCAGCAATGAGTCTCTACGCACACACCCTTGAACATGATTGAACGCACCTTCCGTTTGCGACAACTCTTACAACTCATAACCGGCTGTCCCGCCTTTCCTCCCATGGCATCAGCACCACCACCCATTGTCGCACTCTCTGATCCCTTTGTCCATGATGGTGCGCTCATTGTCGATTGAGTGGATCGCCTCGTTCATCTCAGGTTTGCCAGGCCTTTCACCTGCCGCGCACTCTTTTGGTGTTTTGTGTGGGGTTTCCCGCGTCTGGGGAAATTGGGCACTTCGGCAAGCCCTCCGGCTGACGAGCAGCGAACGACGTCGATGACAATAATATGTTTGATCATATACAACGTCGACTTCCTGATCAGTCATGAACGCTGGACACTTGAGAGCTCAAGTAGGTAGTAATGATCGGTATCTGTATCAAACGAACGTCTATATGATCTATGCAAAAAGTCTATATCATCCCATCTACAACCCCCTCTTCTCCCCAAAACTCTCATCATCATCACTCGAATGCGCCGCACTCGGCACAGCCGTACTCGCCCCACTCATCTCCACCCTCCTCTGCCCTTGACTCGCCTCCTCATGCGCCCACTCCCGCCTCTTATCCTCCGCCTCGCCCTCACCAGCTCCATGTCCACCCCTCGCATACTCCTGATGCTTCGTCTGCTTCGCCGCCATCTCCGGGTCCTCCATCCGTGATAGTCCGGAGAGTTCGGCGGTGTCGAGACCCGGGTTGGACCGAATAGCAGCCTGATACGCCCGTTCCTCATGGAAGTTAAGCGGAGACTTTGTCGAGAAAAGGATCTCAATCGACTCGAGCGAGCGCTGTGCAGTCTCTGGGAAAAACAAATACACAACAGGAACCCAGGCAACATTCAACGCCCCAAACACGTAAAACGCATTATAATCCAAGCTTTCCAACATCTTTGGTACAGACAACGTTCCGGCGCCGAGTCCGAGTGACCAACCGACTACGCCGAACGCGTTTCCCTGTCCACGGACGGAGGATGGCCAGATTTCCGCGGCGTAGATAAAGGGACAGAGACACCACGTACACGAATACGTGAGGGTGAACAAAAAGATAAACGCGGCGGATGCGGCACCGAATTGTGCGGATTTTTCGGGGTGCATGGATGTTGCTTGCGAGAATCCTCCCGTGAGGAACATGAAGACGCCCAAGAGCGCCGCGCCTCCCATCAAGAGCTTGCGGCGGCCAAGACGATCGATGGTGACGATATTGATGATCGAACCCAGGATTCCGACGGTATTGTTCAGCGAGGCCAACCACCGCGCTTTGACATCACCATACCCAGCCTGTCCAAACAACACCGGAGAATACACCGTCGTAGCACTAATTCCAGTCCCAAGCTGAGCCAAAATCTGCAACCACATGGCCAGATTCGCACGTCTCGCAAAATGCCTACCCTTTGTCCCAAGCCCCAGAATCATCCGCCAAGGAGCATTGGTAAGCGACATCTTCCGTTCCTCCTCGATGACTTCAATGATTTCTGCGTATTCGAGTTTGACGTCCGGATGGTTCGCGTCGCCATTCGCGCGGAGTCTGGCGAGGATCTCGAGGGCTTCTTCGTCGCGGCCGACTTTGATGAGGTAGCGTGGTGATTCGGGCATGAACATGATCGACATTCCCAACAGAATACCGGGAACGCATTGGAATGCGAGCGGGAAGCGCCAACGGAAGGAGCCTTCGGGGTCGGGGAAGGAGACGCCGAATGCGAGCCAGTAAGCGATGGTGATACCCGTATAATTCGCCAAGAACACGGTCGAGATTGCGCCTCCACGCGATTTGGCTTCAGATGTCTCGGCGGTGTAGGAAGGGATGATACAATTCAAGAAGCCCGTTCCGATACCCGTGATGAGTCGTGCACAAAGCATCCAATTCGTGTTTTGCGCACCGGCTTGAAGCGCACCACCAAGGACACTCCAAAAAACACCAAACATGATTCCGAAAATACGTCCATATTTATCGGAGAGGCCACCGCCCCACAAACCACCCACGATGGATCCGAGGTAGTAGATGGCGACGATGCCACCTTGTTTGATGACGTTGTTTTTGGAGACGAGGTTTCCGATGATGCCGGGTCCGAGATTCATGAGACGGATGTAGTCGGGGGATTCGTTGACGCCGGCCATGACACCTTGGTCGTAGCCCTCGAAGAGGAGGGCGAGGGCGTTGACGACGTGGAGCGTCAACATGAGGCGACGGGAAGACCATGTCTTCCACGGTGTGGGTTGTGGTAACCTGAAGACCGGGACGTTGAACATCTTGGCAGATGGAAGATCTCGGCCAGGGGGGAGAGGAGTGGAGGGGTATTTATTGCGAGAGCGGGTGGCCACGCATTCTGCACCGCCTCGTGTATATGAGGGAGGCTACACCGCGGAGAATGAGCGTTCCGGGGTGCAGCTGACTCGGATCGGCCGTCGAAGAGCTTTTCTTTTCTTTTCGGAGTTGGTCTCTCGGAATGACAAATCGGTGGCGCTAAAAAGAAATGTCGGCACGGAGCGCAGCCTCCACTTACACACAGCGATCGCAAAGTCGTCAGAGGCGATTGAGATGAGACCGGTGTGTGACTTTTGCCGTCGGTCGTCACTTGTTGCCGGGGACGCGCGCGCACGGATCTGAGGGCCGGCGCCGGTGCCGGTTGGCTGGATGAATCCGAATAGTTGAGTTCCGGGCGGATTCATTCGGGTGTTCATTTCAACTGCCGGTGCATGTGCGGGAGATGATCCGAGTTGATAGATTAGTTCTTCGTTGTTCGCTGCACTCCACACGCTTCCCCAGCCGTTGCTGATTGATCCTTCCCTTTGTAAATGCAATAGACATGCAATAGACAGGAAGGGTTAACGGATGGAGAGGGAACAGCTATCGCGTACGCATAGCACTCTGCAACCTGCACTCCCTCTGTCCATCTCGCTCTCGCTTCTGCGCGCACCATTATCGACCCGCCCAAAAATACCTCAAGGTGACAATTGCAATGGCTGTATTGGACGGCAAAGATCGACGGGCACCGTCCCAAACCTGCCAACACGAAAGCTTATGCCCGCAATTTACGAGTCTATCATACCCCTCCGTGCGACATTTTCTTCGTCAGCCAACATGGCCTTCTCTCGTCCGGCTCCATGATCCGCTTTTGGTCAACCTCTGCGCTCTTTTTTGATGGGGGTGTTTATTATATAAGGTCCTCGTCTTCAAGTACGAGAACGGTTCTCAACTGATCTGCGATACGCACGATGCAGCTGAACGCTTTGATCACCGTGCTCCTCGGTGCGTCCGGTGTTGCTCTCGCTCACGGAAGCGATAACCACGGTAAGGGATGGGGAAAGCATGCCTCGTCATCGTCTCCCTCCGCTTCGGTGACCTACTCCACCAACAACTCCAACGCAACCCTCCCCCTCCGCGGCGGCCCCGACCTCGTCTACGCCGGAAACTACGGCGTCCCCCCCATCGACGCCTCCTCCCCCCAACCCACCCCCCTCCAATTCAACGCCTCCCAAATCGCACTCTTCGCGCAACAACAAATCGACGGTATCATCACCTCCTCCGCATTCGAAGGTAACTGCTCAAAATGTATCGCCGGCGTAACCGTCGCCAAGTTTTTGGCGTTATCCCACCCAGAGGAAATCCCCGCTCTCCTGCAAAATACGTGCAAGAAATATGGCTTCGCGACAGACGAGAAATGTGAGAAGCAGTATGCAAGCGATGAATTGGGTCCGTATATTGCGCAGGTGTTGGCGAGGATGGATGTCACGACGGATGATATGCAGTTGTTTTGTGCGCAGCAGTTGGGTGGGTATTGTCCCCTCCCCGCGCCCATCGCGATCGATGAGAGCCAGTGGTTCGCGAAGCCGAAACCTTCGGGTGCTGTTGAGCCCCAGGGTAGCGGGAAGACTATCCGCGTTATTCACCTCTCTGATTCGCACTATGATCCCCGGTACGTCGTTGGTTCCGAGGGTAACTGCACCGATGCGGGAATGTGTTGTCGTTCCGACTCGTTCAACGCTGCTTCTCCGAGCTCGCCTCTCGCTCCCGCTGCACGCTATGGTAACTTTGGCTGTGACACGCCTGGTGAGTTGATGTTGTCCATGTTCGACCACATGCAGCCATACCTCGCGAATGCCTCTTTCTCAATCTTCACGGGTGATATCACCTCCCACGACAAAGCCTGGCAATTATCCCGTGCGTACCAGAAATACGACGAGTGGATGACGCTCAAGACGTTCAAGGCGCAGATGGGGAATGTTCCGATGTACCCTGCTTTGGGTAACCATGACTCTTTTCCCTCGGATCAGAATACGCCGTTTTGGTGGGGTGAGGGGCAGGGTATGACGGAGAGTGAGTTTCAGTGGGAGTATGATTTCTATGCGGATTTGTGGAAGGAGAATGAGTGGATTGATGAGGAGACTGCTGCGGAGGCCAAGAAGCATTATGCTGCGTTCTCTACGGTCACCAAGCAGGGATTGAAAATCATCACCCTTAACACTGATTTCTGGTACAAGAACAACTACTTTAACTACGTCAACACCACGAACCCCGATTCCTCGGGTATGTTGAGGTTCTTGACGGACGAGTTGCAAGCTGCCGAGGATGCCGGCCAGCGTGTCTGGATCGTCGGACACGTTCCTTCTGGGTACGATGGTTCGAGTCCGGTGTTGAACGCGCCTAACCTGTTTTACTCGATTGTGCAAAGGTTCTCGCCGCATGTTATCGCTGCCACGTTCTTTGGACACACGCATCGGGATATGTTCAATGTCTATTACGACGCCCCCGCTACGAAGAACGGAACCGAGTTCGTGGCTGGGTCGTGGAATACCTCTGACCCGCTCATGACTGCCTGGATTGGAAAGTCTCTCGTTCCGCTTGGTGGGTTGAATGGTGGATGGAGGTACTACGACGTCGACGCTAAATCTTTCTCCATCATGGATGCACACAACTTTTACGGGAATGTCTCAGAGGCAGTGAATGACGACGCAGTCCCCTGGACCTTCCTCTACTCCTCCCGCGAGACGTACGACCCGAATGGTACTTGGCCCACCGACGCTCCCCTTAACGCTACGTTCTGGGATCGTGTGACGAGGGAGATGGAGGCTGATGGTACCGGTGCGTTGGTCGAGAAGTATAATTTCTTTGAGACGGCGGGCAGTGTGAGGACGCCGAAGTGTGTTACTGAGGCTTGTCGTCAGCAGAAGATTTGTTACATGAGGAGTGGGAGTGCGGTGCAGGGATTGGCTTGTGGGAATAAGAATGGTCCGAATTGAGTGATGTGTGGCGTGTGTTAAAGGCCTGTAGTATAATTCTAAAAAGTTAGGATATTGTTGAGTCAAGAGGTTAAGAAAGAATACGAAGTATCACAAAGGTTAAAGGTAACGCTTCTCCTGACCCGTGTACTGGTACATCTTGACGGACTTGACGATCATGCCACGTTCTTCCTCAGCAGGCCAGGTGGGATACCATTCCTCCTTCGCACCCCAAAAGTCCCTCCTAGCTGTCGTCGTAGCATCCGCCCAAGGCTTCTCATCGACACCATCGGCGAAATAGCCATTCGTTCCACCAACAGCGACGTTGAGGATAAGGTAGAACTCTTGATCGAAGGGTGCGGCATTGTTGGGATCAGTCGCATTGAGTCCCGTCCAGGGATCGGAGATGAGCGTGTTATTCAGGACGTAGGGAAAGCCACCGCGTTCGTAAAAGGACTTGGTGAAGCGAAGGGAGAGACCTTGACGGAGACGGGAGTTGACGTAAGCGAAGACGTAGTCCGGGGTCCATTCCAGACCGAAGGTGTTGAAGGTTTTGCTAAAGTCTCCGTGGAGTTCGCGTGCCGTTTTGGTCGTCTTCCAGTATCGGTTGAGGGAAGCGGAGGGGCCCCATTGGAGGGTAGATGACACGTAGTCACGACCTTGCATCTTGGTAGACGGGGCGTTACCCTTGGATTCCATGATGTCGATTTCGCCTGACCTAGGCCAAGCGCCGTAGACATCTTCGGTAGGCATCATCCAGATCGCAGGCCACATCCAGTCTCCAGCAGGGAGCTTGGCGGTGACTTCGACCTTACCGTACTTGATTGCATACTTGCCCTTCGTGTTAAGACGGGCAGAGCGGATGGGAGGGAGAGCAACACCGAGAGATGCGTTCGAAGAAGTGACACAGTCAGTTGCAAGGTCGGAAGTACATGTTCCGTCGGCAGTAAGGTTGAAGGTGTAGCCATTGAGAATCGCCGCATCCCCCACGACGGAGCTGGTCAGGGTAGGGACGATATGAAGCATTTGGTCCTTGACGTAAGCGTTGGTTCCATTGTTGGTTGTCATGTCGAAAGCACCGTTGTTGAAGCCGCCCAACTGGACTTCATGGTTCCAGACAGAGGGGTCAATGGTACCGGAGCTGAAGTCCTCGTTGAGGACAATGTTGTAGAAGATAGTCGGGACAGCTTGCCAAGCATACCAGGCGAGGAAACCAGAGAGGGCCAGGCCAATACCAACACCAACCCACGGGAGCGTCTGGATCAAGCGCCAACGAGACTTGGTCTCCACCGACCAGCCAGTCATGTCCATGGCCTCACGGACACGAGTCGACCTGAAGGGGCGGTCGAACATAGGTTTCTTCTGATCGAGACACCTGTTAAGAGACGAGGCAGCAGAGCGACGGGGTCGGGAACGGGACGTGAGGCGAGAGTTTGAAGACGACATGATCGATGATCCGGATGATCCAGTTGATCCAGGACTGGCAATAGGTGATATGTCATCTTCGAAGAAGCGGACTTGGGAACCGAGCGTGCGAGGGGTGGAAGCACCAGTAGGAGTGATAGGTGTGAAGCCGAGTGCAGCTGGCGAACTTGGAGGATCGGCAGTACCGAGGTGGGCACGGCGGGGTGACTCGATAGGCACGTTGAAGAAGTCTTCGGGGTGCTTTCTAGTGGCCATTGCTTTGATCTGGTTATGGTGAACGATTTTGGAAGCGCTGCTCTGCCCTTGATATACCGAAGGAGTACGCTTAAAGCCGGGAGATGTAGACCCTCAACGCCGAGGTTAGAAATCCCTCCGTGACCATCACCACTCAACAATTTGACGCGAGCCGTCCTTTCGGTCTCAATACTCTCGACGTCCCCAACCACTCCGGTTTGACAACCAGGAGACTGAATCGATTCTCAGTACCAGCGATGCCGCTTTGCCCTTATATCTGGTCTCACGCCAATCGTCTCGTACGAGCAAAATAAGGGCTCGGGTAACGGCACTTTCGAACCTGGAACCAGGCAGACTCTGGACGTCATATACCAAATATACTTGATACGTTTCAGCTGCGGCCCAAGCGCTTAACGTACCCTTCAAAAGTACTGACTGATCCTTGGCGAAACCGGTCCACACAGGCATGCAGTCGAAACCGACGAAGCTTTTCGGGCATGAACATCCGTCAATGTCATCGCCGGATCAGCGATATCTCGGGCATCGGCTATGCCAAGCTTCTGCTAAGTTGATGACAAGGTTTCGTTGACAGCTGGTATACGTACTTCGGGGCGACGGCCCGACCCACGACCGCCCGTTGCAGTGCGAGGACTTTTCCTGCGGATACCCGTAACCCCAATATCCCAACACTTTTTGCTTATTAGCTCACGGGTTATCTATTTCATGCCAACAAGCTCAGAAAGGGTCAGAGCATATTGAAAGCGGTACATACAATTGCGGTCGTCGTGCTGCGCCGGCGCCGGCCCGAGATGCAAGGTGCACCGACCTCCCCACCAATAGCACCGGAGGACCCAACCCCATACTTAAGTGGTCTGTCTGAGTGAGGCAAATGCGATACAGTATAGGCAAGTCCAGGGTATTTTGCCAGACCGCGGTGCTCATGCTGACATCACTTGCAGTGTTGCTCAATACATACCCGATGTTCCCGCAGCCACGGCGTCCTGTGGGTTACCACGAAAAATATGTTGAGTAAAACTCTTACTCTATTGCTGAAGTGGTAGTTGAAAGTGAGGTGTCGAAGATGTGTACCAATCGCAATTACTATCGCGACTCTTAAGTTTTACTGCCGCTCAGGGTGGAGAGACGGGAATTCCGTATATCACTGGCGTATTCTGTCATGGGCAGATTCCAACACGGCCCTTCAGTTTAAGGGCCCTGGAGTGTCTTTACCAGGAGGTTCTCGATTGGACATTATTCGTTCACCGAGGTTGAACGGTGTCGCAGACGGGTCGGCAGCAAGTTGTGGTGGAAGAACTTGCCAAGGGAGGCTCCGTTTTGACTACTCTTAACAGAGGGGCTTTCTTCACATGTGGGTCATCTCTCCCTATCTCATGGCTATTCAACACGCCGTACGAGGGCCTGCCGGTCTTAATATATTTCCCGCTCTCTGCCCGGTGTTATCTGCACCACCGAATATCTGGGCGATGAACCCGTAAAGCGATGCCTGCGAAGTCCTAAAGTGTGTTCTCAAGCGGCAGGGAACTTTGCACACTGTCGATGTTACTTCTTCCCTTCCCAATGAGGTTGAGGGTGTTCGGGAGCTCGCATTTGCTGCCGTACCGCTCTTAAACGATGGACAGTTGACTATGGATGATGGGCTTTGACGTGTCGCTATCGACACCCCAACCGTTTCCAGACGGTGGACAGACTTGGCAGTTGTGTATAAGAATCTTGTGGTGCTCCGTGCTTGTCTTCCTTCGTCCAGCAAACGAGCTTCGACGCGACAGAACACATGGGTCAACTCATCAGTCGTCAGAAGAAGAAGACCAAGGCCAAGAAGAACACCAACAACCTCAACCTCGGTGTTGTGACCTACGACGAGAAGGCCGTTGCCACAGACGATGTCTCCGATCACTTCCGCGCGAAACGAGATGTCTTCATCGCCTCTCTCGTCCTCCAAGAACGCGAGCAATCCGAGAATGGCTCGGACTACAACGACCACCTCACCCAGCGTCTGTTCGATCACTGCGCCCTCCAAGGAGTCTTCGGCGACACCGGTGTTTTCGGCAGGTCTGCAGTTTGTCTTCGTACCGGAGACACCTTTGCGATCTTCGACGGTGACACCAACGTTGCTATTCCTAACCTGGAAACATATGTTGAGGCTCTCGACATGGAGGTTGCGATCTTCATTGACCACCCCGTCGCCGCCGACTTCTCCGCCCACCTTCTGATCAAGAACGTCCAACCGGATGGACATACCCTCCAAGTCTTCGACAACCTGTCTCAACTTGCTAGAGCTCGACTGAATCAACCTACCGCCTTCTTCCGCGAAGAGAAGCTCTTTGTTGTCTGGTCACAGGATGCAAAGAGGTGTTTGGAGCTTGCAAGGTCGGTGAGGGAAGGTATACTTCACATCGTGTGGAACGACGAGAAGGAAGACTTCATAAGCATCAACGAAATTGAGGCAGCCGAAGGTGAGGCCGACATCGAAGCCGCTACTCCCGCCAAGACCTTACGCCAACGACTTCTCGTCATCCCCATTTACGTCCTCGTCGCTCTCATCGTTGCCGGAGCCTTCTTCGGCTTCCTTCTCCAGGCCATCATCCGTGAATACCGGTACGATGGTAGTGTCATCCGCTTCGCCTACGTCGCCTACTTTCCTATCGTCTTCATCATGTCTCTCTTCTTCGTCTTGGTCCTTATCGGCAGTGTCTGGCAATTAATCGACCCTATGGATACTTCCCGCCGCAACACCTTCGCCTATTCCGCCACCCCGCCTCAAAGGATCACTGGTCCTCTCCCACACATGACGATATTGTGTCCTGTCTACAAGGAGTCCTTGTCTGCTGTCATCGAGCCTACTGTCGCTTCCGTCAAGGCTGCTATGAGACGCTACCAACGTCAAGGTGGCTCGTGTAACCTTGTTATCTGTGATGGTAGCTGTCTTGTGTGGGCGTTGACTGTTCACTGCTAACATGATTCCTACAGATCGAATGCAACTCGTCGACGAAGACTCTCAGAACTTCCGCAAAGAGTACTACCGGAAGGAGAACATCGGTTGGGTTGGTCGCCCTGGGCACAACCATGACGGCTACATCCGTGCTGGTCGCTTCAAGAAGGCCAGTAACATGAACGCCATGATGGGTGTTTCCGTCAAGGTCGAAGAACGCCTGGAGAACATCGAACGTCCCGGAGGCTGGACCCCCGCCGATGAGGAACGCGTCTACAAGGAGATCTTGGAGGACGTCCTCGCTCAAGATGGAAGGTTGTGGGGTGAAGGCAACATCAGGCTCGGTGAATTGATCTTGATCATCGACTCTGACACTCGTGTCCCCGGTGACTGTCTCTTGGATGCCGCAAGTGAATTTGGTGAGCGATGTCTCTTGGCCGTTTGACTATCGAATGCTAATCGATACCTTGCTCACAGAACAAAGTGCACACCTCGCTATCCTCCAGCATGCTTCAGGCGTCATGCATGTCTCCTTGGACTACTTCGAAAACGGCATGTCATTCTTCACGGACCACATCTACCGTTCCATTCGATTCTCTTGCGCTGGTGGGGATATGGCTCCATTCGTTGGTCATAACGCCTTCATCCGCTGGGCCGCTGTTCAGTCTTCTGCTGAATGGACCCACGAAGACGGTAACCCACGCTGGTGGTCCGAGTCACATGTCTCCGAGGACTTCGAGATGGCCTTGAAGCTCCAATGCGCCGGACACTCCATCCGCCTCGCTGCCTACACCCACGGAGAATTCAAAGAAGGCGTCTCCCTCACCGCACTCGACGAGTTAGCCCGCTGGGAAAAATACGCCTACGGCTGTTCCGAAATGGTCCTCAATCCCGTCCGCAAATGGATCTTCCGCGGTCCCTTCACCCCACTCTTCCGCAAGTTCCTCTGGGCGAAGAACATCCCAGTCTTCGCCAAGTTTACGCTCTTGTCCTACATCGGTACTTACTACGCCTTCGGCGCAGTCTGGATCTTTGCGTTGGCGAATTATTTCTGGACAGGATGGGCGGCAAACATGATCGACCAAGTTTACCAAGACTCCTTCAGTATCCTCATTTCCCAACTCGTCGTATTCTTCGCTCTCGCGCCCATCTCCGGCGCTGTTCTCACCTCCAAAATGCGCGACGGACCATTCTGGCGACAACTCTACAACTCCATCAAATGGATGCCCTTTTTCGCCATCTTCTTCTCGGGAGTCAGTCTTCGTGTTTCGATGTCTTTGTTGAGTCATATGTTTGAGTACAACATGCAATGGGGCGCAACCGGGAAAGAAGTCAACGAAACAACCTTCATCCGAGAAGCCAAAAACATCCTCCGCGAGTTCAAATGGACCTACCTCTTCTTCGGGCTCCAAATCCCCATGATGATCTACCTCGGTATCTTCGCCCCATACCAGTGGAAGATCAACGGCATCAACAGCTGTTTACCTCTGGCTCTTGTTATTGGCGGTCATCTCATTCTCCCGGTCGCGCTCAACGCCAAGTTGTTGAAGATATAGTAATGATGAAGGTTTCGGTTAAACATATATTGACTTTTTGTGTGTTGCTTGAAGTACTGGTAAAGCTTTTGTTGGGGACGGAGATGGGAGATGTGATGATGGATAGTGAATGGGCTAGCTGACCGGCCTGGCGGTTAATGAATCGAATATTGATATATGAACTTATCCTTGGTTGCAAGTGGTATCAAATGTCCTACAACCTTCCACAAGCCCCTCTTACTCATTCCTCACTGCCTCCCCCAACCTCATGCCCACCTCCACATCCATCATGACCTTCTCCAAACTAACCTCCCTCAAATCTTCATCAAACGCTACCCTCCCCCCCTCAAACGCAACAATAATCGAACTCCCCCCAAACTCAAAAATTCCCACCTCATCCCCTTTCCTGACACTCGCCCCCTCCGTCATAAACTTCGGATTGAGCTTGACGGTTCCGACGTCAACTGCACCGATCGCGACAAAGAGCACGAGCCCGAATGCGGGAGAATCGATACACATCGCGGAACGGGCGTTTGCGGTAAGGATGTCGATATCGGACTGTAAACAGATGGGGTCGACGTCATAATACTCCCCATCCAACTCCTTCCACCACTTTACTGTCCCAGAGACGGGTGAATGGTACCGATGATAGTCTTGTGGTGAGAGACGGAATGAGGCGACGGAGCCGTTTGACCAGGGTTCAGCGAGGGTGGGGTCGTTGAGAAGGTTGGAGATGGAGAAGTTTCTGCCTTTGATCCAGAGTTTTTTTGTTTGGGTGACGGTGTCGTAGACGACTACGCGGGAATCCGCGACGCATACGGCGACGCTGTCGTTGTCGGAAGCAGCGATGGGACGGGCCCCGGGGCGGTGGTGACGCGTGAAGAACGCTTGAAAGGTATCATAAGCAGCCGGATCACTCGGCTCATAATCCCCCATATTAATCTCAAAATAATCAATGAAACCCTTAATCTCCTCCTTACTCTTCGCCTTTTCCTCCTTGATCTTCTGCTCATCATTCTTTTCGTGGAGGTAGTACCGGCCAGCCCAGGTTGTGTCGATCCATTCGACGGGTTTGGAGAAGAGGACGAGGAGTTTGAGCTTTTTGGTGAGGTGTTGTTGTTCGCGGAGGTAGATGCCTGTTTTGCGATTTTTTGTCATCCAGCCTACTTGGCGTTTTTCGAGGAGGTTGAGGGATTCGAGGCCTTTGTCGGCCAGGGAGTGGGCGTAGGAGATGAGGGCTGCCATTGTTGGTGGGTGATTGATGAGAGATCCATTAAGGTGGGTGGGGATTGTCGGGTTATAAAGAATTGCGATGATCCTTGGCAATTGAGTTCTCGGTCGATCAATTGCTATGGAGTTGAACATGCGCTCAGATTAAGGTCAGCGTGATGTCACCCCGTATCTCCCGGATAAAGGGCAACTTGAGCCGACGTGAACTTGTGGGATTTCAAAGAACATCAATACACTATCATATCCTACACGAGTACCGCACTCTTCATCCAGTGTTGTACACTCAACCCTTGATAGAGTCGGCAATATTCTGTCCAGCAAGCCTCCCAAACGTCAACGACCTCAACACCGAACTCGCCGGCGGGTACTCATGATAAAAGAACCCCGTAATCTCCCCCGCCGACCACAACCCCGGAATAACTACATTATTCGTACTCAACACACGAGCATCCAAATCCACTTTGATCCCTCCATAAGTGAAGGTCAAGTTCGTCTTGAGAGGATACCCATAGAACGGCGCCTTGGCAATTGGCAGAGCCCAGTTCGACTTGGGCGGAAGAATCCCCTTCGTAGCCTTCCCATCCAACGAATTTGGGGTAAACTCATCCGCCGCACCCTCCGGGCACGCCTTATTATACTCCTCCACAGTCCTCCTCAATCTCTCCTCATCAATCCCCAACTTCCCCGCCAACTCCTCCACCGTCTCTCCCCTCTCCGGATCCAAATCCGTCGTAGAATAAACCCAACTCTCACGCATCCTATCCATCGTAACACTATCACACACAAAATACGCTTCCTGATTCTGGTGACGCCAGATATCGTACGCGATTAGTTCGAAGGATTCGAAGAGGCGGGAGCAGCCTTCGTCGTAGAAGCGGGAACAGTCGCGGTTGACGACGATGCCGTAGTTGTGGCCCCAGATTACTGCGTCGGGTTTCGAGGTACGGGTATCGACGCATTCGGCGTGGAACATGTCGAATTGGCCTGCGGTGCCGGCGCCGATTTCCATTGCCATGCGGATTCCTGCTCCGCGGTTGTATTTGAGGCCGGGGGCGATGAGGGGGAGGTCCACGGCGTTCGGTCCACAATACTGCGTCAGCATCTCTGGATTCCCTTCGAAGCCGCCACAAGCCAACATCACATTCTTCGCATTCAACGTACGCAACAGCCCATCATTCCCACGAATGACAACGCCATTAACCCTCCCATCCGACCCCAAGCTCAACTTCACCGCCTCCGTCTCATACATAACCTCCGCATTCTCAAACTCCTCCAACTTCTTCATCAACGCCGTGACGATCGCCAACCCCCCACCCTTCGGATACGCAAAACTTCCATCCGTCTCGAATTCAAGCGCAACATGCGGCTCCTCATGATGCACCAACTCCACCCCACGATCCAGGATATACTGTGCCGTAAGCGGCGCCTCCTTCTCCAACTTCCTCGCATAATCCAAATCAGCCAAGCCTTTACTCGTCTTCTCCACGAGCTTGATCCAGTTCGGGTCGAATTTGTTGTTTTTGTCGAGCCGGAGGTAGGCCATTGTCCAGCGTGAGGCACCGGCGCGTTCGTCCTTTTTGCCGACTTCGAGGAGGGCTACTTTGGCGGTGGTGTTGTTTTTCTCTTTGGCGGTTTCCATGAAGGAGAGGGCGGTTGTGGTGCCGGCGAAGCCACTGCCGACTACGACGAGATCGTAGATGTTGATGGGAGCCATTATGAGTGCGATGATTGTTAGTCCAAACGACAGTGAGAGGAGGGAGGCGGATTTCCCATGGTTATAAACCGTCCAGGAAGACTTGGCTCTCCGCATTCTCACACGTGAGCTCTCATAGGAATCCTGCTTCCTTCTCCTCTCTCCTCCAGAATGGCGTTCGGGACGGTCACTCGATTGATCCCATGACCGTTTGATCTTTGCTAATACCACGGATCAGGAGCATCGTCGCTGACAAACCCAGCGCAAACAGACAGCCTTTGGCGCCTGGACCCCGCAGTATCGGCTGTTGCCCGGTACAAGTTAAGAGTGCTGGTAAACACGTGAACATGTCAATCCCTGTAAACGCTTGGGTTTCTTGTTCGAGAGCATGCAAACGGGCAGGCGCTGTGAGGCAGCAACTCCCAGAAGCACTTGGGCGGTGGTGCTGCTTCTGCGGAGACTAGGTCTCATGATCAAGCGGGTCAGGATCTAATAGGAAGCATGTGTCCAGGACGCCTATCCGTGACAACCCAGCGGGTGAACAAGGTAGAGTAGAAAAGTAAGTAAGTAGGTGAAGAGAAGAGCGGCCATGATGGGTGTCGGGTGTCGCTGGGTTATGATATTTGGGTTGGGAGTGTTGTTGGTTGGTGCAGGTTTCGGAGCACCTTACGCAGGACTGGTGCCAGGACTGGAGCCTGGGAGGGTCGTGGAACGTCAAAGACGATGATATCGAACAACCTAGTATATCATACAAGCATGAAACGGTTTGGCCAGGCAGTTGCAAGAAATGCCAGTTCGTGGTTTACGCGATGAAATCCCATTCTCTTTTGAAGATACCGAAAAATCAGTCGTATATCATATCCTACCATAACCTCCATATCGTATCATCCACATCTAGTAAATACCCCTACCACTCGCCATTCTCACAAAATCATACGGCACCGTCTGGCTCACCAATAGTGCTAGCGTCTCCACAGTAGTCCACGCACTTACATCCGCAATACCAAACGTCTTCCACCCCATGCTCGCCGCAACAGCCAAAGGATCACCAAGTCTGGGACCATTCGCCAAGTCGACGAAGACCTTGCTCTTGAGTGTTTGAGGATGAGTGCCAAGAATGCGAAGTAGAGGCTGCGCGAGGTGTGACTTGTCCGCAGACAGAGCAGATATGATGGCTCGAGGGTGTTGAGCAGTGCGGAGATCTTCTGGGGAGGTAAGGTGCTTGACGTCCATGCCTTCGATGAGACCGGCAGCAATGTCTTTCGGGACCTCAAAGCCGGTGGTGTAGACCGTCTTGCATCCAATGTTCTTCAGCGCGTACATGATCGGAGCCGCATCCTTGAACGACGCCGCAAGCACGAACGCAGGGTGCTTGGTGAAGGCAGCTACCGAGAAATCAAGCAACAAAGTAGCGCGAATGCCTTTCCACGTAACATTGTCGCCAATGATGGCGACTTCGTTGCGCTCAGGTGAGCGCACAGGGAAGATAGCATCAACCTGACCAATAGCAGCCGCCGCATCCGTGATAGATCTGAGGAATGACGGTTGTGCACCATGACCGCGGAGGATAGGTGGATTCAAGGTCGCACCACCGAACTCAGGCTGACGAACGATGCTTTGCACGACACCATCCGAGAAGTTATCGATGGCGGTGTAGTGATGGGGCAAGCCGAGCTCATTGAAAAACTTCGTGTAGAACGCGTTGAGTGGTGTTGCACGTCCGTTGCCGATGCTGTAGACCGTCCTGGCAGGAAGCTGACCAATGATGTGGAGAGCGCCGTTGATCTCAGCAGCACTCAACTGACCTGGGGCAGCAGCAGAGGGTAAGAGTGGGTGAGTCGTAGGTGTGAAGAAGGTGTTCAAGACACGACTAAGCTGTCCCATCTGGCCCGCATTGATCGCCAAGAGCGGCCAAGCAGGGAAGGTGCTCGTCATTGCCGTGCGGAAGTACTCCAACTCGTAGTTGTCCGACAAAGTGTTCGCAAAGCCAATCATCTTCACGATATCACCGTACTGCCTGGCGATGTGGTACCTCTTGTTCGTGTCCGCACTCGACCACCTCAAATTACCAGTAAGATCGTGGTAAGAGGAAATGACCTTGCTGTTGCCCTTCTTCTCGGAGATATTGCGACGAACATCCTCGGCGAGACGCAACTCAACATCTACATACTCGCAACCCCACTGGAGTGCCTTCAAGAGGTACTGGTGCGTCTCCTTGTCGGCTTCAGTAGGGAATCTCCCTCCTTCATTAGCACTCCTCAATGTGAAAACAATAGGAAGCTCGGTGCGCTGCCTCAAAGCCATGACCTGCGATCCGACATACTCAAGTCCGGGAATAGGATTGAATTCGCCCATACCAACCGGCTCCTTCAAGAGATCAACACGCAACTCCACGGCATCAGCACCAACAGTCAAGATGTCGAGGTTCTGCAATGCAACCCTGACATCCGGGAACGTCAACGCGAGGAAGTTCGTGCGAGACTTCGCAAGGATGGGCTTGTGTACATCACTGTCGCCCAACACGAAGCCCAAGAACCTCGCAAGATCACGACGCACGAGGTTTTGCGAACATCCTTCAGCGTAGTAGAACTCGTAATCGCATGCGTCACCAACAAACTTGTCTTGTGGCGTTTCAGAATCCGCGCAAACGGTGTTGACGAGGAAGACGGACTTCGGTTTCGCCACGGAGATGTCCCTCTGTAAGACATGAGCAGTCTCCCAGGTCATACCGTACACCACTGTGGTGCCGTCTTGATGGTTGCTCTCGATCGCAGTTTTGTAGTCTTCGGCACTCGAGATAACAGCAACCTTCCTCTCCACACCAAGCACACCAGAAAACATAGCCCAAACACTCTCCTTTCCATCGTCACAAAGCACTACGATGACCCTCCCCTTTTTAGCCGCTCCATTGAGCTGCAATTTACCCATCGCGCTCACGATCGCACTCTCTGCCCCAATGACCTTCTCAACCTTCTTCCTCAACGCCCTTCTCTCCTGCAAGATACTCGTCCGCACCGGTGCATTAACTGCACCAAACTGCTCATACCTCCCGATCCTCTGCACGATCTCGAAGAAAAATCCTTGATCGTCGAACTGGCCTGAGAAACACTGGAGGTACTCCCCTTCCGCGTCACGGTCGTACATCACCTGTGATTCCCTCAACTTCTGGACAAAGGCAGGTGCCAAATCAAACTTCATCGCAAGATCCTCGTAGTAGTGGGAAGGCACACCGAGCAACATCGTCTGCTGAGTCTCAGAACCCCGCGCCCGTACTTCATCAACATACGCAAAAATATCCCGCACAGAAAGCGCAATATGATGAACACCTCCTCCCGCCTCCGCAATCCGTCCGGTCAGCGTCCCACGCGCATCTGAGATGTTAATGGGGAACCTCAAACAATCACCAACACCCCCCACAAATGCACTCGACTTCGTAGTCCCATACGGATCCGTTAACTCATGTACCGTACTCGACGGAGTACACCCAAGCAACGAACGGTAGAAGGTCGTATGAGCTGGAAGTGCGACAGGGGAAACTGCGTGTGCAAGATGATCCAAACTCACCCCCGCATCTCTCTCCTCCTCCTCAATCAACGCTCCATCGAAATCCTCTTTCCAGAATCCACACTCTTCATCCACGAAATAGACCAAACTCCCATCTGGCGCCAAGACCGCCGTGAGTCTCGCCTCACCCTCCCCGACCTTCTCCTGGCGAACAATCTCGTACCCAAGTGCAGCCGCACGGTCGATAACGGCGGTGACAGACGAAACACGAATCGCGATAGCGCACGGCCCACACCCACGGTTATGAAACCAATTTTGCGCAAACGACTCCGGCTCAGTATTGATCAACAACTTCGTCTTCCTCCCCTCCTCAGCACCAACACCCGCCGGCGCAAACGCAGACACAGATTTGGTTTTGTGCGTCATGCTTGGTGCGAAACCCAATGCAGCGAAGGTAGCGGCAAGTTTCGGTGCAGCGGCATTGTCCGCTGCGAACTCCACGAACTCTACACCCCTAACCTCCGGCATTGGCGGCAAGACTTTGCTGTCCTTCTTAGTGCTTTCCATCAGCATGAGGAGGCCACGCATCCCGTCCCGCGCGACACCAACAGGAGGCGACGCACGGAATCCATCATTGAAGATCTCGAGACTCCATGGACCTTCATACCCCACCTTGACTAGTTGCCTCGCGAAATCCTCGATCGGGAATGCGCCTTGGTATGGGAAGAGGCGATGATGGCGGGCCCATTGAATAACATCGATCTTCAACCTTGGCGCATCCGCATACTGTACATAAAAGATCTTCTCTGCCGGTACGAGACGCGCAAGGTCGTCGACGTTGTCATCGAGGGCGTAAATGTGAAACGTATCGAGACAAATTCCGAACGCGGGGTGGTTCACCGCTTTCGCGACCTCCCACGATTGTCGCCAGTGGTTGACATGCGTACTCCACGCCAAAGCCTCATAAGCAATCCGACATCCATATTCATGTGCCAACTCCGCTGCTTGTCTGAGTTCCCCAACCCATTCGTCAAAGTCATTCCTCGCTTCTGCAGTGGCATTCGCACACACCAAAATCGTATCACATCCCAACTCCCTCATCAGCCCCAACTTCCCCTCCAACCTCTTCATCTGTCTTGCCAAATCGCCCGTGCCCTCCAGATCCCTGAACGGCTGGTACAGCGTTATTTTGATCCCGTTTTCCTCGCATAGGGCGCGCACTTGCGAGAGTGAGAGGGGTGAGGAGAGGAGGTCTGGTTCGAAGATTTCGAGGGAGGGAAAGCCAGCAGTAGAAGCGGCACGGATTTTCTCGGCGAGGGTGCCGGAGAGGGAGGATGTGCTGAGAGAAGGGGTGTATGGAGGGGCTGGGGAGGGAGAGGTGCGGGTTTGTTTTGTTGTTAGGGCGCCGGGTGGCATCGTTGTTGAGTGTTTTTGTTCCAAGTGGTGCACTTGAGCGGATCAAGTGGTGAAGCGTAATCGGGATCCTTGAGACTTATAGTTGATCGTGTCGCCTATTGCTGTCGGACGTCCGTCGGAAGATTATCCTCAGCGTCTCCTGACTCGCGCCGGGGTAATCGCAAACTTTGACCAAGACGGAACGACGACCTTCAACAACTGCGATCTCGGTACGTCGTGATTCGGCCCTTATTTTACCGCGGACAGATTCGCACCGGCGGAGTCGTCGCACCTTGCGGAACTTTCTCCGTCGTAGAGGTTGGTTGAACACTGCTCGGGCCATCGCGAGAACTTGCGTCCCAATGGGCCAGACGGACGATGATTTCTCCGTGCGACGTCGAGTCGGGCTTCCCCACAATGTGGCCCAGTGCAAGATTCGAGATCATTATTGGCGACAACGAAGAGGTCCTAGAATAACCCATCATCTTCTTCTATTCTAACTGTCATCATAAACAGGGAACTGACGGAAACTGCGACTCTTCCTCTCAACGTTCGCTTCGGTATCGATTCCGGAAGCGAGATGGCCGTATGCAGGCAGCCTTCAGCCTCACCGTACGGTATATAGCACTTGCGAGAAAAATCAACGGCAGCGGAGTCACAGAATCGCCGAACGAACATCATCAGCTGTGCGATATACCCATTGGAGCAGTGGCCTGCGGATCAGCTGGCTATCGAAGGACGCGAAAGCAATTGTCATGCCTGTTCCAGAGGATGTTCCTCGCGATTTCCGCGACGGTGATCTCTTACAGTCGAATGAGACGAAGCCGGCACAGATTGAGTCGCCGTCATCGTCCATAACTAAATCAGACGACAAGACGGACAGGAACACTGCAGAAGCACCTTCGGATAAGCGCAAGTCATATCGCGCACCGTACTTCCTCTTTCTTCGCTACGCCGATCGCCGCGACATCACTCTTTACCTCATCGGTACAGCCGCCGCAATCCTCGCCGGCCTCGCTTTTCCCGGTCTTGACCTTCTCTACGGTCTGTTCACTACCAATGTCACCGGAAACTCGCCACCTTCCTTCATTCGCGACAAGGCACGCATCGCCGCTCTCGGCACCACCGGAATCGCAGCGGGCGAATTGATCTTCACATGGATCTTCCTGACGTGTTTCAACATTGCTGGAACCAGGGTTGGGCAGAGGATCAGAAAGGAATACTTTGCGAGCGTCTTGAGGCAGGATGTGGAGTTCTTTGATAAAGTCGGTGCTGGGGAGGTGAGCACTCGCATGACTAAAGACATTGGGACGATCCAAGCAGGTATCGCGGAGAAAGCCGGCTTCTTCGTTTGGTCTGCTACTACACTGGTCGTGGGTATCATTGTCGGGTTCATCAAGACACGGAAGCTTGCCGGAGTTTTGTTTGCGATGATTCCCTTCACTCTGATCTGCTTTGGGTTCGCCGGGTGGTTGGGAAACAAGTCTTCCGCTATCTCCATGCAGAAAGAAGGTACTGCATCGACCTTCCTGGAGCAAATCGTTTCTTCTATTCGGGTGGTGCATGCATTTGGTTCTCAGCGCACACTCACGAACCTTTACGACAATCACCTCGTTGAGATCGAGCGCGCAGGGAAGCTTAAGGCTGTCACTCGTGGTGTGGAGCAATCATCGGTGTACTTCATTCTCTGCATTTCCTATTCCCTCGCGTACTGGTACGGCTCAATTGTTATTACGCGCGATGGGGTACCGGTCGGAAATGTCCTCACCACATTCTGGAACTTTATGAATGGTATTTTCGCGATGGCGAACATCATTCCTCATGTTGCTGCTATGTTTGAAGCTGCCGCTGCGCAGAATCACATCTTTGGCGATATCGATCGTCAACCGAAGATTGATATCAGGGATGAGCGGGGGATCAAGGGTGGAGATGTCCAGGGTGCGGAGGTTGAGGTCAGGAATTTGACGTTCGAGTATCCGGGAAGGAAAGGATTAAAGAGCTTGGATAACGTGAGCTTAGCCTTCCCGGATAAGTCGTTCACGGCCATCGTCGGTGCATCCGGATCAGGCAAATCGACAATCGTCTCCCTACTCCTACGCTTCTATGATCCGGAGCAGGGCAATGGGGGGATCTACCTCAATGGAAAAGAATTGCGGGAGTACAACCTCCTCTGGCTTCGTCGACAGGTCGCCATCGTACAACAAGAACCGGTTCTCTTCAACGCTACGATCTTTGAGAACATCGCTTTTGGACTTACGGGGACGGAGTGGGAGTACAGGTCAGGTCACGAACAGGATGAGGCGCGGTTGAGAAAGATCAGGGACATGTGTGAGCGCGCTGCGCGCCGTGCGCAGGCATGGAGTTTCATCGAGAAGTTACCTGAGGGTTTCGATACCGTTGTCGGTGCCCGTTCCCTCCTCTCCGGTGGACAGCGACAGCGACTTGCGATAGCTCGTGCACTCGTCCGCGAACCCGCCCTCCTCATTCTCGACGAAGCTACCTCCGCCCTGGATTCCTCCTCAGAAATGGCGGTACAGAAGGCGTTGCGGGAAGAAGGTGCGCATGTACCGACTATGATCGTCATTGCGCATCGATTGTCGACGATTACGAATGCGGATAGTATTGTGGTGATGGAGAAGGGAAGGGTGGTTGAGCAGGGAACGCATGAGTGGTTGCTTGAGAAGGAGGGTGCGTATTGGAAGTTGATTGAGAAGCAGAGGAGGCATGTTGATGGTGATGATGACGATGATGATATACTTGAGAAAGGACAGGTAGCTGCTGGTATGATGGATGAGAGGGAGGACACGATTGAGGCGGCGAGGAGGGGAAGTCTGCAGAGGATATATTCTGGACTAGGAGCCGGTACTCCGCGGGAGACGTTGACAAAGCAGTTGAGTCTGGTGCAAAGCCTGGAAGGGACGATGCAGCCCATCGGCGAGGATGAAGAGGAAGACGATGAACAACCTGCTCGGTCCACAGAAAAGGATGTCGAGAAAGCTGAAGAGAAGAAGAAGAAATACCGTTTCTTCACTGTCCTCCGCCGCTACCAATCTTACGCCCACCAACAAGCACTCTTCGTCTTCCTCGGCGTCATCACAGCCCTCATCGTCGGTGCCTCCTTCCCCGTCATGGGTTACCTGACAGGACGAACCGTCACTGACCTTTCCATGCGTGACAACGACTCCCTTCTCCGTTCCAGAGTCGACATGTGGGCGCTCTGGTTTTTCATCATTGGCATTATCGTCCTCATCGTTGCGTTCTTGAATGGATTCTTCTTCGAGTACGGGAGCGAGCGGATGACGCGAGTCCTGAGACGGGTGGGGTTGGAGAACGTTATGAAGCAAGAAATTGGGTTCTTTGATCGGGAGGAGAACGCTGTCGGAGCGCTGGTCAGCTCGATCTCGAGTCATCCATCGAATGTGTCAGCGGCGACGGGCTTGATCTTTTCTCAGATCATCATCTCGACATGTAACTTGGTCGGTTCGGTCATTCTCTCCGTCGTGCTTAGCTGGAAGCTGGGTCTGGTATGCTTGGCGCCTGTCATTGTCCTGTTGGCTTCTGGGTACATCAACGTCGCAGTCTTGGAAAAGTACGAGGAGAAGAATCAGGGATCGACGGATAAAGCATCCGCGTACGCGAATGAGAACGTTGACAGCATCAAGACTGTCGCCGCCCTTACCCGTGAATCTGAGGTCCTTCGTGTATACGAGGAACAGCTCCGTCCAGACCCATCCCGTATGATCTACCTACTGGGTGGAGCAGGCGGTTTCGCCGTCTCTCAAGCCATGATCTTCTTCATCGCGGCTTTGACGTTCTGGTGGGGAGCAGAGCTGCTGGCGCGGGGCGAAGTGGGGTATACCGCACTTTTCGCAACCTTCGAGGCGGTAATCATCGCGGCGTTTGCTGGTGGGAGGTTGTTTACGTTCGTGCCGGATATCTCGCGGGCCGTGCATTCAATGAAGTCTATCCTACGGTGGGCGGACCGGAAGCCGAGATATGCTGATGAGGGGATCATGATGGATGAGAAGTGTGAGGTGAAGGGGGAGTTTGTGTTTGAGGGTGTGACGTTGAGGTATCCAACGAGACAGCAACACGCAGCTATGTCGAACTTTTCGTTACGGATTGAGGCTGGAAAGACGATTGCGTTTTGTGGTCCGTCTGGTGGTGGGAAATCGACCATCTTGAACCTTTTACAGCGTTTCTACGACCCTACTGCGGGACGGATCACCTTGGACGGGCGTGACATCGGCACCTTCCCAATTGAAGAATACAGAAAGTATATTGCTCTCGTCTCACAAGACGCAGTACTCTACGAAGGTACAGTCCGCTTCAACATCCTCCTCGGCGCACCCGAAGGCATGAACGTAACCGAAGAAGACGTTAAAGCCGCCTGCCGTGCTGCCAATATCTTGGACTTTGTCTCCTCCCTCCCCAACGGTCTCGACACCCACATCGGTCTAAAAGGCGGGCAACTCTCCGGCGGCCAGCGTCAACGGATCTGTATCGCCCGCGCTCTCATCCGCAAACCCACCATTCTCCTCCTCGATGAAGCCACTTCGGCGTTGGACGCAGAATCTGAATCACTAGTATCTGAGGCATTGGAGGAAGCAGGGAGGGAGAGGACGGTGGTTGTTGTTGCGCATCGGTTGAGTACGATTCGGAGGGCGGATGTGATTTGTGTCGTCGAGGAGGGGAGGATCGTGGAGGTTGGGACGCATGGGGAACTGTTGGCGAGGAGGGGGAGGTACTTTGAATTGGTGGAGGCTCAGCTTGGGTGAACATGAACTCGATCAAGGTATGAGGGACATCTGTGCATTTGATACCGTACATTTCCACGACGCGATAGGTACAGGGATAAACATTGGCATGTGTACGATAGCATACGGGAGGGTCGATCTAGACCATGTCGAGTATATTTAGAGTAGAGTATGAATTAATTTACCGACTTTTTCTCCCTCGTTGATCGGAAGTGAACGAGAGGACGGAGGGGCGACGCCTACGACGATACCGAGCGCGGGCTGCAAGGTTGGCGACGGGAGCAGGATAATGACGTGGATTGAGTGTACGCCAGCACCAGCACGTCAAAAGAATAACGGGCCAGCAAAGGTCTCAAGTAAAGCACGCAATTACGATAATCGACGAACTCGGGATTTGACTGACCCCACGTGTAGACTGACTGGTGTCGCAGGCAAACCACGCGCACACTGCATTTATCCGCCCCAGCGTCCAGGTCGTATCCGCGCCGTTGAGCCATTGGCAGCAGCCATTTGCATGAGCTTGACCAGGCAGCTGATACGGCACAATGCCGATTGAGGTTTGCTGGTGAAGCCTCTCACGTAATCGACGTCTATGCAAATGGTCAAGTAATGGGTTCCCATTGAAGGGAAGGGTTTGGGTTTGATTGGAATGCTCGCGAGAGGGGAGTGTCGATCGCTGATCCGCCTCCAAGTCCATTAAACGCGGTGAAGAGCATGCCCAAGCACATGTTGACGCGTGCTGGATACAGTCAATCCAACGTGAACAGTAAGCAATAGATAGCTCGAGACGGGCAGATAGACGAGCAAAAGACAGCATTTATTCTACCTCTTGCTCTCCTCTAAATGCTCCCGTGAAATGGCCCGAGGACAGGCAGCGGCAAAAACCATGCGCCTGCAGCTAAATTGCGGAGGCGGCCACATGCTGCCCAGGTGCTCACCAGGTCAATTGGGAAGGTTAGAAGGTTTGGGCCACCGAAGACTTATCTACCCGCGAGGCCCTGCCAGTACAGGGAGCATACACCCCCCTACTCTCTCCGTCAACACCAGCATACACTCCGACAATGGGCAAGCTTATGCTTTGGGTTTATCCTACCGTGGAGAGGTTGGCCTCTCGCGAGTTCCAGTTGAAGGACATCCTTGAGGGTGCGTCATCCGTTCTTTTTTGGTGGATGTATGCTAACATGACCGCACACAGGCCGCACTCGTTCGCCCGTCGCTCTTTCCGACTTGAAAGGTTACACTCACCACGTCGAGCACTCCTCCGAAAACCTCCAATTCTACCTCTGGTACCTCGACTACTGCCACCGCTTCGCGGCCCTCCCCATCGAGCAGCAGTCTCTTGCGCCTGAAGTCGCCCAGATGGGTCCCCCCAGTCCTGGTGTCGTCAAGGCTACGGGTGCCGGTTTGAGGCCCGATTCTGCTACCACCCTCGCTGCCGGCGCGGAGAAGCGCGCCGGTCTCGTTGAGAGGAAGGGAAGCTTTGCCACGAGCTTGACCAATACTACGAGTCCGAGCGAGTACTCCAGGACCTACAGCGAGAAGGATGCGTTGAAGTCTCCCACCAACGGGTCCATTCTTACGTCTCCATCTTCCATGCACTCTTCCTCCCCCAAGAGCTCCTACGAAGCCGACCCTCTTGCACGCCAACCCTTCCGCGTTGAATGCATCCGCATCGCCAACACCTTCCTCTCCACCTCCGCAGACCCCTTCGGCCCTTCCAACGCGCTCGAACTCAACTTGCCCAACTCCTTGCGACAAAAGGTCTTGAGGGACTTGGAGTGGACCACCCACCCCAGCGTCTTCGCCGGTGTCGCCGGCCATGTCTGGGATTTGATGCAATCTGCCACTTACCCCAACTTTATCCGCTACGCCTGCAGTAACGCCAACCGTCCCCGCCAACTTTTCGCCTTGACCCTCGCCATCGCATGTTTCTCCCTGGCACTCGCCATAATCCTCTGCACCACCCTCATCGAGGGCATCCCCCGCGCCTGGCGCCTTTTCTGCCTTCCCGCCGTCTTTTTGGGTGTTTTGTTGATCGCGTTCAAGGGTGGATGTATCGTTCTCTTCTTGAACAGGAATCGTCGCCAGTTGAAGCCGTATGAGTTGTTTGTGGATGAAGATGATAAGATGGTTTCTGGGCATCGCTCGCTTAGGGTCTTCGAGAAGGAGGCGAGGATTGAGGAGTTGGGGGTTAGGAGGATGATGGATACGTTGTTTGGGAGGGGGTGTTTGATTGCGTTGGTTGTTACTGGGATTATCGCCGCTATTGTGATGCCGGTCCCTGCTCGTTGATGACCATCGGTCTCGGAGTGTGAAATTGGAAGTGAAACCGGTTTGTTTTCTCGTATCGTACGTGGGAAGGGTTCGACAATGGAGGCGTTTGCTTGGATTTATATTGGGTATATCTTTCTTTCCTTTTCTTTTCTGTTCTCGGCGCAGGGAGCCTGAGTTCGTTCTCTTTCGGACTTCGTGTCTGTATCTTTTTCGTTTGTGTTTGGAGGATGATGAGTGCTACTACCTATAGTTTACATGTTGAGGTGATGTTTTCTGCTTAAAGTAGGGTTGAGGTTGGAAATTGATGTTGAGTAATCTTACAGTTCTTCCATGGCGATTGGCTACGATTGTGCTTGATCCATCAGTTGTTTCCCCTGTCACCTCACCCAGAAATCTAGCTAAAACAACACTGTTCTATGACACATCTTGTGACGACGGACTTAAGATATAGTCGTACGGTGTAGACATTGAACTTCATGTATTCACCCCGTCCATATGGAGTCTCTTCCCACGCACCAGTCAGCTGCAAAGGACAGGACCCGTTAGCAAGGATGGGAGCGGATTTGACCAGTCAGCTGCCAAGGATCTGCTTGGTATAAGAACAGCCTGTTCCTCTGTGCACGAATCTGCAAAGCACAGGCTGATTCGATCGAACAGCTGGAAAGAAAAAGGTTTTCCGCGACTGACTTTCGTCTTCTTCCCGCAGCCGAAGCTTGTTGAAGACTGTCCCGGACCACCCTCACATTGCCACAGTGTGCCAAACGCACCTGTTGTAATGATACGGCAGAAATATCTGGAGCATCCTATACCCTTTTTCGGTTGTTATCATAAATCAAGATTGCGTTCATTACTGATTTTTGCTCCCTCTTTTAGCACCAGTGGCAAGGATTTTACCTGTCCATGTGGGCATCCTGAATGACTTATAGGGGAGGTTAACAATAAGGAATATTATAGGTCTTGGTTGACCTACGGGAGGTGTCCGAGAGGATCAGAGTGTGAGCACGTGCATATCATTTGGTCGAATGGGTGGTGGGCACCACCTGGTACTGCAGTATTCCATTAAGGATGCTCCCCCAGCTGCGGAGAGTGCTGAGACAGGTAAGAGTGTTAAGGAAGAGGAGGATGCCGAGCCAGCGTCGAAGCGCCTGAAGGGTCACTAATAGGTTCGTATTGAATTATAACATTTCACTGGGTTCCCTTGCTTTCACTTCTCACGAATATTTAAGTGAGCCTAGGGCCACTAAGCTTGCTCGGTACTTCATGCCGACATCGACATCGTGCGGGGACCCTCTCGAGCAGGACAGCATACCAGAACAGCTGCTACTTCCCAAATATCGAGAAAATGACAGGGACTATGCAAGCACTCATTGCGACAGAAGATCATTCCGCTGCTGTTCAGTCAGCACCGATCCCCCCTCCCTCCTCGGCGCAGATTCTTGTCCGCGTTCACGCCGTAGCACAGAATCCCACCGACTGGAAGCATGTCGCAGCTCTCTCCGAGCCAGGAAATTATGTTGGCTGTGATTTCGCCGGGGTAGTAGAAGCTGTTGGTGACTCCGTCAAGACTCGTCAAGTTGGGGATCGAGTTGCAGGCTTCGTCCATGGAGGTAAGAGGTTACTCTGTTCCAGTGCCGTACATTGCATGCTAATACCAGTCTTTAAGGCCGATTTGAAGGCATTGGCTCTTTTGCCGAGTACTTGATCACTGAGCCAGCGGTTACCTTTGCTATTCCCTCCTCCACTTCGTTCAAGGCTGCTGCGACTTACGGGATTGCGTGCACGACAGCTTATCAAGCCCTTCATCAGCGTCTAGGTATCTCAATCCCGGGATCCCTGGAGAAAGCTGTTCTGGTCTGGGGCGGTGCCACCAGCGTCGGGTGCTTTGCCATTCAACTTGCCAAGCTTGCCGGCGCAACGGTGATTGCGACGGCGAGTCCCGATCAGTGGGAGTATCTGAAAGGGCTTGGTGCGGATGTGTGCGTTGATTACAAAGATCCAGAGGTCGTGAAGAAAGTGAAGGACGCCGCCGGAGAAAATGGCGTTACCTACGGTTTGGACTGCATCTCAGAGGAACAGACAGTCAAAGCCGCAACTTCCTGCTTTACCGGGAGTGGCAAGCTCATCACCTTGCTTGGAACCCCACGTATTGCAAACAGCAACCCTGATCAGGTCACAGTGCAGCCAACGCTTGTGTACACCATCCTTGGCCGTGCCTTTGAGATGCGGGACCATGAGTATCCCGCCTCCCCCGAGGACCGTCGTGTAGCGGAGCAGCTCTACGAGGAGCTACCGGAGTGGATCCAGAGCGGTAAGGTCAAACCCAACACAACTCGTATTGTCGAGGGGGGTTTGGATGGTATCTTGAGAGGTTTCGAGGAAATGAAGAGTGGTAAAGTCCGGGGCGAGAAGCTTGTCTATGTCATCAAGGAGTGATGGTAAAGGTTCAAATACCATATATCAATATCTAAGTATGCTAGGTATCATCTGCCGCAAGTAATGCCATCTTTAAGCGTCCAAACTCTGCTGAATCACCATCATCTTGTATCTTCCACCCAATCTGATCAACTCTTCGTGCGTGCCACGCTCAACAACCCTACCCTCCTCCATGACGTAGATGCAATCAGCACTCTTGATTGAGCTCAACCTGTGTGCAATAGCGATGGTAGTCCTGTGCTTCGCTGCTTTGTTCAGCGCCTCCTGCACCAACTTCTCGTTCTCGGTATCAAGGGCAGACGTCGCCTCGTCGAGAATCAAGATTTTCGGGTTTCTGGTAAGAGCACGTGCAATGGCAATACGCTGGCGTTGACCACCAGACAACGAACCACCCTTACCACCGCATTCTGTATCGTAACCCTCGGGAAGCGAGACAATGTAGTCATGAATGTTCGCTTCCTTGCAAACCCGCTCGATGTCCTCCTGGGTGACATCCTCGGGATTCTCCGAACCAAGCAAAATGTTCTGCCTGATGCTGCCACCATACAACGCAGGCTCTTGAGCAACGAGGGCGATGCGGGAACGATGAGTGCGAACATTCAGATCGCGAATGTCCTGATCATCGACACGGATGCTACCTCTGATGGGGTCGTAGAAGCGCTCAAGCAATGCAATCGTCGTCGATTTACCACACCCAGATTCACCCACCAAGGCAACGAATTGACCGGGGTGAATGGTGATGTCCAACCCCTGCAAAACCGCAACATCAGGTCTAGTTTCGTATCTGAAGGCGACATCCCTGAACTCAATCTTACCCTCACAAGTATGCTCCGGCTGCTTCTCATTCACAGGTGCTGCATCGATGGCCTCGATTACACCCTTCTGGTCATGCAACTTGAACACATTCCTTGCTGCGCTCTTGGCCTGAGTGATATCCGGTGCGAGTGCAAAGACCTGTCCGGCAGCTTGGGCAGAGAACAAGACGGCAGGAAGCGTGATGAAGAACTGCGTTGTGGTATACTCGCCATTGCTAACGAGCTTCGAACCCCACCAATATCCGAGAGCGTACAGGTAGTATGAGATCGAGTACGCGAATGCAAGCCAAAAGTTACCGACGACGAAGAACCTCAAATTCTCCCTCCAAGGTCCCATAAGAGACTCGTGGTACTGCAGTCCAACATCGGCCTCACGTCCGAGCGACGCAACCGTGCGAATAGAGGAAATGGCCTCGGTGGCCAAAGCAGCAGACTTGACGAAACTCTTCTCGTGTTTCTCTTGAAATTTGGCGACGATATGTAGTCTCAAGAATCCAGCGACGAGCAACACTGGTACTGCGCAGAGAAGCACAACGGAGATCTTCCACGCAATGATATGAGCAAGAATGAGACCGGCGCTGATTGTCGTGACAACGGAAAAGATCGTACCGAGCACCACACCACTCATCTGAGAGAGATGCGTGGCATCCATGGAAAGCCTCGACACCATTTGACCAGGTGAGTTATCGTCCCTGTCGAACCAAGCTTGATCTTGACCCAAGATCGTCCGGAAGGACTTGTCGCGAACCCTCCTCACCAACTTCTCCGCCGCGTATCCGAACGCCGAACCATGAGCAGTGTAAGCGATCAACTCTACACATGCCACCATAAAGAACAACCCAGAATAGAGATTCGCCTCGCTCCTCATCTGATCGGGCTGGCCGGTCAACTTGAGCGCAGTAACGAGATGACCAAACAGAATCGCCTCAGCAGCCGTAGTACCACCAGTAATAATACTCGCCGTCAACCCAACCGCCAAATATCCCCACTCAGGTCTCGTAAGCTGCAACACCCTCTTCACGAGATGTCCCACAGTATACTTCGCATCCCCCTTGCCTGCCCCACTTCCCTGGCTATCGACAGAATACCTCTTCTCCTCGACCTGGCTCTTGACTTGATCGATCACCACTCCCTCACCCGCCTCCATCTCGAGCATCTCGTCGATATCGACATCCGTCTCGGCACTCCCGGGGATAACGTCGCCGCTAACATCCTGAATACCAACCATAGTCCAGTACCGTCCACGCTTAGCCATCAACTCCTCATGCGTACCTTCTTCGATGACGAGACCGTGGTCCATCACGACAATCTTGTCCGCATCGCGAATCGTACTCAATCTGTGAGCGATGACGATGACTGTACGGCCGATGTATGCGTCCTTGAGCGATTGCTGGATGAGTCGCTCACTTGTGGTGTCCAACGCACTGGTGGCTTCATCTAACAGCAGAATCCTGGGGTTGCTGACGAGTGCTCGGGCGAGACAGACTCTCTGTTTTTGTCCACCACTCAAGCTCGCTCCGCCCTCTCCGACGAAAGTGTCGTATCCCTTTGGTAAACGCTCCCTGATGAAGGTATCCGCATTGGCCTTGCGTGCGGCTTCCATGCATTTCTCTCTGAGTGCTGGGTCAGAAATCGGGGCGTCGAGGTGACGGATACCGTAAGAGATGTTGCGAATGACAGTCTCGTCGAACAATGTCGGGGTCTGGGACACGAGTGCGATCTGCTCGCGAAGAGAGTCGACGTTAAGCCGCCTCAGGTCTTTGCCGTCGAGGAGGACTTGGCCTCCAAGGGGATCGTAGAATCGCTCCAATAGGTTGATGATTGTAGACTTTCCCGATCCCGAAGACCCAACGATAGCAGTAACCTTGCCCGCCTCACATCGCAAATCGAGTCCCTTCAACACCCTCACACCCTCCCTACCCGGGTACTCAAACTGCACCCCCTTGAAGACAACCTCTCCCTTGCACTCCTCCGAAACCACCTTTTCTCCCGTCTCATCTCGGACATCAATCTCACTCTTCCGATCAATCGTCCCCAAGATCCTACTCCCCGCAGCCCCAGCCAACGCAAACGTCTGCAAAAACGGCGAAAACTGTCCAATAACAAAACTCGAATCGAGAATCAAAAAAACGACGGTATAGACCTTTCCGACGGATGTAGAGCCCGTGGGCTCGGATGCGATCATGTGCGCACCGTACCAGAATGCACATGCGTTTGCAGCGTATGCGACGAACCAGACTCCACCGAGGACTGCGGCGGCTGCACAGGCTTTCCGGACAGACCATTTCCATGCGACGCGGAGACCTTCGTCGTGTTCCTTGCTGAGGGTGCTCTGGGAGTTGAAGGCTTTGACGGTACGGATCTGTCCGAGGACTTCTTCGGCGAGGGAGGTTGCTGATGTCAGGGATTTCGCGGCGCGATTCGCGTACCGAGAGACGAAATGCGAGCCGCCGACCATGACGAGGATGAATGCGGGTACGACAGAGATGAGGATTCCGGTCAACCTTGGTACGAGCGCGAATCCTACTGCGAAGGAAGCGATAAAGTATGCGATGGATTGAACAAAGATTCCGGCTTTCTCGGAGATACCCATTTGGATTGTATGCGTGTCTGATGTGAGTGCGGTATTTGCAGTGGAAGCAGTCGAGTTGGCGGAGTGGTATGTCATGTCCTGGTACAGTAATGACTTGACATACCTTTCTCTCAGCAAGCGCGTTGTGAGGGCTCCGCAGTGGGACCATGCGGTGAGGTAGGTCCATGTTAACAAGAAGTAGATGGCGGCAATGACGATGAGCCAGATCAATCTCATGTTGACGCCGGAACCTCCCTCTCCGAAGTTGTCAATGACTTGTCCAAAGACGTATCCGATCTTCTGCTCGTAGCTCTTGATGTGCACGTGGAGTGCAACCTGGACGTCCATTTACTGCAACACTTCACGTCGCAATAGGTTACGCTCATTATATCTACACCATCAGATAATCAACTTGCGGATCTCTCGGTTCAGCAAACTGCGCCCTGAACCCTTAGACGTAGCGCGTCAGCAGCTGGATCGCGACATGGCCAAACAACAGGAAAGCGCAGACGACGGATAATGCCCGGATTGACGTGTTCGTACCTCAGCAAGACGACCTCCGTTTCAAGTCAAACGCGTTAACGGCGCGTGCGTCCCGCGGCCGGAACCAATCCTGACCTACACTGCACACTCCACGCACGAGGCATTTCCAAGTCACATCACGGCACTTCCTCCATACAAGCAGCACCCGAGTCCTTGCAGAAGATCGACAGAGACGCGTTTTACGAGCTCAATGGACGGTGAGCAGTCTCAGACCCGGATGAATGCTACGCAAGTCATCAAGGCAACGGTCATGACAGCTACGCAAAGCGACGCCAAACGGCCAGCCCTTCCCAATAACGGCGTCCGGGTTTCTGCCTAAGTCGCATCACTTCAGCAGACGGACAAGCGGAATTGAGGCTTAGCATCTAATCCAGCTCATCTGATAAAAATTTCGTTGGCGCTTTACTCGAATAGGCAAAGAAGTGCAGGATCAGATGTGCGGATCAGATAAGATGAGGTCAGGCTAAATTGGATGTATAAAACTCGGGGAAGAAAGAAAGTTATCTGATTCTCCTCCTTCTTCACCTTCGAGCAGGACTCGATTGAAAGGGGAATTGGAATGGTTGCCGCGACGAAGAGAGAAGAGCGACCGTCCGTTCAATTACAGGGCGAGCCTCATGTCGCAATCACCCTCGATGCAACACCTACCCCGGCAAACTTGATGCACGATCCAAGACCAGCAACTCATCGCACTTCCTCCTTTTTTCACAAGTTACTCAACAGGGATGCGGACGCCGACAAGAAGAAGCAGGAGAAGACATACGGCTACTTGTCGCTCTTCCGCTACCTTCCCGCTCGCGACAGGTTCATCCTCGTTCTCGGCTTTGTTTGCGCGTTGGCGGCCGGTGCTCCATTGCCGCTTATCTTACAAGAGACTTACAGTTTGAATGCGATGGCGTGGTGGAGTGTCAGATTTTGTCGGGTACGCGGTCGATGAGTTATGCGTTGTTCTCACAGTAATGCATCGATGGAAGCCGTGACAAAACGTACGAGCTCAATCCCCGGATTTTTACGTCCATAGTCCTTACGAACTTGGCGCTCATGGAATTCAAACCTTGAAATTCCATAGTCAGATTGTGAAATTTCCATATCATGGAAGGTGAGACTTTTTGCTCATGGAAATTCCAGAACTGAACACCATAAGCAAGTTGGGGGAATTCCATAAGCAAGGTTTGAATTCCATGAGCGCAACCTAATTTCTAACGATATGGTATGTATCACAATAGTAGTCCTCGCATCCTCCGTCCTCCTCGCCTGACCCCATCTCCGTACTCACATCGCCTTCGTGCTTACATCCCCTCCGGCTGTGTCTCCGTAGTCACATCTCCGTACTAACATCGATATCTCCTCCATCGTACTCAGAGGCGAGGTATAAGCAAGAGAATATGATGCTCGTTGGTATCATCCCAGGACCGAACGAGCCCTCGGATCTGTATTCCTTCTTACTCCCTTTAGTCGAGGAGTTTGAGGCACTCTATAAGGGTATCCCTGGCATCTGGGATGTTTCCTCCGTGGATTCTAAGCACATGACGTTCACCATGCGAACTTACATCTGTGCTGTTGCTCGAGATCGTCCTGCTATGAAGAAGATGATGCAGACCGTCGGTCACAACGGGCCTTACCCATGTCACATCTGCGAGTTCAGTGGCACCCGCGTTGATTGAGCAAACCATCATTATTACCCGCATTCTTCTTGTGAGAACATGCCACGAGTTCCTGAGCCGTGGGAGACTCGTGATTGTAACATCGATGCTCTTCCAGTCCAAAGACACTGGCAGATGAAGGAGGACATGTTGAACATCGCCCGTGCAAACGACGACAAGCTCAGAACCGCTACGGGCTTGTCTGGGCATTCTGTTCCTGCCAACGCCGCAGTGGCCTTGGAACTTCGGAATTGATGTTATGCATCTGATCTGTGACAACAAGTGCCATCTACTATTCAACTTGTGGGATGGACGGCTCCCTTGCAACACGGATGCTACGTGTACAGCAGCGGATAAGCCGGATGCCGAGGAACTGCAGGTCGCCGTGAGACCTCTCGACGATTCCGAGCGTGAGCGTGGGCGTGGGCGTGATCCGGAGGAGGCAGAAGAGGATGCCGATGCCGCCGTGAACTCTGATGATGCAAGCCGCATTGATAACCTGTGATGAATGGGACCAATGAATGTCACGTCTGTGCAGTATGCAGTCATGAGGTAGAATGGTATAACAGTGTAGTGATGGTAAATCGTATAAAAAATTGTACTTTCAAGACGAATTGTCAATCCAGATTGTGCCCAGAATATCCTCAGTGACTAGAGTAACTCTATTCGTGATACTGGATAATTTTATTCGGGTTTTATAATCGTGTTTGGTAGAATTTAAGGGTCTCGTAGGGATGAGTAATGTTCAGGGTTTTCGAAAATTGATTCTAAAACCCTCGACCGCCGCCGCGCGTAAATCGCACTGTACATAGACACGGGCATCACGATCGTCATATGCACATGATATAGTGGGCATTCCGGACATGTCTGTATGTAAAGGCCGAGCGAGTTATTCATTAGTGTCGGATCAATTGCCGAACCTTTATCGCGCAATATTCGGCCCATGTGAGTAGCCAATGAATTACTATCCGGCAAAAATCACACACAGCATCGTGAACTGAAATCTCAGACAAAATTGCGAATCAAAAATCATGTTATAATCGTGGATTATACCCAAAAGACGATCCTGAATTAGGACAAATCTTATCATAGATTGAACCGCCCAGAATCATGGGTTATACCCCAAATCGTCAAGGATGATGCCAAATCATATGGTGGATTGATCATGCCCGATCTTGTCAAGGATTAATCCGACATGTTCAAGCATCGGGTCTTATAATCCATGATAAAATTAGACTTATCAACGACAGAAGTCATGAATTGAATTTAACCTAGTAATCCATGATTCCATTATGTGCTCAGGGCCAATTTTAAAGTCACAAGCAAGCTTCCTGAAACTATGGGAGAGCTAATCCACCGGGAGCCTATGTGCAAAATACAGAAGACTGATATGGAGCAACTTGCCGGAGATAATCAGAGAACCCTACATTCGCGGATATCATGGATTACGATATCCAGTCCAATCCATAATTTAGAAACGTGGACTAATCCATGATTGTCTCGTGGATTTCAGGACCCAAACCGCGATATGATTCAGCATAATCCACGATATGTTTCGGCATGATCCCTGATGAAATCGGGTTTATGCCTGGAAAAGTGGCAAAAAAAATGCAGTGTCATTGGGGAGTATCATTGGGGAAAAAAGCGAGAGTACTAATAAAGATATTGTATTATGAGTATGATAACAGCTGTAGAGGTACAGTAGCAATAATCATGGTCGTATAACTCAGGTTGTTAGCAAAAAACTGAATGATGTACAGGCAATCTCATCCATACATGGCCTTCATCGTTGTTGCTAATGGAGATAGAGACGTTCAATCGCACACATAAGTCTTGGAAGAACACCATACCTCTCGCCGAAAGTAGGATGGGATCCTCTAGAAATCAATATGTTATAAGAAGACTAAAAACAACAACTTTCATGCATTTTTCTGGACTGATCATATAAGGTTTGGCCAGCCGTTGCATCATTAAGGGGTAAGGCCGAGGTTGACCGATACCAAGGGTAAGCGACCGACCAATGTATCTCAACATGGACGAGGTACCGTACTCTGAGCTTTCAGACAGCGGTAGAGTTCTTAGGCGTGCACGGATGTGTGCCCTCATCAAAATTGGTCGTTCTCACAATGAGGTCATGGAGCCGTGCAAAGTTGCCCCGTCTACCCTGTCCAACATCACCAAGCGGTGCCTCAACTCGGCTGTTTTCATGGACGTCCCTCGGTCTGGCGGTCCAACCAAGCACGACGAACGCGATGACAAACGCATTGTCCGGTTGGTGCGCTCCGGCGTGGAGAAAAACGCCGTAGTCGCTGCGGCCCCTTTCAACATGACCGCTGAAAAGCCGAACAGTGCGAAAACGGTGAGGGAGATCTTGCATCAGAACGGTGGAAAGTCAAGGATAAAACCAAGAAAACCCTTTCTGAGCCGCAAAGCACGGGAGGAGCGCCTCAAGTGAGCTAAACAACACCTTGACTGGACTGTCGAGCAGTGGAGATAGGTGGTGTTTACTGACGACACCAAAACTCAACGTACTGCCGGCGCCAACTACCGAGAGTACACATGTGTGTTTGAGGATGACGAACTACGCGATGATAGTCCCGACTGAGGATGCATAGTGGCGGTGGGAGTTGCTTTGTGCTTGGAGGAATGTCGGCGCTGGGATTGACCGACTTGCATTGGTTCGGACTCTCGGCAAAGGAGACCGTCGACCAGCACTGGATCAAAGCGGCCGTGGAACAGTGTCTTGAACCGAAGCTAGTTAAGTGGTGCACTCTTGATTCGGACTTGTTGGTCGCTCACGACAATGATCCAGGATGGAAGTCTCGCAGAGTACAGGAGCTGCTGGATAGGCGTGTATGCACCGGATTGACTGGCCGTCATGCTCGCCAGATATGAACCCGATTGAGAACTTGTGGTCTATTATTGTCCGGAGGCTTGCTGAGATGTTTCCGATGGCGACGAGTGTTCCAGACGTCTTTGAGCAAGCATGGGAGGTTTGGCACAAAGTCACGCTTGAGGAGATCCTCAAGCTGATCGATTCCAGGCCAGATTGAGTGCGAATGTTTGACGAACGAAAGGGAGGCCATACCACTTATTAGCGGGGGCCCATTGATGTTATCGGTGGATGGAGAGGTGCACGTTGGTAGCGCCCCATCAGCTGTGGGAAGCGCTGGTAGGCCAGAGCAGGGTAAGTAAACATGTAGATAAGCACGCAAATTTTACAAGAGGATAGTTTCATATAAGTATAACAGTGTGGTGGTGGTAAATCGTATAAGAAATTCTACTTTCAAGACGAATTGTCAATCCAGATTGTGCACAGAATATCCACCAACTCGAATAACTCTATTCGTGATACTGGATGATTTTATTCGTGTTTTATAATCGTGTTTGGTAGAATTTGGGGGTCTCGTAGGGATCCTCCGCGTCGTCCGACAGATTCCATTATCATTTATGCAACCCGCCTATACTGAAGGTAAGCGTAGATGTAGGATGACCATGAGCAGCATGGTGCAGCAGAGTAGATATATCCAATATTTCACACTGTCCCTACGAAATCAACGCTTGTCTAACTTACACGAGCTGTCATTTACACCAGCGTAATCCACAACGGTGCTCGTGTAATCCAGTCTCGAAAACCGGAAGCAAATTCCACGAGCGCCAACTTGCTAGGGCCATGTCAAAATCGTGGCTTTGTCTGGGATGACACATGGTTACGCACTTTATTGTGAACTACTATCCTGGCAGAAATCCTCAACAAATTCGTGGATTACAGTCCTTAATATTATCATTGATAATGCCGAAAAAAATCATGGATCAAGCAGAGTCAAATCGTGGTTTGGGTCCCGTCATCCAGAATATGATCGTCATTTAACCCGCAACCGAAAATGATGAAGTAAACGGGATTTTGTACTCCATAATTTCTGCGAACGTAGAAACTAAGCCAAATCCTTAAGAGTAATATGCCTCATTCCCCTCCGGATTACCAGAGTCCATAAACTGAACTTATAGGCGGGTCCCGCGATTTGTAGGATCCCACAAATACAAATCAGCCCTATACATGTATGTAGATTTAAAGATGATGAATCAAATCTGAGTTTCAAATCGTAGATTCGATTGGAAATGGTCATGAATCTCGTGCGCCATCATGGACTACAAATCATGGATAACTGTGGATTGAAAATGGATCAAGCCATATCATGCACATCTCATTTTTCATCTCAAACGCGATTACGATTATATTGTCAACGCTCAAGCCGACGTTTTCGTATTGGGTCCTATAATCCACGCTAAAGTCGAGCTTTATCCCAACAAAAGAATCCATGGATATAAGCTGACCTGGTGATCCATGATTCGCGCATACGCAGGCGCTGGTATGATTGATTTACAATTACGCCAAATTAGGCCAACCAGATTAGGGATTATGCCGGTTCTCGTACATGATTAAGCAGAGCTTCGTGATACAAAAGCGTTTCAACTACCAAATCGGATTTTACCCCGGACAAATTGATCCCAAGCTTGCATGCACGATTCCAGCAATCATAGGGCACAGGGATAGCCTGTTTGTAACACCTGAGCTCTCCCCACGTTCGTCAGACTCATGGATAACAAATCCTGTTTAATCCATGCTTGTATTCTGGACTTCAGGACCCAAACGATGATTTGGATTGGCTTAATCCATGATTCCACGGTACAAATCGATATTATCCACAACAAGATCGTGCTTAATGCACACTTTAGTTCGGCATAATCCACAATGCGATTCGGCATAATCCACAATGCGATTCGGCATAATCCATGATCAATCTACGCTGGAAGTCAGCATTATCCACAGTATTTTCTGGCTCAACCGCACTGTATATGGTGCCATTCAATCCTGGAGCTGATTCAATTTCATCTCTGATCAAACCATGATAGCGCCCGGTATAATCCATGATAACTTCGGACTTAATGCGCGATTTTGACTTTTTAAGGGGAGTCGCTTGCGGAGGAGATTATTAACCAGGAGACGCTTGGGAGGGTGTTCATGTTATGTTAGTATCGGCGTCATGCCTCAAGGTCTGAGAGCTGGAAAGTGTTGTTCAACTTGGCTTTTTGATCAATATCCGATCTGCATATATAGGTACATACTACGCTTTGGCTCATGGCGCACGGGATCATGTCGATTCGAGAGACTTGAGAAATTATGAAGAGAGATGAAACAGATGCGGATATATCAAAGAAAAGCACATCAAATCACAGAACGAATAGCAAGACCTATATTATACTAATATAAGTGGGAATCAATCCTGACCTGAAAGCCCATATGAAACACGCTCTTCATGTCACCCTCTCATCCTCTCACATCTCTCCATTGCGAAGGATGGTTGCTCAGGTACAGAATACGTGCAGTCACTTATGCGACAGTCTTTCCTTCAACTCTTCAGCTTGCGGTGTTCGCCGTTCTCATTCTCCATACGAACAGCAGGCTCACGTCCGTGTTGGATCTTCCATTGGGACCTGGAGCGGGCGTGACGCGTGGTGTTTGCCTCTTGGTTGGAGGCCTCCTCGCGCAGTTGCGTCGCACTTGCAACCTCTTTTTAACAGAGCGATTGCGTTGGTGAGGTGTGCGACGGTTGTTCGGTTGGAGAACGGGGGAGGCAGGGGCAGGGGAGGCAGCGCGGTCACGCAAGTCTTTTGCGAACGGGGATCTTTCAGTGATGAGCCTGAAATCACTGCTCTTCGAAACACTTGCTGGCATCCATGATCATACGGAGTCTTCACAAAATTGCCTGATCGAGTTTGTGACGTTGGAAACGCTAGCGCGCGCACAGTTCCGGATCGGGAAGAATTGTGAAGGAGTTCCGGGTCGCGCGTAGGATTGAGGGTTGTAAAGTTTCGTGTGACATCAAGACTGAGTCTGACTCAGGCTACATGTTCTGTTGAACCAATCGAGTTCTTCCGATGCCGTTAGCTCGCACCCTTCCGGATCCGGAGCGTCACTGTCACACGCAGCTGCAGCTCAACGTGAGATGCCCACCGGATCGAGAGACATGAGGGTCGTGAGGGTAGCAAATCGAGCTGCACGCTATTATGGGTCAACTCGAAAAAACTTACACCCTTGCTGGGTCCTCATCCAAACTCTCCTCCTTACCAAACCATCCACAACCTCTTACTTACACTTCAAAACTGAGTATCATGTCGACCATCTTGAGCTCTACTTCTGCCTCTAGCTCTGCTACCACTGTCACCTCCTGCGAGGTCAGTCAGCAAGAGCCCGTCTTCCAGACTGGCTCCGGTTGTCTCCGCCCTCTCTTTAAGCTTGGACGTCGGGCGCCGCGCACGCTGGGGCTGAAGGCTGAGGATGAGAAGGCAGTGATGGCCAGAACAGGTGTAGTGGCTATTGAGATTGTTGAACAGTGTCGTGGAGAGGTTACAATCAAAGACCTGCTGAACAGCGTCCCTGTCACGAGGAAGGGAGGAGTCTTGAGAGACCTGCGGGCAACTATCAAGATTACCCTCCGAACCAAGGGCGAGGATTTCCACGAGAGGCTCGATATTTTGAAGATCACCGCCAAAAAGAATAAGGTATGTACTTTGTGTGTTCCGCATTTGACCGAGAGCCGAGAATTGAGACTAACAACATGGCAAGGCGATGAAGAAAGTCATTGCGTTTGCTGATAAACAGAAGCGCAAGGCCATGTGCCCTCGGTTTAAAGAGAAGAGGAACACTAAGTTCTGGACCGTCGAAGAACACATGGACTTTGAGGTTGCTCTTGCTGAGTGGTACAGGATGGGTGATGAATTCAGGGCACAGCAGAAGAAGGTATGTTAATATTCACAGTTACTCTTTCAAGTTGATGAATATTAACACTAGTTCAAGGAAAAGAAAGCGAGAAAGTAGAGGAGAACGATGAGAGCATAGGGCAGTTAGATGGAAGGTTTGTCATCCCTTCCCTTTCTGGCTCTAGCATAATGTACTGATCCCGAAATTAGAAGAAGAAGGCAGCGCGACGCCGTCAGGAAGACGAATGTCAAGCCCAAGACAGCACCCAGATCATAAGGGAATTCGCAGAGCCAGGAAGCACAAACGGGACCGAAAGCTCTATAGTAGGCAAGGAAGCCGGGCGCCGTCTTGAATCCGCTGGGGAGACTAAAGTCAAGCCCAGCGAAGATGTGTTGCCTCCTAGCCTAGATTCCGGCCATGGAGTATCAAACATGGCCGGCGGGAAATATAACCAGCATATAGCCCGCTCATTGTCCACTCCTGTGATTGTAAATCTTGTACCCAAGCTGTTTAAGCTTGAATAGTTTTGTGATTATCTGAACGTGAGGATTTGTCCCAGCTCAAGTCATCCCACGACGTAGCGTCCCACGACGTAGCGTCCCTTGACCAGGGGAACGCATAACCATATACGGGATTGACTACGTTACAGGTCGACGTCGGACTACACAAAACAAAATGCCCGACATCGACGCTCTCTTCATCCTCAATTCAGATGACCAGCTCATCTTCGAGCACCATTGGCGAAGACGCGTCACATATGAGACGACAAACGCCCTGTACTCCTCAGCGAGGGATCAACTGGACAGCACTGGACCCTTCATCGCTGCCTCGGATGGAAGTCTGTTATACCATGTAACTCATGCGCCGGCCTCGACCACGCATGACAATGTTGTTTTCCTCCTAGCGACATCGTCGGAGGCACCACCGTTGGTGGCTTTGGAGTTCTTGCACAGGATCATCCTCGTTCTGCAGGATTACTTTGGCAAAGTCACAAGTTCGACAATCGAGGGCAATTACGACGTAATCTGCAACCTGATGTACGAGATGATGGACAATGGCGAACCACTACTGACTGAGCCCAACGGTTTAAGGTACAGCGCAATGTGGTGTTCATGTCTGCAGATAGATCACTAACTCGTGCGTACAGAGACGCTGTCGAACCACCCTCAATTATGTCAAAACTGTTAGCGTCAACAGGTATAAATGCATCTTCACTGTCAGCCGCGACGAACCCTAGTATATCCACAATACCCTGGAGGAGATCAAAGGTGTCATACAACAATAACGAGATCTACGTGGACGTTATCGAGAGAATCCGCGCGATTACCGATGCGTATGTCCGCCTAATCAACATTGATCTCGAAAACGAACACTGACATGTTTCTACAGACACGGTCGACTCACCCACGCAACCGTACAAGGCGCCTTCCGCGTAAAATGCCAAATCTCCGGCGTCCCAGACCTCCTAATGAACCTCTCAACCCCCCTCGACCTCCCATCCCTCCACCCAAGTATCCGACTAGATCAACTGCAGACAAATCCACGCGCACTCTCATTCATCCCCCCCGACGGCGAATTCGAACTCGCAACTTACGAGACCGAGTTGAGTGGAGGGAGGATATGGCCTTTACACGCCGAAGTACGAAAACGGAGGAACTCGCCAGAGTGGGAGTTGGCTGTGAGTGTCAATCGTATGCCTGCGCGGAACTCGTCAGCAGCCTCACCGTTGACTGTGGACGACATATCGGTGGAGATCACCTTACCATCCCCCGCCTCAAACATCCGCACCTCAAAAGGCGAGCCAGAAACAACCCCAACAAAACTAACTTGGTCCATCGGAAAACTCGCACAATCCCAATCCGCAGTCCTCAAAGCCACCTTTTCCGGCGAAGGCGCACGGAGACCTACGGAGGTACGCCTGAAATGGAGCATGACGGGATGGGCGGCGAGTGGAATGCGTGTTGAAGGGATCAAGATTACGAAAAATCATAATGAGGGTGGTGGGATAAGTGGGGGGAGTATGAATGGGAGAGCGGGGATGGGTGCGGCGGCGGCGGAGGGGAAGCTTTTCAAGGGAGTGAAGTATGCGACGCAGTCTGTGGATTGGGTGATTAGGTGCTGAAGTGTGATTGAAGAGCATTTCTGAGCATATTCGTGCTTTGCATCGCCTTAGAGAATGCCATTACGCATTGATGGGTTTGCATATACCATAGATCCGCAACTATATGAGGGCCTAAAACCCGTTTTCCAAAACCTGTGTCCACAGTGTTAGACCACCTACCATCAAATGGAACGTCGCAGACATACCTGTATCAGCTCAGTAAGGGAAGCAATGACCACATCTGCCGTATCCTTCAGATGCCCATTCACGTCACTCAACAGGAGCACAGTCGCAGCGCCAGCTCTCTGTACACCCTGATCAGCATTCACGTTGGAACACCTATACATGTCACGGCCGTACCTTGCCGGCTTCTAAATCGTCAGCCGAATCACCGACCTGTGTATTCGTGTCAACAGATTTTTACGCAACGCCGTACAGGAGATACAGACCATAATCACTGCTTGTGGATCCACATTCTTGCACAGCATTAGCCCAGAGGACACGTTCGTCAACCACTAAGGGAACACACCCAGTGTTCCGCGATGTGCAATATAGGCGCCGGATGTGGTTTCGGCGGTCGAAACTCTCTCGTTACCACCGGCGAGACATCCAGTCCCCCTAGGAAAGTGCTGATAAGGTGGTTCGTTGGTACGGGAAAATTACGTGTGCATATAGCCTTGGGTATGCCTTGGTGCTCGAGAAAGGCGAATAATTCGCGGAGACCTGATTGAAGCGTAAGATGAAGGCTCAATGCCAGTCACGCAGGACGGTGTCACCTGGTTGAGCTTTCTGTTCATACGAAAGATTAGCCTTAGCCAGAGCAGACCGTTCTCACTCTATGAACCATTTCCTGCATCGCTCTTCGTTCGATTGAGCGAATTGCTTCCTCAGCTTCTGATTGCTCTGGTTGTGGAAGACTGTGGATGTGGTCCAAGATGTCGATGGCAGGGGCAATTTTCAAGGCTTGTCGCATTCTTTCCAGTCGTGAGTGAACAGTGTTCGTCCATAATGGGTACATAACTCTTACTCCTGTATGAAGAAGACAGCATCAGTACGGCCACTACCATATTTCGCGGGTCCTCCACCCCATACCTTGAACATGTACGTCTGTGGAAGGCACAAAGTACCATCCATATCAAAAACAACACCCTTCACAGCATTTATCCTGCTATTAGGTGTACCACTCTTGAGTCCATGGAAGCGCATGTTGTCGGGGTGTATGGGGTGTATGGGATGACGGAATAGGCAGCGACCCCGTAACGTAGACACCCCAGGCACTAGTGAACCGCGAGCGACTGATGCCGAGGAGCAGCACAAAACATTGAACGGACGAGAAATCATCCCTGGTAAACAAATGGCTGACGATCTTGACAATGAACTCTTGGAGCTGGCAGGCCACGCTGATGGCTCCTCGCCGGCTCCTCAGAGAAGCGAGCCTTCTAAGAAACGCCGGAGAGCGAACTCTGACGATTTTGATGCCTCTTCGGATGAGGGAGAGTCAGATGACGATGTAGAGCAACAGGGCGAGTCTGAGGATGAGGAGAGCGATGAAGAAGCCGCTCTGCCGTATCCTCTGGAGGGAAAATACAAGGATGAGGCAGACAGAGCCCATGTATTGGGCCTCACCGAAGTCGAACGTGAATCGCTCCTCTATGACCGTGAAATGGAGCATGAAAAAATCATGGAAGCTTTCGAGGTTGCGCAGCGTGCACGCCAGCAAAGAGCTTCTCAAACCTCGAAATCACGAGAAAGCAGGGCATCCGACACCACCCGTCGCTCCGCACGCGACAAGAAGGTCAAGACCGACACGAAGAGCAAACTCTCCGAGCTGGTTAAGCGCAGAGAAGATAAATCGAAGGGAGTGAAATCCAGGCGTGACGATTCCGAAAGTCCTGACGATCTTGACCGCAAGGACTTAGGATGGGGTGACAGTGATGACAGCGACGAAGACGAGGTACACCGACCACAACCCAGAAGACGTGACGCGGAGGAAGAAACTGGTACAATTACTCTCGAGGGCATCAACTCAATCCGCATCTCACGAAAATTCCTCGGAAAGTTCCTGTATTACCCAGCATTCGAGAACGCAATCCGTGATGCTTTCGTGCGCATCAACATTGGACAGGACAGGGGCGAGAACGTTTACCGTGTTGCTCAGATCAAGGGAGTCGTCGAGAAAGGAAAGACCTACAACGTCGAAGGTACACCCACAAACCTCCGCCTGGAATGCCAGCACGGAAAGGCCGTCAAAGATTTCGAGATGAGCTTCGTGTCTTCATCACCTATAATGGAGAAGGAATACGCGCGGTGGGTGAAGACGTGCGAGGACGACAAAATAAAACCACTGGGACAACGCACCGTCGAACGCAAGATCGAGGAACTGAAAGAGTTCACCGCCTACACCCTGACGCCAGAGGACATCACCGCCATGCTCGAGAAAAAGCAAGCCCTCCGAAAACAACCAGGCAACCACATCATCGAACAAAACCACCTCAAACAACGTCTCGCAATCGCCCTCTCAAAAGGTAACACAGAAGAAGCCTCACAAATCAAATCCCGCATCGAAGATCTCGAACACATCGCAGCACAATACACCAAAGAGCACGAATCCCGGCTCTCCAAACTTGCACGCTTAAACGAGAGGAACCGGCGCGCAAACGTGGAGGAGGTCAGGAAGGCTGAGTTGAGGAACATTCTGGAGGCGAAGAAAGCTGCGGCTGTGGGGAAGGCGGCGGATCCGTTTGCGAGGTTGAAGACGGTTCCGAAGAGGTATTATAACAGTCAGCCTACGTCGGATGTGAGTCAGACTGCTACGCCGCAACCGGAGGCGGCGCCTGAGGTGGTGCCGGTAACGACGACTGTGAAGAAGCCTGTCGGGGGTGTCGATGATGTGATTGCGTCCGTTGATATCGATATTGACATATAGAGGGTCGTAGCATAATCTTTGCCATTGGCCTCGACGTTCACAAGAAATATCTCAACTTTCTAAGCAACTCTTCATTATCCTCATGATCTTCCTCGACACGCTCCTCCTCGACACGCTCCTCCCCGACACGCTCCTCCCCCTCCACATCAGATTCTCGAATCATAATCCCGCGCGTCCACATAGACTTCTGTCTCTTCTTCCTCAGCCCATACTCCACCATCCCCTTCTCCTGCCGGCGCCCCCACTTCTCCGCCATCCCGAAACTCTCCAAAAGCTTCTTCAGATGAAATTCCACAACCATGCCTCTCTTCCTTGCCTTCTGTTCCACCAATCTCCAGAACACATTTCGACAGAGCCGTGCATTGGCGAGTTTGTGATTTTTTGTGCCGGGTGCTGAGACCATCTCTGCGGCAATGATGGGCCAATTGAAGGAATGTTGCTGGGTGAGGGAAATGAGGTGGAGGACTTGGTCATTGGTCCAGGGCGGATAGGACGAGGATTCTTCGCTGGCAGGCCCTCTATGTTGTATAGCAACCCATTTGTCACGGCATCCTTTTCTACTCCGTGTCCCGACCTCCTTAGTGATTGCTGCCCATTGCTCAATTCTTGTCATTGTGGGATTGTCAAGGTATCTCTCAACCGCGGACCGCAGTCTCTCTGTTTCTTCTTGAGACCATGGGCCACGTTCGCAGTTAGTCACTACCTCAGTGTAGTAAAGGTACCCATCCCGGAGGGAGCTAGGTGACCAGTCAGGAAAGTGATCTTTGGCTAGCAGTGTCCATCTGACTACCTGGTTCCGGCGGTAATGTTTCACGTCAGGGTCATCCAACAACATCTCGATTTTTTCCAGCATCTCATCCGTAAAGGATCCGTTCTTGTACTGTTTGTCGTCCAAACCGAATCGACTGGCGCGCAATTCAATTTGCACCGCACTTCGCCCCGGAAGCAATTTTTCAATCAACGCCCATCTCGGACCATGCTTCTCGTATGCTTCTTTGAGGATCTTTTTCTCCTCCACAGTCCAGGGGGTACCAGTCTTATGGAAGGCAGGGTTGATGGATGTCGTACGCCATTTGCGTAGGCATTGTTCCGGTGTGCGGGTCCCTACCATCTTTGCGGCCTCCTCCCAATCAATATCTTTCCAGCAAGCGTTCATCTGTCCCTTGCCCTCAATACACCCCTGAAATTTCTTGGTTTCCTCAACAGACCACGGTCCTTTACGGAAAACACCAGGAACGTCCTCAACACTCTTCCTGACCGGGTGCTGGGTATGTTGAAAGACTTTGGTGAGGGCTTCATATTGTTTTTCGCATTCTTCAGGAGGGAAGGAGAGACCTTCGGAGACACGGGGCCAGTCGTTGTTGTAGAGAGACGCACGGCGGAGGAGGATGCTTTCATCTTCTTTGGTCCATGTGATGGTGCTGCCGTCGCTGGCAACTTGTGCTGGCCCGTGGGTGGAGTACCATAAAGTTGGAGGTTTGTTAAAGCGGTACCAGACGTGGTTGTAGGCCGTGACACAACTCAGCGGGCGTACTTTGTTCAAGAGTAGGGAAAGCGTTTGCCGCATGCGGTGTTTGTACTGTAGCTGATCAAGGACGGCGAGCCCATCGCCCTGGTCGGATCATGGATGTAACGTAGACATCTTCGCGCTCCCGCCTGCGAGTTCATGACTTGGTGAGGGACAGCCGCGGCTGAGGGTGGCGCAAAAATACATACGAGCCTGGACAGTCGCGAAAGCTCTACGGAGTCCCGAAAGCCTGAGAGGGCAGTACAATGAAGGAGCAGGTTATTGATAATGTGCCGAAGCGGATGTAAGTCACCCAGGCTGTTCCGCTCGAGGACTGGAGCTAATCAGGCTTTGCGCAGTAAATATCTGCAATTCGGTATCTCATCACCCAAGGACATTGTACGGCAAGGCAGCGTCGAGGTTTCGTCAAATCAATTGTACGTCTTCGATGGGGCGCAGAAAAGGGCATATCAGCATGGTGCTCTTGACCGACGGCTAGGTCCCTCCTCCAAGGACGGCGTTTGCGAAACATGCAACAAGTCTATGCAGGAATGTGTTGGTCACTTCGGTCACGTCAAGCTCGCTCTTCCATGCTTTCATATCGGATACTTCAAATCGGTCATCACGGTTCTGCAAAACATCTGCAAGGACTGCTCTCGTGTCCTTATCGATGAGAATTCCCGCCGTGATTATCTGAAGTCACTACGAAGACCAGGAATCGACAACCTTACACGCATGAACATTTGCAAGAAAATTAACACTCAGTGCAAGAAGGTCAGGAAATGTCTCTATTGTGGGAGTACGCAGGGTGTGGTTAAGAAGGCCGGTCCTCTTAAGATCATCCACGAGAAATACCGACACAAGAAGAACACCGAGGAGGAGTCCGACTTCCGCAAGACTTTCGAATTCGTGCAGAAATTCCAGGCAGATATCAAGCCGAACCTTGCGAAAGCCCATGACGATCTGAATCCTCTAAAGGTTCTCAACCTATTCCGTCAGATCAAGCCGTCAGATTGTGAGTTGCTCGGTATGGATCCTGAGGAGGGTCGCCCTGAGATGTTCATCTGGCAGTATGTTCCTGCTCCGCCATCATGTATCCGTCCAACGGTCAATCAGGGAGATACCACTAACGAAGACGGTCTTACGCACAAGCTTGCCGAAATTGTCATGATCAACTCGGAAATTAAGGGTTGTCTAAAAGCCGGTCAGCACGTTTCGCAACTCATGGAGCAGTGGGAGTTCTTGCAATTGTCGATCGCTCTCTACATTCACAGTGAAATGCCGGGTGTTCCACCACGCGTATCGGCGGAACTGAAGCCCATGCAGGGTCTTTGCCAACGTCTGAAAGGTAAAACCGGTCGTTTCCGTGGTAACCTTTCTGGTAAGCGTGTGGACTTCTCTGGACGTACTGTTATCGGGCCTGATCCAAATTTGCGCATTGACCAGGTCGCCGTGCCGGAGCGTGTTGCCAAGATCCTGACATACCCGGAGCGTGTGACGAGCATGAACATCGAAAAGTTGAAGCAGTGTGTTATCAACGGAACCGATATTCACCCTGGCGCGAACTACATCATCGACCCTGAAACCGAAACCAAGAAATACCTGAAGTTTGGTAACCGTGAGCGCCTGGCAGATGAGTTGAAGATCGGTCATATTGTTGAGCGTCACTTGAACGACGACGATATCGTTCTTTTCAACCGTCAGCCCTCTCTGCACAAGCTTTCTATTCTTGCACACAGAGCCAAGATTAGGCCATGGCGAACATTCCGTTTGAACGAATGTGTCTGTAACCCTTACAACGCAGATTTCGACGGTGACGAGATGAACATGCACGTTCCGCAAACTGAGGAAGCACGTACAGAGGCTATCGAGTTGATGGGTGTCAAGAACAATCTTGTCACACCGAAGAACGGAGAGCCGATTATCGCTGCCATCCAGGATTTTATCACTGCCGCTTACCTTATCAGTCGTCGCGATACCTTCTACGACCGCAAGAGTTTCACGCACATCTGTTCCTTCATGTTCGATGCCGACAAGCAGGTCGATCTTCCGCCACCTACGATCTGGAAACCTCAGCGTTTGTGGACCGGAAAGCAGATCTTCAATGTTTTGATGAGGGCGAACAAGTCGGAGAACGTCATCGTGAACCTTGAGGCGAAGTGTAAGACCATGGTTGATGTGCCAAAGGGTTCTGGTCTCCCGAATGACATGTCTCCGAACGATGGATATCTTGTCATCCGTGGTAGTGAGGTCATGTGTGGTGTCATGGACAAGGCAACTGTCGGAGATGGAAAGAAGAATTCTCTGTTCTATGTTATTCTTCGTGATTACGGACCAGATCAGGCAGGACAGGCTATGAACCGCCTTGCCAAGCTTTGTGCTCGCTGGTTGGCAAACCAGGGGTTCTCTCTCGGTATCAACGACGTTCAAGCATCGGATCATCTCAATGGGAAGAAGGATGCGGCTATCCAGAGAGCATATGATAAGGCCAACGGTGTCTACAAGCAACTTGAGGAGGGTAAGCTTGAAAACATGCCCGGATGTACCGGTGAACAGACTGCAGAGTTGAATGTATCCGGGACTTTGTCCGCCGTCCGTGGTGAGGCTGGTGATTACTGTTTGAAGGAGTTGCCACGTTCCAACGCTCCCCTTATCATGGCCAAGTCTGGTTCCAAGGGATCTCTTGTTAACGTGGCGCAGATGGTCGCGCTTGTCGGTCAACAGATTATCGCGGGTAAGCGTGTGAAGGATGGATTTCAAGATCGTACTTTGCCGCACTTCACTAAGGGTTCCAAGAGGAACCCTCTTTCTAAGGGGTTCGTTCGCAACAGTTTCTACACTGGTTTGACTCCGTATGAGTTCATTTTTCATGCTATTTCTGGTCGTGAGGGTTTGGTTGATACTGCTGTCAAGACTGCTGAAACTGGTTACATGTCACGTCGTTTGATGAAGTCGCTCGAGGATTTGTCCGCGCAGTACGACGGAACTGTTCGAAACGCCGTTAACGGTATCGTGCAGTTTGTTTACGGTGATGATGGTTTGGACCCTACATATCTCGAAGGTGATGGCGAGCCCGTTGAGTTCAAGAGGACCTGGAAGCATTGTCAGAACAAGGTATTCTTGCGGTCTTTGGGCAAGCACGACCTGGGGGAGCGTGGCCTATTGCCCTTTGAGATCAATCAGATCGTCGAGGAGGCTCTACAGGAACCCAACTTTATCAGGAACTGTACAGATGCATTCTTGAACAAGGTGAAGGAGTTTGTCCACAAGAGTATTGCTAGTGAGCTTAAGAAGATTCGCGAGGACAAGGGATTGTTGCCTATGCTGATGCCACCTGAAGATGTTGCGGAAATCGAGACAATTGACGATGCAGTACCTCCAGTGGAACGAATGGCTGTTCAACAGCTATTGACTGTTACGAAGACGCAGATCTTGGTCTTCCTCCGACTCTGCTGGGAGAAGTACATGAAGGCGAAGGTTGAGCCCGGAACTGCAGTCGGTGCTGTTGGTGCACAAGCTATTGGTGAGCCTGGTACGCAAATGACGTTGAAGACCTTCCACTTTGCTGGTCTTGCATCTATGAACGTCACTATGGGTGTGCCCCGTATCAAGGAAATCATTAACGCCGCGAAGACGATTGCGGGTCCGATTATTACTTGTGAATTGGAAAAGCAGTCCAACCGTGATGAAGGGTTTGGCCGCGAGGTCAAAGGTAGGATTGAGAAAACTTACCTTAAGGATATCGCCGCCTTCACTGAGGACACGTTTGCCCCGAGCAGTAACTACATCAGTCTTAAGATTGATTGGCTAGCCGTTGCGAACTTGAAGCTCGAACTGGCTATTGAGGATATCAGCAAGGCCATCGCGCAGGCACCGAAGCTCAAGATCGGAGGTGCCTGTATGGTAGCTTCAGGCTCTGTGGACCGTATCAACATCTTCGTTGACGACCCGACGGGCAAGGAGGACGTTTACTACAAGATGCAGACTTGGAAGCGAGCTCTCAACAACATCGTTGTGAAGGGTCTTCCGGAAGTTGGCCGTGCTATTCTTCGTAAAAAGGAAGACAAGTCCGACCCTAAGGAGGAGCATGGCGAGTTCCAACTCAAGATTGAAGGCTACGGGTTGCGAGAAGTCATGATCACTCCCGGTGTCAACGGAACTCGTACTCAGACCAACCATATCATGGAGACATGCAAGGTCCTTGGTATCGAAGCTGCTCGTAACAAGATTTACGAAGAAATCGAGTTCACCATGAGTTCTCACGGTATGAATATCGATCCCCGTCATATGATGTTGCTCAGTGATGTCATGACCTACAAGGGCGAGATTCTTGGTATTACTCGTTTCGGTGTTGCCAAGATGAAGGACAGTGTGATGATGCTTGCTTCTTTCGAGAAGACGACAGATCATCTCTTCGACGCCTCATTCTTCCACAAGCGTGACGCAATCGAAGGAGTCAGTGAGTGTATTATCATGGGTGTGCCTATGCCTATCGGAACCGGTCTGTTTAAGTTGATCAGGCAAAACGAGATGCCGGAGAAGCTGGAGCCGAAGCGCCTCTTGTTCGATACACCAGAGCACAGGGTGAACATGTTCAGAGCGTGATGGCGCTTGTGATGACGATTGACGTGAAAGGAAATTTAGCACTTATTTGACATATTTTTGGTATCTGGTCGGCGTTATATACAAGCGAATTTTGAAGAATTGCTCAACTGTATCATCGTGCATGCGAGCCTTGCGCCCCCGCAATTCGGAAGTAACGTAGACATCTGCCCGCGCCGGTAACCAATGTCGGCCATTAATGAGTCTGTAGACGTCTCATTGGTATGGATGAAAACTTCGATTGTGGCGAGTATGGCGATCACGAGAGCTGCTAAGATATTATTGACTCCAGTAAACAGTGATTTGTCTGGATCATCCGGACGTATACGGGATATCCCCCACTTGCATGCAGTACGAACCCTTCCAATCGCGAGTCAGACGCATATGCTTACGAGATAAGTGTCTATTGCTTTGATTGTATCTTGAAGTGGAGGTTAGCCTCCCGTAGCGGGGCCAGCGCCGGCAAGACAGGGCACAATCTTACCCAGGCATGTCCCATTTGCCGGATGGTTTGTTCTTCCCGAAACCAGATGAGAAATCCGACACTAATCCAGCGCAGTACACTAATCATATCATACCTTCAATATACTTTATCCATGACGATGCGAAGAAGACCGCCATCGTCGAGCGATTCCACCACACTCGGCAAACGCGGCTTTGTCCAATCTTTTCGTAGGTGTTATCTGCCAAGCTCATTCATGAATGCTGACCTGTTAGCAGCGATTCCTATCCATACAACACACTCTGTCCACTTTGGAATGAATGTCATTATCAGCATCGCGGCATCGACGGCACGTGCTATGTCTTCTCGAAAGAAGAAATCATGGACAAAACAAGAGAATTGGCGACCGAGAGGGTTGACCAGAGACAGCTCAGGCAAAGCTTGCTTCAAGTTGTCGAACAAGGGCACGGGAGTTTTCAATTATTGACCAAGAACACGGCGTCTGAACGCCAATCTGGGCAAAGCCCCAGAGATCATACTATAGTATCAGACCTACAGGATGTTGATCCGCTCGCACTGTCGGAGAGTGTTACCCTGGATGGAGAGACAGGAGAGCTGACGGAGCAATGGAGCTTATGTGAAGGGCGAGACTTTGATGACGCGATGTCAAACTTCGAGAAGGTGTGCAGCGATGTGTTTTCCCACGACTGACGTAAGGGAATTGTGACTCTGTTTTGAGCGTCTCCGAGTCTGAACGCTCTGCACAATCAAAATGAAGCAGTTCATTCGCGCCATGGAAGGAGATCCTGAAAATGAAGCGCTTGCAGAAGCAGCTTTACTCGCCTGCACGAGATCGGAGAAAGCGTTTGGAGGGTACAGAGGAGGCTTGTCTGGCGAATGCCGTACGGTTTCGGGAGACAAGTTATTACTATAGTATCCTGTTATACCCATACTTCTATATAGAGGTTCCCATGGCCCTGCCTGCCTTATGCTATGATAACTGGTACCAATATCGCAACATACCGCTCTAAGAATGCAAAGAATGCCAATAACGCCGTGTCCGTACCAAGTCCAACCTTCACACCTGCTACAACCCATACTTAACCGTACCATTTGCCAGTATTGTGTTCGATCGCTTTCCTTGTCGGAATGATGCTTTTCCTCACATCGAACACTTCACAAAGCTCCTTCCACATGGCTTCGGTCATTTCAAAAATGATTTGCTTTTTCTTCAGTCCAGCGGCAAAATCTGCTTCGTCGGGCTCTTCACAGTCTTGGACAACTGGAAGTCCATCCTCGTCCTCCTGAATGGATGCCTTCCCATCTCGAACAAGGAAGGAAAGGTAGAAGATATTTTCCACCGTTTGCGGAAATGATTCAGGATTGAGGATGAACTTGAACAGCGGACAGGGCGAATGCTGTGCCAGGATGTCGGATATGGCGCGGACATTCTGAGGGGTCGTATTCTCTTGCTGCTCGATATCATCTTCACCGATAGCCTGTGGTCTGACAAGATCTGCGCGATCCTTGCGGAGGCGCTGTCGTTCAGTGCGCTCTCGAACTTTCCTTTCCAAACTCAGAGGTCCCAGCATCCAATCCATCGTTGGCGGCCTCCTTCCTCCTCTCCTCAGTGAGACCAATCCAATCTTGTTCCAATCCAACTCTCTGATATTGTCGTCATCATTTGGATTCATATTTGGTATGCGCCCGTTCCCGTAGGTGATCAATTTGGAAAGAAACTCATCGACGTCAAAGGGCGAGTCCCCGAGCTTCATTTTTCGTGCCTTTGCACGAGCGGCATCGGATGTGTTGACGAGAAGACGAGAATCAAGAGCCGCATCAGTGGTGGACCTAACTTGCTCGAAAAGGACGTTTGCGCTCCGGACAATATCTCGCAGCCCGTTGTTTCCCGGTTTGAGATACTCTGTCTTATTATCTGTGCATTCATGTCAATATTCGTTACATATACACAGTAGATATCAACGCACCCACTTCGGCTCGTAACAACTGCCTGTAGCCCTTTCTGACCTCTCTACGGAGGGATGCATCCTGGTCAGGATCATAGATACCTTTATCCGTAGCTCGCTCCAACTCCTCCTCGAGCTGTTGTTGGGCCTCTGTGCGATGTCGGCGGACAGGAGGCATGATATATGCTGTACGAGAGCTGGAGAACGTACTGCGGCGGGTATGTAGCAGCTTTCCTGGAGCGCGTGTTGTCCGTCCGAGTGAATGCGGGCAACGGAAGACGCGTCGTGGTAGGGTCGGGAGGAATGAAACGCGTATGGCCAGTAAGAGTGAGGAAGAAGCGGAGGTGCAGTTCATCAATTTCGAAGAGAAAAAGATGTCTTGTTAGAACTGCTTTTTGTATCTTCTAGTCACTGACTACGTTACACTGCAGGGTGCCGAAACCTTAACTTTCCTCCGCTGACCGCCGGTGGTCGATATCGCTTGTTGGAGGTAACCTTATAAGCGTGTAAAATGGTCTGGTTTATTCAAGGAGGGAAGTAAGCTTACAAAGCAAGTAAGAATAATATGAAGGGTTCGAAGGAGATTGACCCCTGGCCCTATCAGCGTCTCACCACCACACGTGCCCTTTAACATCGCTGAGCAGGAGGAACTACCACAATGCTTCGAAGTCCATTACCATGACTGTCAAGCCGACGTGACCCACGACGATGTGAACTGTAGCTTGCCACTGGCGGCCAAGATCGCTCTGGTCCGTGGTGCTTTGATCTCTGCTCAGCTTCATGCCACGCATGGTACTGTTTCAACGAAGACCTACTGACCACTGACTCTCCACCGACTTACATAGAGGTGATCAAATCAGTGGGTACGGACATGGTGGAGCCAGACATGGGCGTTACCTATACCGTAGGAGAGAAAGATCTCGGTGGTGTTGTCGGTGAGCGGCGGAACCATCTTGTCCCTTGACGAAGATGTAAAGCGGCAAGTCAGAATGGTGAAGGCATTGGTTCCATTGAGTGAGATGATTGGTTACGACAAGTCCCTTTGGAGTTTGACCGGGGGAAGGGGATGATCCCAGATGAGTGTTGAGATGTTCAAGAGGTGAATTGCAACAAGGAACGGGAGGTGTTGAAGGAGGACACGATGAATTTGATTTCTAAATGTATTTACAAAGAAGTTGATAGTACGATAGAAGGTACCCAGAGTATAACCAGCATACAGGACCGGATCAACGGGCGATCGAGGCTGAGGTGTGCGGAGAGAAATCGATCGTTCTCGATCTGACGCAGAGGAGCACGGGCATGCAACAGAAGGGACGGAAAACGGGAACTCGAGCCTCCACTTGCTCCGATCAGACGAGTACATCTAGCATACACCTCATATATATACTAGAACATTCAAGTCAATTGAACAGCATACACCCGGTCAACAGCAGCGGATACAACTGACCTTTGTGTGTTTGCAGCACAATAAGGTTTCGTTTCTGTTACGCGCCCCTTTCGTCAGTGGAATTTGTGTGAACTTGGGCCAAGGCCTAGGGAGTGCTCAAGCCTGCATTAGACGAAAGAAGGACTGAACACCAACAAGTTATCAACCTCCAGCTGGAAAACCAGCCAAACGGCAATGTCCTTCTGCTGACTTCTACCTGCTCAACCTGGACTGAACTGAAGAAGACACTCGTTTGCACTCGACCACCAACCCATCCCCTTTCGTTTCTTCCAGCATACAGGCGCTATTGTCCTGCCAGCTACCTCTCTACCCCCCCCCATACACACCATCAATGCGCGACCGAAGACCATCGCAGATGAGATCTTTCGCAGCATTGAGCCTACTATATCTCTTCCTGGGTGTATTTAGCGCAGTAGCATCGGCCAACTACTGTGCTTCCGACAACACCGGTTCAGGTTATGATTCTAGTGAGTCCAACAACATTCCTATCCAATTGAGCGGCATTTAACTCGACCTACAGTCTACAGCACTTATCAATCAAGCGGTGCATGTCAAAGCACTTGCTCTGGCTACGCTTTTGCTATTGTTCAAGGATACTACTGCTGGTGCTCGGACATCGCACCGAACGGCGATTCAACTAGTAGCAACTCCGACTGCTCAGACCCTTGTCCTGGCTACCCGAGTGATTACTGTGGCAGTACTTCTAATAGTACGATTCCTTTGCCTCTCCTGATTTTCTTCAAATGCTGACAGAGCTTACAGATTTATATTACTATTACGCAATCGGCAAAGCTTCTGGCACTGCTTCAGCTTCCACCGCATCCGAAACTACGACGTCCTCCTCCTCAACAAAGGCGGCAGTTAGCATCGTGTATGTAACGCCATCGCAATCCTCTACCTCCACTGCTTCGTCGTCTAGCGCGACTTCGACGAGTGAGAGCTCTGCCCGTACGTCCTCCTCCGTGTCCTTTCGTGCATCCTCCTTCTCCTCTTCCCGATCAATGCCAACATCTTCGGTGTCAGTATCTGTCACGCCTTCGTCCGATTCGAGTTCATCAGCAGCGACGGAAAGTTCAGCATCGATGACGGCAAGTTCTGCAGGAGTTACAAGTACGCCGTCCCTGAGCGCAGAACATACGTCGAAAAGCAGCAGTTCCGGTGGATTCTTCGCCAGTGCGGGTCGCGTCGCCGGAGTTTTTGTCGCTATCGCATTCATCATCGCGCTTATCGTCGCAGGCCTCCTGTTTTACTTCCTCTTCTACCGGAAACGTCACGACTCGCAAGCCCTCCCGACTTCTTCTCCACCCATCTCACCTACACCTTCGAACGTTCACTCGCCGCTCTATGGTCGCTCTCGCTCTGGATCTACATTGGTCGGTAAATGGGCAGGGGGAACCATGGGCGAGAAGGAGGTCATTGTGGACCAGCGTCTCGATCCAAGAAGCATGCTCATGCGTTTCGAAAGTTCCTACTCGAGACGAAGTTTGAGAGATGATGAGGATTACTCGAGACGCGTGCTACAGGTACGAAACCCAGATATGGGACGGCCGAGTATGGCGAGCGAACGCGTACCCACACCAGGGACCGGCGGAATAACCAGCAGTCCGAATCGACCTGATGCCGAGGCTGCCAGTCTGAGAAGTTTCGTCAGGGGAGAGCAGGAAAAGCTTTATCCTAGTGGCAGATGAGTGGACAGCTAGGGGACGAAGATGAATGGTAGGGATCGGACGGGCGAAAGACCAAGCATATCAACGGCGCAAACACACGTTCACAAGTTCAGGGACGCTCTATTTTTACGAGGATTCGAGGATACACGGGAGTAATGACAACATTGATTTCTGCAGCTGGCTTCAGAATAGGTTTATGTGGGTTATAATTCGATCTGATTTAAAAGTGGGGCGGTTTCGTCACCAGGTGCGCGCTCCATATCGGCCAGCAGGGGCTGTCGTAGCCTGTAGAAGCATCCATCGAACCAGCACTCACACACCAGCAACCAAGCAAACAAGAGCATATACCCCCAAGAGCATTCATACGACACAATCATAATGTCAGTCGAAGAAGTTACCAAGGCCGTTGAGGAGGTGAAGATTGATGAGGCGCCTGCTACCGCTCAGGAGGTGCAGGATGAGACGAAGGCTGCGGGGGCTGTCGGAGCAAGCCCTAGGGTGTTCTTTGGTATGTTGTCTCCTCAAGGGAGTTCGTACGGCATGCTAACGATAGTGCAGGCAACCTCGCTTTCAAGACTACCCAGTCCGAACTCCGCGAACTCGTCTCCCCCACCGCCGTCCCCACAAAGGTCTTCCTACCCTTCAAGAACCGCCGTCCCCTCGGCTACGCCTTCCTTACCTTCTCTACCGAAGAAGACGCCGACCGCGTCGTCTCCGAATTCGAAGGTCGCGAAATTGCCGGTCGTAAGCTGCACGTCGACAAAGCCAAGATCAGCCAGACCAAGAAGAAGAGGTCTGACAAGCCTGCTGAAGGAGAAGAGAACAAGGGTATTGCTATCAATATTCCTGGACAGGCTGATGCGTTGGTTAATGCGGATGAGAATGCGGCTGTGGAGGGAGCTCACGCGGAGGCTGACGCGACTGCCCCGACCAAGGCCCCAAGAAAGCGCAAGAACCGCAAGAACAACAAGAAGAAGTCCTCTACCACCGCCAACGCCAACGGCTCCAGCGAGGGCGAGGGCGAAGGCGAGCAGACTGGCGACGAAGCCACCACTAAGAAGGACATCCCCGAAGGCGCAGTCGAGGACGGAACTCAGCAACTGAACAACACCGCTCCGACTCAGAAGGAAAAGAAATCCAAGACTCCCAAGCAAAAGGGTCCCCCCACCGGCCTCCCCTCCAGCACAACCGTCTTTGTAGCAAACCTCCCCTACGACTACACCTCCACCCAACTCCGCGCCCTCTTCACCGCCCACTCCCACACCCCCCTGTCCGCCTCCGTCCCACCCCGTCCCGTTCCCTCTCATATCGCCAAGAAGATCGCGGAACGCGGAGAGTCCCGTCGTGGTCGTGGATTTGGGTTCGTGGTGTTTGAGGGGAACGAGGGGCAGGGGAGGGCTGTGGAGGGGATGAATGGGGTTGAGGTCGAGGGAAGGAAGATTGGTGTCAAGGTTGCTATTGACCCGCCTGTGAAGCAGGGCGAGGAGGGTGAGGTTAAGGAGGAGGGAGCTGTTAATGAGGATAGTGGGCATGCGGCGACTGAGAAGGAGGAGGGTGAGATTGAGGTTGATGTCAAGGAGGAGGCTGTTTCTGCTTAAGTCATGGAGAGAGCGATTTTGAGAATGTACGATGAGCAGTTTGCAAGATAGCGAGGAAGTGGAGAGCATATATGCGTGTAGTGAGTGGCTCTTCGGAGCCGTGATGAGACGATATTTTGGCTATTGCTAGGTGTTTTGCTGCGGTCCAGTATTTTGACTGCCGCGCTTGTGACAACATGAAGGAGGTTGCTGCTGATGTCATTTTCCCATTTGTCTTCGGTTCATTTGTGTGGATAATGTGAGGCTGTTTGTGTTTGTTGGAGGTGTTGGTGGTTTCATCTTCTGTCTCGGAATGGTCGTACGTCTTTTGACCTGGAGAAGGGTTAGTCGGGGTTGGGAGAGGGAGAGAGAGGGGGGTCACACTCATAGATCGCTTTCCGGAATTTCTCGAGTTCTTGCTGTTTCGCTTCCGCGATGTCATGTACTTGATGTGGTTTCAACCTGAACAGTCGTATCAGCTTTCATCCCGAAACGAATGAACCAGATGATTGTACGTTTTCGCGTCTTTCGTGGAGTTTCCACTCTTCATCTTCTCCAACAAATCCTTCCTCAACTCCCCAACCTTCTCCTCAATCTCCTCCTCCCCCAAAACACCCTCCTCCTCCAACCGATCCCTCAACTCAAAACACTTGACCTCAACCTCCCTCTTCCGCTCATGCTCCAAAATCCCTATATCGGCTTTTCGCTCTCTCTGCTGCTCAGCCTCTCTGTCGATCTCTTCGGGACGTTTGTAGGGTGTGCTGTCCTTTCTGCGGATATGGGAGAGGTTACGGACGATGTAGCCGTTTGTGCCGGAGCCGCGGGGGGTTGAGAGACCGATGTTGTTACTGGTCTCTTGTTAACAAAGAAGATCAAGACAAGAGGAAGGGAGGAGACGTACTATGACATTTGATGATCGAGCGAGGATGGGGGAGGGTATCGATCTGGGTGACGCGGGATTAAGGCACGGGGCTGGGACGACGGACGACGGACAACAGAGAACAGAAGAGCAGCATTCATCCAGGACAATGGACCATTCAGAACAAGAGAGAGGGGGGTCTGGTGAAGGACGGGGACAGGGAGAGGAGCAGGTTCAGCAGCTGCAACAGCAACAGCCACAGCAGAAGGCGCATCAGATCCAGTACTTCTTGAATACGCGTGTGACTGCTATCGAGAGGTCAGGGAGGAAGGACCCAATTATTCGGTTTGATGCGCAGGTCAATATGGATCGTGGTAGATCTCATACATGAGATACTGACGAGCAGTTGACAGACAAACCTCCCCCGCTTCCGCACAACCCAATTCCGCGACATTCGCCGCACCCACGCCGAGATCGCACGTTTCCAAGAATATCTCATCAACGCAAACCCAGAATGTATCGTCCCGCCTCTCCCACCACCCGTGACTTCCGCAGGTGCAGGGACCGAGGAAGATGAGCGAAGGGTAAGAATTGGGGTACAGAATTGGTTGGATAGGATTTGCGCGAACCCGGTGTTGATCCGGGATGAGGAAATGGTTCACTTTATCGAATCTGATTTTGGGGTGTGTACCGACTCAGTTCACCTTCCACGTCAAGAGCTAATTTTGGTACGCAGTACTCGCCAAGCATCAGCCGACACGCACCAGCGACAGGTCTCCGCCGACACGCCATAAAACAACTCGCCCCACCCCCAGACAACTCCCCCCTCGCCACCTCCCGCCCAACAATCAAACAATTCTACCTCTCAACCCTCGACACTGCTTCCAAACTCGAAAAACTCTCAAAAACCCGCCGCACCCTCTCCGCCGCCGAACTCGAATTCGGTAACCGGATTGGTGGGATGGGTGGTCCGGAGCATCACTTGGGTATGTCCAACGCTTTCCGAAAGCTCGGGAAATGCGTGGAGAAGATTGCGGATTATCACACGGTACAAGCAACAGCCGAATCTGCATCTTTGGGAGACCACCTCCACCTCGCCGCCTCCTCCGCCCTCATCGCGAAAGAAACACTCACCACGAGACAAATATTGATGAGGGAGCTCATTCACGCGGAATCCACGTCCCGGAAACAGTTGGCGACCGTAACACGCCTCAAAGCATCCTCCTCCATCAACACGCAAAAAGTCGACGAAGCTCTCGCTTTATTGGATGAACAGAAAACTTTCGAGACGAATCTCGCTGCGAAAGTCACGCGGGTTACGAGTAATCTGGAGGAAGAAGTACAGGCGTGGACGCGTGCTACCGCAAAGGAACTCTTACACGCGATGAGGGATCATGCACGACGAAACATCGAGGCGGAAAGACGGTTGTTGGCGGCGTTCGAGGCCGTCCGTCCAGACATCCGCTCGATCGATTCTTCGGGGGGTCTCTCACGGTTGGGGAGGGAAAACTTGGTGAGGGCACGGAGTGGATCGCATCTTCAAGCAAGGAAAGGGGGGCCGGATACGGATCCGTGGAGTGCGCTGCCGAGGGCGAGTGCGGCGGTGACAGAGAGGGAGGAACCAGTGAAGAGTGGGGGTGTGGGGGTGATTGGGGGAGTGGAGGAGAGGGTTGATGCGAGGAATGCGGCGAGTTTGTTGAGTAACTTCTAGGTTTGGGTTGTTTGTGATATCAGTTATTCCTCTTCAATGCAGGTGTGTTCGTTGCAGCTGGTGAGTGTTCCCACGAAAGCTCGGTAGCTATAGCTAGTCTAAGTGTCTTGAGAAAATGTCTATCGTCTCACGTCTGTACGACATCCGCCAACACAGTCTTAAACTTCATAAAGTTAATCATGTTCTCCGACCCAAACGTCAACATAGTATCACTCCCCAAAAACGCCGTCTGCAAAACCTTCTTGTCCGGTGGATGAATCTGCAATACCTGCGGCGAATTGGTCTTGTTGAATCGGATATCCCACAACAACACCTTTCCTTGATGTGTTCCGATTGCGAACATGGAGGGGTTGGCGGTATTCCACGCACCGCGGATGTAGGAGGAGATCGCGGCTGTTCCGGAGTGGTATGAGCCGAAATCGAATTCGCGGACAATGCTGTTGTTTTCTGGAACGCGGTAGTCGATTAACCGGAGTTGGTTGTTACGACTGCCGACGGTCAACATTGCTAACGCCTTGTTGACAGGGTTGTGCTGAATAGCATGCACGACCTTCGGTAACTTGATCGTCCTCGCCTCCCGTTGTGCAGTCATATCCCACGCAACGAACTTGGAGTCAGCGGAAACGAGCCAATTCCGTGAACCCTCCCACTCGAGACCTCGGACGGCAGCTGTGTGGGTCTTGTGCACTGAGACGATAGACTCAGCTTCGTATGTTTCGCGGTTGATGTCCCACACATACACTTCATGCCTGAATCCGGACGTAGCAAATTGGAAATGGCTGTCTTTGCCTTGACCGAATGCAGCGATAGCGCAGACTCCTTGACCTTCATGGGGATGGTCGGGCAAGATGTGAGGTGTCGCATCGACAGTCCTGCATCTGCTGTCCACGCTGAACTGCAACAAGGATACCTGAGAAGGATCGCCGCGGTTCCCACTGCTGCTGGCGGCAAGCGCGATCACGCCGGGATCTACCCATGCTGCGTCTTCTGGCATGGTAGGCCGGTCCCATTTCTCATGGGTAACCTCATGGATAATCTGTCTCTCATGCGCGTTCCAGAACCTGACTGAGCCGTCCAAGGAGGTTGTCATAGCGAGGTCGTCGAAGGCAGGATGCGTCAGCAATGATCGAGAGTTGCGAGCTCCGTTTTTTCTCATTTCTCCGCTTGCGTTGATCATGTTGAGACGTCGCTGTGAGATGTTGATTTCAACCGGTTCGACCTCCTTTGACTTCTTCTTTGACTTGCGCTCGGAACTCTTTTCGGGCTTCTTCCTGCTCTCTTCTGGAGCAGGCAACGTCGCGCTCGACTCAGCTGCTGGTCGGTTTCGAATGACCGGGGTTTCAATGACGCTCTGCTCGCGTTCAGCTGGTGCATCGTCGGTCTGAAGCAATTCCGCCACTGATGACATTTGCGCCTGTAGCCTCGAAATGCGTCGGTTGATCCTCTCCTCTAGGTCATACACAACACGTCTCTGCTTCTTCAACCTTCGCTGGTCAGCGGTAATATCGTGAATCAGATCTTTGATGAGGTGCTCCTGCTGAAGGCGTGTAGTAGCCTCATATTCATCGTCGGAAGACTCGAAATTGAGAGACGAGGCACTGGACGACGAGCTACTGTCAGAGTCAGATTGCGCTTCCAAAGGTTCTGGAGTCGGTTCGGGTTCAGGCCGACGCTTCTGTTTGCGCTCTTTCCTTGTAACTACCGGCTCCTGCACGACCCTTTCAACGTCGACATCGATGACGTCGCTTCGCCTGGACCTTTTCCGGTTTTTCTCCTTTTCTGTCACTGCAGTTGTAGAGCTGACAACCGCGTCGGGATTTGACCTATCAGCTGCATCTTCCCTTTCCTTGTGCTCCCGGGAAGAACGCTCCTTAGTTCTCTTCTGTACGGTTGCTTCACCTCCGTTCGGAGTGTCCCTCTCACTGGGTTCCGAAACCGTCACTGACTGATCCTGATGCGCCTTCTTTTTCTTCTTAATCTTTGGTTTGCTGGATATTCCTTCATCATCTTCTCCTGGGTTTGCGTCTACGACGTGGTTCCGTGGTTCAGGCGCGGATTTTGCTTCCCCCAACTCTAGGATCTCAATCCCCTCTTGGTCCCTCTTCCTCTTCTTTGGGGCCGGATCGACCATACCATCACGATTGAAGAACGAAACGGTCGTTTCTTGTCTTGAAGAGGGACGCGCTTCATTCGGCCTTACAAATGCTGTAGTCGAGGCTAAAATGTTCCTGTCCGGGGGGCTGTCTGGGTCCCTTCCAATCACGAGCATCTCTTGCGTGGCTGGAATATCGTCTTCTTGCTTATCATCCAGCGGTGCTGCTTCTTGATGCCCTGTAGACGACGTCGCATGATTGCCAGCAAGCATCTTCTTGTCTCTTGTGAACGTCACCTCAGCTCCGGCGCTCTTGAGGCTCTCAACCGCTGGCAACTCGCTTGCTTCCTTGGCCGCATCAACACTTGCGAAGTTCACGAAGCCTAGCCAGCCCTTTCCCTTCTGTCCCCCCTTCTGTCCGGTTCGTGCGTGCGATGAAATGGCCGTTGGGAAAAAGCGTCGTAAGTCGTCCTCCGTAAACTGGCTCGGATAACCACGAATGAACAGACCAGTCGAAGGCGTTCCAAGAGGTTCCTTCCTGAAGACGCCGTTCGAGGTCTGGCGTGGAGCCAGAGGCGCTTGAGCCTTCCGAAGATAACTGTCATCAGTCGTCGTGGAGCCATACGTCATCTTCACGCCCTGTCTGGCCAAGAAAGACGCACCACCAGACTCCACGGCCTCCGTGGCTTCCTTCAATGATTCGAAACTCAATGTGAATGTCGCGGAGCCTCCTTGTGTCACATCCTGAGCCTCACGAAATAAATCGCGTAAATCCGCGGCGTTCATTGTCACGGGCACGTTCTCAATTGAAACATGCTTCGATGCTTGTGGAGCAGGTGTCGAGGGCAATGGTATGTACGTAGAGTTCGGTGTATGAGGCGCCGATGTAGGTAGAGGACGGCGTGCAAACTCGTTCATTTGACGCCCTCGCATGTCGCTGTCCTGCACATTCTCTTGGTGCATGAAATCCTGATTCCGGGGTGTACGAATGCGTGTCTGTTGGGAGCGGTCTGGGCTTTGACTGTCGGGGTAGAATAGTGGAACTGACGGCCCTTGCGGGCCTTCGTAGCCCGAGCTCAACTGTCTATTCCTCTCGATTTCGTCCTCCACCGTGAAAGTTGGCTTGAACTTCAGACTTTCCTCCACTTCCCAATCCCTTCTTGGCGCAGGAGGAGGCATAGAGTAATCTGAACGACGTCTCGGTGGACTCATGCGTCTTGGAGGGCGGTAATTATTGATGTTTCGTGGAAGGGGCGTTGATCGACCCGGTGCCGTCGTAGGAGGCATAGAATACCTGTTGGGCATCCGTGTATCATTTTGCTGAGGCCCATCCTGCCACCTTCTGTCCTCGTCATAACCACGATCCATGGCAAAAGAGGTGGAGGCCTTGTGTCGCGATCCCGACTTTTTCGCGTCGCGTCTCCCGAAACGGGAAATTTGAAAGTCTACGTTACAGTCGCCTTCCGTATCGAGGCAAGGTTGGCTGTACGAAGCGTCGTCATGCAGCTGGTGTAACGTCGACATTCCAAATCCCATCGAAACTGAAATCGCCTGGAAGAATGTCGGAATTCATTTCGACTGCTCAGAACAATAGTGGTCTGCAAGTGCAATTGTATGCCAGCTTCCTGCATCATCTACTCCTTTCTAACGGTTTCTAGGCACCCTTTGGTTCTCCTAACCGTTTCCGATCTTTACACTCGCTGCCGTGTGCAACAATCCACCACAAACGCTCCCCTACCTCACCTTGTTGGTGTCCTTCTCGGCACTCAATCCGGCCGGACACTCTCGCTTGACATCGCCTTCCAGCTAACCCTCACACCCGACGAAACTCTGGATGTGCCTTTCCTTGTTACTAAAGCGGATCAGTACAAGCAGGTATTCCCGCAGTACGACATTCTGGGTTGGTTTACACTCGCAGCCGAGCCTGGTGAATGGGAACTAGGATTCCAGACCCAGTTTGCTCAAGCGACGGAGAACGACTCTCCTATCCTTCTCACTCTGGACCCCTCCACCTTCTCCCTTTCGTCTTCGACATCTGGCACATCCAATCTGCCTATCGCTATCTACGAGTCAATTATCGAGCCACCGTCCATGGTTACCCGCTTCATTTCTGCACCCTCATATTCAATCGTCTCGGGTGAAGCTGAACGCATCGCCGTTGATCACGCTTCGCATCCTTCGACTACAGCAGGCGGTGATGAGGCTGGTCTTGTGCAGTACCTAAAGACATACGCCTCCGCCACCTCATTACTTCAGCAACGCATCCGCTTGCTGAAGTCATATCTTGAGGATGTGAAGGCAGGAAAGGTTCAGCCCCATGCTGGCGTACTGCGTGAGATGAACGCGTTGTGTGCCCAACTTCCAATGAACTCTTCCGACGGAAACACGCCGTTCAGGAATGAGTTTAGAAAGGAAACTGCGGACGTTCAACTGACGAATCTTCTCGGTGAGCTTACGCGTGGTGCTGGCTCCGTTCACGAGCTTGTGTCGAAACATTCGCTTGCTTCAGCCGGTGCTCATCCGAGGGGTGAGGCTGCCAGCCATGGTAAGAAGGAGAAAGGACAAGGTGGACAAGGCGGCGGCCACCGCGGTGGCAGGGGTGGGAGGAGATTAGGAGGTAGAAGGAGTAATGAAGACTTTGGCGGCTTCTGATACTGTGGAAGGATATGTACGATGAACACGGACACAGATGAGTGCATGGCCTGTCGAGTTTGATTGCGAAGGCCGAGAATACCAATATACCCCTACTTGCTCGCTACATTCTCCTTTAACCCATCTCTCGCCGTCAGCAGCCTTCTTAATCCTTCAGTGTCCCATGGCATAGCCGCGAACGTATCCTTTTCGCTCTCCACCCACGCATACATAGCCTCGATGCTAGCAACAACATGACCAAGGTCCTCGTTTTCGACGTCGAAGAGCTCCCACCAGCCTGGTGGCAATTTGACCTTCTCTCCGCCCTTTCCTCCAGCCCCCCCTCGACAAACCAACCATATTGATCCACATGCTAATGCTGCTGGATCGTGGATACACGGCAATATACCCCGGTTCACATCACTCAAAGTGTTCCATATCCTCTGAAAGACGCTTTTTGGCAAGTTTAATACCCGTGCGTAGCTCAACGCCAGACTGTACGGCAGTGCAACTTGTACTTTGAAACCCAATCGTTTTAGCACCTCCATCTCACACTCCAAAAGACGTTCGCGGCCTGAGTAATATGTCTGATCGAAGTAATCCGGAGGTATGTACTCTGTTGATGACCGAGAGTGATAGTGTTTCATGTAATGTTGCACGTTCAGACAGTCCCGTAAAGATTTCTGAGTTTCGTTGAGCTTTGAAGAAAGGTATGTTACTGCTAGCGCAATATCCTGCCCATCGCGTCAGTTTTAATTCCTTGACATTGTTTGATATGACACACCTGTATTGCGAATTCCGCGAAGCTCGCCACAAAATAGAATCTCTGCAACAATATCATAGCATGTGCAATAACTTCCTGCCTTAACCGCAGTTGCACACCCATCTCTTGCACCAAGCCTGCTGCTACGAACCTCAGACGTCGCTCCAGATCAGGATCGATGCCATCTGCTCGGGAAGGAGGAGAAGCAAGCTGTGATGGCGTGGCGAGCGTGTTTGTCAAGTACTCCATGAAGGAAAGAATGGGCGAAAAAAAAAGGCGAAGCGTAGAACGACTGAGGTCTCGAGGTCGGCGGGCGAATTGCGTATAGTTACGTTTGTTGACTCTCTACGTTACAGGGGCGGTTTGTACGTTTCCGGCAAAGGGAGCCTAATTAAGGATCATCCCGAAATGTCAATAAAAAAGGAACTTTCAAGACAGATTATGTTTAAGAAGGTCTAGCAACTTGCTCGATAGAGAATAAGGTTATCCGGCCACAGCATGCACAAAAGGGTAGTCTCCCACGAAGGGCGTGCACAAATCGTCCGTTCGTATGTACCCATTAATTAGTGTTTCATTCCATTCTAAAAAGTATTGTTCATGGTTCAGTTCATTAATCAAGAGTCCTGAGTCCTTCCCTCATTCTTCTTTCATGATCAAGCCGTACGCTCCTCCTTTCCAGCTGTCTTAACCTCGGCAATCTCAAGCAATCAACCATGATTCATCATCCAACAATATCGTTTAAGCTCTGTCACTTGGCGTCTATCGTTGCCTTTCAGTCTGCCCGTACATCCTCTCCAACTGAACTAAGGCTTCATCGACATCTCCTCGACGTTGGACTTGCCTATTGGCCCTCCTCCGTTGAATCTGCGACCAAAAATCAACATTATCGGCAATATTAATAACCTCAGGTCGAGCAGGCTTGCCCTTAGGAGTTTCCGTCTTCTGCACATAGGGAGGGTGCGTCACCTGAGCCGTTGAGGGACTCTGCCTCTGCTTAGGCACCCACTCGTAGGAAGGAAGAAGTGATTTCGCGTGTCTCTTCGTTTGGCGCCATGACTCTGTCGTGTATTGTTTCTTCTCAGGGAAGCTGAATCCTCCTACTTGGCGCGAACCTGATACGCTTCCGGCGCTCCTTGGCGAGTTAGCTGAAGAGTCGGTCCGGCGGCGTACAGCGGATGGGAGAGCAGGAGGTGCGAAAGAGGGAGGCAGCGGATGAGGAGGAACCGTAACAGAGAGACTCGGATGCCCGGGCCTCCTTGAGACGGGCGTGTGCGGGACAGGATACAGATACGGATATGGGACATGAAACTGAGGCATTCCCTGTGGACCGGCCCGCGCAGAATTCGAAACACTGTGCTGCGCAAGGGCCTGGACGATCGCAGATGCGTACTCTGGGCGTAATGCTGGGGGTGCCATCTGATCCGCAGCACAAAGCAACATGTCAATCCCAATGCTCTCTCGCGTTGGAGCCCTTTGAGGTGCACCCACCGACCTCGCGTGCCTACCGGTATTCTGAATGACGGGTTGTGCGGCTTTGGGGGGCGGCAGTGTAGCAAGTGTGCTCCGATGTCCATTCGATACGCTCGACCTTTGCGGCATAGGGGTAGATAGTCGAACTGTGGCACGAGCTTTCGCTGGGATACGTTTAATGATCGGGGATTTTATCGCATCGACATCCATGTCCGTCCGTCCCGCTGATTGTGCAGAAGAGAAAGAAGCTGAAACAGGCGAGACATCTTCTCTCGAAGACAAGAAAGGAGCAGGACCGATTGGAAGCTCTTGAAGCCAGTGAAAGACTGCGGGTGATTGAGAACGACACTCGTTCCCACACCTTCAAGCTGCGAGCTTACCTAATCCCCTAACCCTCACCACCTCGGCAACGTTGCTGGTCCAATTAGCTCGTTTGGTTTCCCAAAGGGGTTAGTTGTTGCTATAAATAGACGGTGTCAAAGATCAATCAACTAGTGAGGTAGCGCGAGAGCGTGGGAACTTTCCCTGGGGTGGTGGCCGCGCACGCCACCGTGTTACCGCGGGGCTCAGCTGATGCTGAACTTTCCTCGGGGAGCGGGGCTCGGCACAATGAACCTTCCGAATTACATGCTGAACCTTCCCAAAACAGCCATGCCCCGCGCAGATCCGAGTGCCCCCCCCCCCCGAGGCATTATCGCAGGCAACTTAGGCAACCGGCTCGGACGGGAAGGAGGGGAAGTACGTAATCCTCTGTGTCTGGATTGGGCTAGTCGAAAGTTTTCCTTGGTGCTGTTTAGTCTTGGCAAGGGTATAAGAAAGGGGCCTCTCGCCCACCTCCTTCTGCCTTTCTTCACACTCGACAACATCGACACTTCGACACTTCACCATGTATCAACCCTTGAACGCAATCATAAACAGGCAACAGGTAAGCTCATCGACACAACCCAAGCGCTTCGGGGCCTCCGACTCAGTATCTCCACCGCGCACCGCGAATCCGTCTGGACCTCTCTTCAAAGTCGGCATATGATTATGCAGAACGATGCTTCATCAACCTCCATATAGGCACGATGGAAATGACGGGCTCGGCAGGGGGGGAAGGTCCGGTGGCGAGTACCGATGGGTGTTCTTCACGTTCACGGGGTTCATCAAGAGGTGTACCGAAGCTGCACCTAAGACGTGTGGTGGAAGTGTGCTATCTCCTCGTCACCATTAGGGTCGGCCTCCTGCAATCTGTCTAGTTGGTTCGGGGACCGCCCCAAAGTGCTGTTACTCCTCCCGGGGTGGCGAAATCTGCCCTGGTGTACTCTCCATTGATGTTGATGGGAGGGGGTATGTCGACGCAGTATTGGGCTTCGTTTGACTTTGATTGAGGTTACCGGGATTTTGGCGCGTGTGTGAGCTCGCAATTATGTGCTGAGAAAGAGTGTCTTGAGGCGATTGGGCGTTGATTGTGGTTTGATCAACCCTGAGCTTACAATTGTTTTATAGGTCTTGATTTCTCTTCCTACCCTATTGACAGCAGCTCGTGTGCTCGTCAACTTCCCCGACGTGATCAATGGAGGAGCTACGAGGTTTACCTACTTTTATTTGCAGAAGTTCGATGCGGCGGCGGATCTCAAGGATATTATAGTCTTATGGATGGCATGTTTGCATGTAGCGAATACAAAACAGCCTTCAGAAACTATCGTGTCCATGGTTCATCAAGTTGAGACGGGCGTACGTGTACATTGTATTATTTCCTTGTCGTCATGTGTTAATCTACGCTCATAGGTTGCTGCCACGGAGATCTCTGAGGCTTTGCAGACTTACGGGGCGTGCGCCCGTGGGGCTCAAGCAACTGTCAACCCTCGTTCGCCGCCGTTCAACAACGGAAAGCTTACCTGTCCTACTTGCCAGTGGGAACTGGTGCCCAACGAGGATCTTCCAACGTTCGCGAGCTATATGGAAGCTTTCCCTCCGTATCGTCGCACGACGTCTGATGGTCGCGAATACTGCTACAACGTCAATGACGGTTCCGTGGTCGCTCAAGTTACGAAGGCGATCATGTTAAACATCCTGCAAGTTGTGGTGAAGGACGGTGTTGCTGGACTTACCATTACGGACAAGGAAGCGCTCGCCTCTGAGGTCCTCAAGTGTGGTCAGGGCAATGCCTGCTGTCACTGCTTCCGCGGATGGGCCACCGCTCATTTTTCGTTGGCTTGTCGTTTCGTCTTCGAGAAAACGGTACCGGCCCCGTCCAGGAATGTGAGGCTGGGTTTCGATGAAGCCTTCTCTGTTCTGAATGAGATCGACCGCAACGCAATGGATGCTGGGTACACGGACCCATATGGGTTCTTGGATCTCGCGGCCTTGGCTAGGTTGAGGAGAGCTTTCCTCTTCTTCACCAATGTTGCTAGTGGGTTCCGTATGAGCGAATATCACTTGTTCACTGAGCTCGTCTCCATGAGTATGCGTTCTTCCATGCAAATGGAGCAAAATGCCTTGTTCGGCGCTCATCCTGTGGACGCCGGCACGCAAACTCATCCGGAGGCCAAGCATGATAACTTTCAAAGGGCTCCTGGCGGTGGTAGCCAAGACGCGGGTGGTGCGGAGCAGGCTCCTCCTCCGGCTCCTCCACCGGCTCCTGCACCCAACGGCGGCGAAGAGCGTGGAGGAGGTGCTGCGGATGAAAGTGCCGCGGACCATGGTAGCGATTCGGGAACAGAGAGTTCCAGCACGATGACGAATACACCCACACCGAGGTCCAGACCGGGTGAGGGAGCAACCGACGAGGTCCTCCATAATCACCGCGATGGGCAAGTGAAGAAGAAGAAGTCGTCTGCGGGAAAGGCCAGACGTGCTAGGCACACCGAGTCCGAGAAGTTGAAGAAAGCGGTGACTGAGGCTGCTACTAACCCCTAATCTTTTCATGAACTGTGTTTGTAAAACCTTTTTGACTTTTATCTGTTTTGTTGCCCAGGTATGCATATGGTGTTAGGACATGGGTTCTCATCTTCTCGTAATTATGATCCTGCTGGTCAGGAGTCGTCAGTCACAATGCATTTCTTTTTTGCTTGATCTTTTTTCAATTGCGATGCGTAAAGAAAGTAAATCGTTGAGGTTTACCCTACTTAGCTTCACGTACATGAAGAATTCACGCCCGTGCTGCGACAAAATGCCCTAAAAGTCCGCCTTGCTCTGTCATCCTCTTACACTCCACTGTCATCCTGATCAACGAGATCGTGCATGCACCACTCACTCCAAGCATGAGCGTTCTGGGCCCAGAGACTGTCCTGGTCGGTTACAGTGGTGAACTTGCTCTTCATCTCATCCTCGAGTTCGACGAACTGCAAACCCAATCCAAGACCAACGTGCCAAGCGATGTGACAGTGCACTGGAGCAAGAATTAGTTCAATTGTCAAGAATGAGTGTGGATAAGGGAAGCTTACTGATCCATGCACCTGGGTTATCCGTCTTCCACGCAAGTACCAAAGCTCCACCAGCGGGAAGCATCGCAACATCACGACGCATAGGGTTGGTGAGGTTCAAAGACGGGACATGGCTTGCCTCGAACTGCTCATGGAGCTGGCCCAAGACGAAGAAGTCGTGTCCGTGCAAGTGGATCGGATGAGCGATAGGAATCTCGGACTGGACGACGAAGTAAACCCATTCGTCCCTTTGTTGTCGGAGATAGTACACGTTGGCGTTAGGTGCATTGTCTTCGTTCTCCATCACATTGAGAAGTGTGGGTGCATTGAAGTTAACAATCAGAGAGTGCTCGTCGCATTTCGTCTCGTTGATATCCGTGAGAACATTGAACACTTCACTTACGTTGAGATTTGTGACATCTGTCACGTCCTCATGCTTCTCGACGAAGAACAACTGAGAAGCATGGCTGCCAGGGTGATCCGAGCCGTTCCAGTGGAAACCGACCTGGGCAAAGAGGAAGTTATCAAACGACGGAGGAGGGACATTCAAAGGAACCATCGGAGTGAACCTCTGGCCTGCAGGTAAGAAGTTCTCTTGGCAAGTTTGCGGGTACTCCCCGTGAACAGTATCAGTAGTATCTGTGTACAGGACAGGAGAGGTGGTTGGGTCCACTGCAGGAGCGCCAGCGTAACGGAGAACAGCATTGGAGTTCCATTTGTTGTCGTTGATAGCACAGCCGCCGACTTCGGCCGGCTGAGCACGAATCCAGTAATTCTCAATCTCGCCGCTCGCTACAAAAACAATGTCATAACGCTGTCCAATGCCGATATAGACGTAATCCACCTCGACTGGCTCGACTGGAACATAGTCGTTCGAGACGATGGTGAACTTGTGGCCGTCCATAGAGAAGTAGATAGCATTCTCCGTCAGAGCACCCACCAGACCCATCTTGTATGTCTTTCCCTGTTCAACTGTGACGTTGTAGTGATGGCCGGTGATATGCCCAGTTTCGGTGGCGTTATACGTGTTGGTGCCGTTGAGTAGAATATTCACCGCGGTTTGCAAAAGATGATCGCCAGAATGCGAGAGCAGTGCCATGTCAGAAAACGCAGTCTCATGGCGCCAGTCACTGATGATAAGAGGGCCGAGATCCTCGTCGTAGTGGGCGGACGTAGGTCCGTACACCGTCAAAGGACCGACAGCACCTGTAAATTGATATTAGCCGACATGTGCAGGATAGGATCATGCAGACATACCCTCAGCGTACTGCAGACTGAAGTGCGAGTGGTACCAAGAAGAGCCGTATTGGGAACAGAGGAACTTATAGGTGTAAGATCCCGTTGGGGGAATTGGCATCTGGGTAACTCCGGGCACACCATCCTCCTCACATGTATCCAACTGCCTCACACCGTGCCAGTGAACGGAGGTACCATTGTCCTGAAGCTTGTTCGTAACATGCACCTCGATCTCATCTCCCCAGTTGGCCCAGATCGTCGGACCAGGGAAGGTGCCGTTGAAGGTGATCATCTGTCTGTGGATTCCATCGGGGGCTAATGTGGTCGTATTTGTAACTTCGAGCCAGTAGGTACGGGTGACACCAGTTCTGAAGGGCGCTTCGTCGTCGTAATAGTTGGTGCGGATGTCGTAGTCGCCCCAGCATTGACGGCTGGAGGCGGAGTTCTCGCAGTAAGAGGTGACGGTGGTGTTCTTTGTCGTGCACGGACAGAAGATAGGCATACAGTTTGCCAATGTGGCCAAGCAAAGGACGATGAACGAAAAGATTGTGAAAGACATTCGGTGTATAGAACGTCGAGAAACGAAAGTTGTTTGTGTTCGAGAAAGTGAAAGTGGTGTCTAAAAAGACAATGAATGTATGTGGTGATCGAAGATCGAACGATAGACTGACGGACTCGTAAGCGATTGACTGAATACGAGAGAAAGTGTTTGTTTAGCTTCCCACCAGGGTGGACAGGCCGACATCTTTATAGGTTATCGAAATCACGAGGTCCGATGACCGCCATGAGCTTCCAATCCATGTAATGGTTCGTTTGAACGAAGACGGCCCGGAATACTTCCATACAAGTCCCGCTCGAGGTCCGTAGCATATGCCGGCTAACAAACTCCTAAACCTCAAAAGTTGAACACGATGCGGGACCCGTCCGTGCGGCCAAGCCACCTCCATCAACATTGCGGCCCGCTGGCTCGGCCCAGATGATCCTGCCACCTGTATGCAAACGAAGCCTCAAAAGCTAAAAATAAGACTGAATAAGGTTTCCATTTGGACGAACCGTACACTGAGGAAATGAGGACGTGGATCAGACGGATGCGGGGGATCAACGACGACCGACACCGTAGTTCAACATAGCATAACCTGCTTCTAATCGGACACGACCATTCCTTACAAGATTTCTTATCGATCATCTTGTCTGATGAAGGCTTTGTGACGTGGCCAGATCGGTGTCTCGGTGATCATCCGCAGTTAACACACCAGAACTGGGAGTCAGGGCACGAACGTCACAGGTGTATGTCGTAAAACCGAGGATCTTAACATCCGGAAGATGGACTGCGCACACGAACCTTCCGTGTCTTAGAGCGGGTGACTGCAGCGGAGTAAAGCCTGTGGACTGTATCCCTCCCGTTCGAAATAATGATAAGACGACGATCTGAATGCATAGGATATCCTCAGGTCCTTGCAGTGGGTAAGTCGTTCACGTCCACGTAGCATTGAGGACACATCCACTTTCACGTGAGAAGTCATGCAACATAAAGTCCGCCGGCGAACTTGGCTGACTAGTCAAAGCAACAGCAATGGAGCCGTGAATGTGAATGCTGCCTCACGCAGGTTTCGTGATGGATCTTCTCCTCGCAGGTGTGACGACTCATTCTCTGTGGCTCGGCATGAAAGTGTTGACAACCACTCCAAAGCCCAAGTCATCTCGATCTCGTCTAGCAACATTAGACCAGTTGACAGACACATGACACATGGTAGTGAGAGGATTGAGAAGTGTGCTCTGAGAATCGTCTGATATCAGCATAATGATAGCATCTCAAGCTCTTTCCTCGATGAACTGCGAGCCGGAACAGCCATAACATGCCCCTTCTCTTCACAGGAAACCGAACCTCCTCTCGCCACCTCAATACTGCCTCAACCAGCAAGGTGCGGAAGAATCTGTTGGCTAGATTCTCCTCAACGCCCCAGCGCGTAGTTCAAACTCGAATATATTGCAGGTAAGATGTGGCAGCGGGTGAATGCAAGAGCGGCGTAAAGTTGCATTGTGCTGCTCCAGCAGGTAACAACAGCGGACGAACAGTGGACCAACTGCAAGGCCCTCTGCTTCTTCAAAAGGCGTTTCCTTCGAAATATCCTGTCTCATGATCCTGTTCATACCTCGATTGTAACGGTATCGACAATCTTCATCTCGATTACGGGAATTTGACGTTGACAGACAGCGGCCACGCGCTCATCTCACTGCAACCTTCTGCACCGCCAAACTCTAAAACTCAGAGTTCCCCGACATCGACCTCCTCGACATCTTCGTAACGTCTGATCATGAGAACATATCCAAGCCACTCTTCTCGTCTTCGACGACGCGTAATTTCAACCGCCGAGTACGCGTCCTCCGAATCCGATGTCTCCAGCGAATCCGAAGCTCTCCTCGCGCCTCGAGGGGAGGATATCTTGGTGAAGTGGAAGAGAGGTGACCCGACTAATCCTCGAAACTTCCCTGCATGGAAAAAGTGGTATATTGTCGCAGCCGTGACTTTGTTGGAGGTTATGATGTGAGTTATTCGCCAAGACCGCCGTTGCGAAACAAAACTAACGATTTGCTGTAGATCCGTCACCAACGGTCAATATGTACGTCCAACGAATTGATCTGCTGAACATTGACTGATAATTACACAGAGCTCTGGAACCGAAGGCGTCCAAAAAGACTTCCACGTCTCCGAGCAGATCGCAACCCTCGGCCAATCCCTCTTCGTCCTTGGCCTCGCAATCGGCCCCATGCTCCTCGGTCCCTTCTCCGAAGTCGTCGGCCGCAAGATCATCTACATTATCTCCGTCATAATCTTCGGACGTACGTCTCTTCTCCTTCCTCTCTCTCTGATCCTCGATCATGGCTGACAAGTTCACACGCAGTCTTCCAAGTCCCGTGCGCCTTGACCCACAACATCTGGGTCCTCGTAATCTGTCGATTTATTGCCGGTCTGGCAGGTTCCGTTCCTCTCGCCAACACCGGCGGTACGATCGAGGACATGTTTGACGAAGAAAATCAAGGTATGCCCATGGCGATCTTCTCATCCATGTCTACCGCTGGCCCTTCCCTCGGTCCAGTCGTCGGCGGGTATGTTTTCATGAAACTGGGGCTGCCTTGGTTCTTCTGGATATCAGCAGTTGCTTCAGCTGTGGTCTTGCTCGTACTACTTCCGACATCGGAGACCCTCGCTCCATTGATCATAAAGCGACGAGCACGAGTGATCAGAAAGCGAAGAGGTAATAGCCACATCCGTGCAGCCGGCGGCGCCGAAGACGAAAATATCCTTTCAGACCTCAAAGACGGCTCCCTCCGCGCCTTCAGTACGTTCCTCCCTCTCTTTTCTCCCCCTTCTCCTCCACCTACTAACATCTCCCACAGAAATCCTCTTCACAGAACCCATCATCTTCTCAATGGCCCTGTACAACGCCTTCCTCTACTCCCTCATCTACATGTTCTTCACCGCCTACCCCCTCGTCTTCCAACAAAACTACCACTTCAACATCGGACAAACGGGTCTCACATTCCTTGGATTCGCCGTGGGATCAGCGATTTCAATTCTCGCACAGCCTCTGCAAGACCGGTATTTCCGTCAACAAAAGGAGAAGAACGGTGGGAAGAGCGTGCCGGAGTCGAGGTTGATGATGAGTTTGGTCGCATCCCTCGCTATCCCGATTGGTTTGTTCTGGTTCGCCTTCACCTCTGATGGCAGCTTGTCACCCCTCATCCCAATCGCAGCCGGAATCCCCATCGGCTTCGGCGAAACAGTCCTCTTCATCGGTATCTATAACTACATAGCCGACGCCTACGCCTCCTCCGCTTCCACTGCCCTCGCAGCCGTCAACCTTCCCTCCCCTGCCGTTGGTGGAATCCTCACACACGTCAGTATCATCGTGTATGCAAAACTGGGGACGACATGGGCCACAGCGTTGACGGGGTTTGTTAGTGTTGCGCTTGTCGGGGTGCCGTATGGGTTGTTCTTCTTTGGGGAGAGGGTTAGGAGGGTGAGTCCGCTTGCGAAGGAGATGTTGGAGGAGGATGATGACAAGAGCGATGACGAGGAAGTCGGAGGGGACGACCAAGCATGAACAGGACAATGAATGAACACTGGCATGCTCTCTATCGTTATCTGGCTAGTATCACCATCTACAAGTATTTGTCTGCGTTTTTAAGAGCAGGCCCCTTCACCCTATTGGCCCCGGCCTTCCCCTTCAACCACCTCCAATCCCCACTGGGCCTCCACCACCCAACCAAACTCCCCACCCACGCTCCGTACCAACATCCATACCCCGCAACTCTCTTTCCCGCAAGCAACATCCACTTCAAGAAAAGTTGTCCGTAGAAGGGGAGGAATGCCACTGCGTCGTGGTCTTGGTAGAAGTCTTCTTGGGCCGAGATGTAGTATTTCGTGCCGGACGAGGAGGGGGTGGGTCGGAGGGTGATTTTTGTTGTTAATCTACACGAATACCATCAGCATTGATCCCAGTGAGAGAAACGAGGACCGGCGAGATGGACATACCTAACAGTGCAATGTATATGCGGCAAAAAGAAATGCGTAAACACCTGTTCCGCATCGATATACAGCTTATGATTCCGCTCATCCCACGCAACGCCATGAACAGTCAACTTTATCTCCGGACTCATGACTTTGTACCATTGGTATATCTTCTCGATGTAGTCTCTGCTGTTTTTGCCGTGCTCGATGAGGACGTAGGGATGGTCGAAGGATGCGTCTTCTGTGAAGTATTTCCGGACTGTCTCTCGCTGCGTTTAACTCGTCAGCACTTTCCGTCTTCTCAGGAGCCCGAGGAAGGGAGGGAAAAAGGGAGAAAGATACCTGTTCATCTGGCGAGGAGGTGGTTGTCAACGCGTGGATGATTGAGCCGATTTCTTTGACGGGGTCTTCCATGCTGATAACTGCTAAAAAGGTTGGAAGTGCCAGGAGATGGAGGTGTATGCTCAAGTGTGAGTGTTGATGGTGAGCTGCTTTGGGGTGTCTACGTTACATCCTCGACTTGGACGGGCTCGGGTGTGGTGACGTCATGAGCGGAAAGGCAGATTTGCGATACTGCGCGACAAGCTCCGGGAATTGTAAGAAGAGAGAAGGAGTGAGGCATTGCACAGCACACAGGCTTGTCATGTTATCGTACGGTAGTGGCCATTTTAGGGATACCTCCCTTGTGACGTCGTGGGTATATCATATAGTCACCTCTTCCCTCGGCCAAGGTCTGCTCGAATACAAAACCAACTCCATCCGTTCAGATGTACCTGAACATGTTGTTCTTCACACTCCTATTGCCGTCGTTAACACCATCCACTCACTCTTCCACTGCAGGTTAACTCACCTCTTCATCGTCGACGCCTGTCCATCTTCATACTCCAACCCACTTGCTCCACCATCTCCACTGTGCTCTTCCATGATACGCATCAACTCCTCGTCCGATAGTCTATTCTTCTTTTGTGGTTCTTGTTGTTCTGTTGTAGGAGTGGACTTGGAGGTATCGTCTTTGGAGGAGGCTGGTGTGGAGGAGGGACGAGTGGAGTACGCCATGGCCTGGACTGTGACGGGCCTGATCCTGGGCATCGAGCGCACGATAGCGGATCTCATTGTAGTAAGCTGGAGCATGTTGGTTGATCTGATCTGGTCGTAATGGTTGTCGCTCCGTTCAGCAGTTACGTCGGTCAAGGCGAACTTTCATCACCCCCACATCACCTTGCATCCCTTCCTGCACAGCAGCCACACCTTAAAAAATCTCATGGGCCTTCCAAACCAGGGGACTGGGGACCCTCCAGTTGCAGCAGCTGCCGTACATAGCTGATATTAGGGGCAGCTTGATGTAGGGCCGAATTTTCCGTGCAGCACGCCATATGGCGGAGCCGGTTTTGGCCGGCGTTTGGTGCGGATCATGTAAGGGATACCGGATCGCGGATATATCGATACGGAGGAGATTATCCGGGCAGTGGTAGTCCGTGAAGGGAAGCTGTTTCTCGCGGTTGTGAAGCATCTGTCATGGCTGCTATGATGAGATCGGTAGGCTTCGCATCTCTTCCTCCCTACATATTTGTCTCCCTCGGTCATGTACCAGTCATAGGTCTCCCTCCCGAATCCGGGATCGCTAGTGCAAGTTTCAACGTTACGTAATTAAGAGAAAATGTACAGCCGAGACAATCCAAAACAAAAGCCTGTCATCGCTTTTTCTCCTTCAGATCGGCCGCGGTTCTTAAGCTATAAACAGTCGCTGCTCCTACTTCTACTCTTCAGCGATACACTCACAACGGTATCGCACACCGCCATCTCACAGAAACAACAACAACGAAGAGGAAGCGCATACACATCTCACGATGCCCTCCCTGAACGACATGATCCACCTCAACGTCGGCGGCCGAAACTTCACCACCTCCCGCACAACTCTCCTCTGCTCGCCCTCCCCTTCCTCCTCCTCGCACCCCTCAACATTCTTCCAAGCCCTCCTCTCCCCAACCTGGTCCTCCTCCTCCCCCGACGGCCTCACCCCTCAAAGCCCCATCTTCATCGACCGCGACCCCGACGCTTTCTCGATCGTCCTACACTACCTCCGAACAGGAAAACTACGCATCCCACCCCACGCATTCATCGACCCCGCATCTATCGCAGACGAAGCAGATTTCTATAACCTCCCCCACCTCGCATCCCTCGCGCTCGCGCTCTCATCCTCGACGCAGCCCCCAGACATCGGTTACGAAGAAGAACTCTGGATCGGACTTCTCGAGCGCGAGAAAGGGGAGTATCGATGGTTTCTGCGACACCCGATGGTAGAGGGACAAACCCTCGTGACAAAAGACGATACAGGCGGTGGTGGAAGACGAAAGTGCTGGGTGTTTGATGATTTCCATTTCGGGCAGATGTTTGAGCTCGGACCCCTCTTGGATCGGTATTTCGACGAAATCGGCACACTACCACTCTCCCTACCAAAGAAGAAGAACGGACCTCGGACTGCGTCCACAGTCCTCTTCACAACCCCCTACCCCCACTTCCACGGCTCCACAACCCTCTCCGGCTACCGCTGGGTCGTATCCTCCCCCGTCTGGTATCGCTGCGTGGATATGCGTTTAGGAGAACGGATGAATGGCCGACACGATGATTTGCAGATTATGATTATGCGACGGATTGGAAGAAGCGAGGACGAGGAGTGGAGGTTTATCGGGGAGAAGGGGATGGGGGTTGGCATGACCGGGGTTGGTGGGGGGAATTTCGTTGGGGGGGAGGGGGAGGAGGAGAGTGATAAGGGGGAGGAGGGTGAGGAAGGGCAGGGATATGGTGATGAGGAGTTTGGGGAGTCGGTTATGAGTGTTTGAGGGGGCAGAGAACGACCCGCGTTCACAGACAAGTTCTAGAAAGATAGCCAAGAGATGCTACTACACACTAAACTCCAAATCCCATCGACCGCGACACGAATCCAACCCGAACCAGCGGGGATCGTTCCTAGACCTGTTGTCCTGCACCTGTCCCTTCTTGATGATGTGTGTTCATAGTTCCTTCTCCATAACCGAAAACTCATCCCCAAACGGACTCTTCTTCTCCTCCTGCTGTACACGCGCATGCACAACTACCCCATCTTCCTCATCATCATCATCACTCTCCTCCTCCTCCGAATCCTCCCACGTCGACGCTAACCCACTCCCCCCCTTCGGCGTCGTCAAATTCCTCCTACTCGCACTCTTCCCCGGCAACGTCATCAACCTCGCCTTCGCCCCCGCCGACACCGCCGCCGGCACAGGCACGACCATCGCCGTATCCCTTGTCCGTGTGGTCCCGATACTCTCTCGACCAGATTTCTGACTTGAGGCGTACGAAACGCGTAATAAATCATCCGCGGAGAAGAATTGGGTCGAGAGATTTTGCGGAAGGGCGAGATGAGGTGAGGGTACGGGGACGAGGTTTGCGGTGTGGATGTGGGAGGGGGGAATGTTGAGGGTGGGCATCGTCGCGTTTGAGGGGAGTTGGGGGGAGAGATGGATTGGGATGACGTTTGAGCCGCGGGGTTGGGAGGTGAAGATCGTTGAGGCGATTGAGGCCATCGTGCGCCGGTTCTTGCTGGTGGAAGAGTTGGGGTTGGTGTCTTTGGGGGTGACTGTTGTGGTGCATTTTTCGGGGTCGGTGTGGGTGTGGGTGGGGAGAGCGATCCCGCCGCGCCGACGACGGATTTGACGACGGTGCCAGAACCAGAAGGCAGTGATGAGGAGTGCGACGAACGCTAATCCACCCACAACTCCACCCGCGATACTGCCAGTCTGCTTCGAACCTCCGCCTCCTCCATCGGACGATGCAGAAGTGGACGATGCGGAAGAGGAGCCAGAGAGGTTAACACAAGACACCGAAGCACACGCATCACACGTTTGGGTGCTCAAAATGCATGTCTCGCCATCATCGCAGGACGGACACGAGAGATCTATGTCGGGGCACGTTACGCAGTCTCTTCGTCCCAGCAATCCTTCTCCTGTACGCTGCTCATCAGCTCTCACATACACGAGAAAGAAAAAAGGAGGGATCTTACCTGAAACGAGAGAGATGGAGAGGATGAGAGTGAGTGCGGTGATGAACGAGAGGATACGCATCTTTGTAGTGCGTAGGGAGTGTATGCTGTTTGCCGGACGCGGCGGTTGTCGATTGGTGAGAGTTTGAGATGCACGCACATGCACACCCTGCAGCTGGTAAGATTACGCACTTGGCAGGCAACGGAGAGGAGTAAGGAGAACAGGATAGGGAATGAATGCTACTCCCACCATGAGCATTGTTGAGAAGAGGATGAAGGTTGAGCTGAGGAGATGATGAGCCAGCAGCTGCCTCGGCGTATTTTGTCCTGGAATGAGAGCTCGGGCCGCTTCCACGGGGCCCCGGACCGCTCAATATCGATGTAGCCTCGGCAGCCAGGCATGCTTGCCAATCACGTTCCCGTTCTTGCTCGAAGTGTCGCCGCTCTGACGAGACTCCTTCATCCATCACATAAACCTCCACCCTCCTCTCCTCTCCACATTGCTTGTGAAGGGAATAAGAAATGTCTTACACGGCCGCACCCAATCCTCAATCAGGGGGCGAAGAAGACTATTACCGTGATCGCTCCCCATCTCCTGACCCGTCCGGAGGCCACCGAAACCCGTTTGTCGAGCATGTGGAGGAAGATATGGATGATGAGTATGAAATGCAGGGTGATGTGGGCATGGGTCACGGAGGGATGTACGGAGCCGGGAGTAGTGATCGTCTTCCATTAGTTGAGGAGAGTACGTATCACCAAGGGTACGGAGCCCATCTCGAGCCCCAAGCAGGTATGTCCCACCTCAATGACTGTTGTACTTCATCGCATACTGATCACAAGCTGGGACAGGCACATACCCACCAGCCCACGGCGGCGGCTATCTCGCCCCTCTCCGCTCCTCCTCCCCAACCCCCTCTGACCCCCACGCTGCTCCAGGTTTGAGCACCCCCGCCCCCTCGCAGCTAAAACGCTACAACACCCGCCGCATCCCCCTTCCCCCCTCCGGCATCCTCTCCGTCGACCACCCCGTACCCACCGCCGTCCGTAACGCCGTACAACCGAAATACAGGCTCGAGGCCGAAGAACAGGGTCGGAATGAGTTTACCCATATGCGATACACGTTGGCGGTTGATGATCCGGATGATGTGACGGAGGCGAAGGGGTATGGGTTGAGACAGAGAGAGTATGGGCGGACGACGGAGTTGTTGATCGCGATTACGTATTATAACGAGGACAAGGTATTGACAAACCGTACCCTATACGGTATGTATCGTAACAGAGTTCGTCTCAGTTTGGACTGACTGACTGACGAACGTGCGGTACAGGCGTCATGAAAAACATCCGTGACATCGTCAACCTCAAAAAGTCGACATTCTGGAACAAAGGCACCCCAGCCTGGCAAAAAATCGTCGTCTGCCTCATCTTCGACGGCGCCTCCAAAGCCGATAAAGGCACCCTCGACGTCCTCGCAACAATCGGCCTCTTCCAAGCAGATGCCATGAAAGCCGACCTCAATGGGAAAAAAGCCACGGCGCATATTTTTGAGTATACATCTCAAGTCTGTTTTCATCCCGAGGAAGGGATGATTTGGCCAAAGGGGGATGCGGATGAGGGTGCGTTTCCGCCGGTACAGTTGTTGTTTGTACTCAAACAGGAAAACGCGAAAAAAATCAATTCGCATCGCTGGCTTTTCCACGCTGTTGGGAAGATGCTCGAGCCCGAGGTCTGTATCCTCCTCGATGCGGGGACGAAGCCGGGAGCGAAGAGTATCATAAATTTGTGGGAAGGCTTTTATAATGATAAGAATTTGGGCGGGGCCTGTGGGGAGATTCATGCCATGTTGGGCAAGGGTGGGAGGAATTTGATTAACCCACTCGTCGCCGCACAGAATTTCGAATACAAGATGTCCAACATCCTCGATAAACCGCTCGAGTCGTCGTTCGGGTACGTGTCTGTCCTTCCCGGCGCTTTCTCCGCATACCGGTTTGCCGCGATTCAAGGGCGGCCGTTGGAGCAGTATTTTCTGGGCGATCACTCGCTTGCTGAGCGGTTTAGGAGGGAGGGAAAAAAGGGCGTGGATGATATGGGAATCTTCGTGAGGAACATGTATCTTGCCGAGGATAGGATCCTCTGCTTCGAACTCGTCGCAAAACGTGGCTGCAAATGGAAACTCGCCTACATCAAAGCCTCCAAAGCCGAAACCGACGTCCCGGACGCAGCTCCCGAATTCATCGGCCAACGCCGTCGCTGGTTGAATGGATCTTTTGCAGCGAGCGTGTATGCCCTCGCTTTCTTCTATCGGATGTATGGGAGCAAACATAATCTGATCAGGATGTTTTTCTTCCATGTGCAGTTTTTGTATACGCTGTTTGGGTTGTTTTTGAGTTGGTTCAATTTGGCGAATTTGTGGTTGACGTTTTCGGTTGTTATTGATTTGGCGACGAATTGTTCGGATTTATCGACCAAGGCGACGAATACCACGACGAATGCGACGGCTGCTGCTGCTGCGACGGTTGTGAAGAGGGCTTTGACGTATCTTCCGGTGGATGAGTTGGTGAAGCGCGCTGGTACGGGTACAAGTGGGCAGTTATATTTCCATCCCTTTGGCGTGGAGGGAACGTGTGACTTCAATATCGTGTTGAAGTACATCTATACTGCGACGCTGCTACTCCAGTTCATCCTAGCCCTTGGCAACAGGCCGAAGGGATCGAAGTACACGTACTACGTTTCTTTCATCGTCTTTGCCGTTTGCCAAGTCTGGCTTCTCATCATGAGTTTCTTCCTCGTCTATGCTGCCTTCAAGAATGTCAACCTCGGCAGCGGCGGGTTCCTCGACAAAATTGGTATATTCTTCGGAATCGGAGTCACGAAGGCAGATATAGCCAATGGAGTGGCGCCCGGCGGTCTCTATGGTCTGATTATCTTGGCTCTTGCGGCGACGTATGGTTTGTATTTCGTGGCGAGTGTCCTGTATCTCGATCCGTGGCATATGTTCCACTCCTTCCCGTTCTATCTGCTCATTGCGCCGTCATATATCAACATCTTGAATGGTACTGTGATATTCGCACTGCTTGATTGCTTCATGCTAACACATGGTACAGTGTACGCCTTCTGCAATACCCACGATGTTTCATGGGGAACGAAGGGGTCTGACTCTACCGCGGCACATCTACCGGGCGCTCACTCAGAGAAAAAGGATGGTGCGGCTGTGGTTGAGGAAGCTGCGAAACCTCAGGAGGATATTGATGCGCAGTTTGAGAAGACGGTGAGGGCTGCGCTGATGCCGCTGCCGAGGGCCGTGGATGATGAGAAGCCGAGTCCTGAGGATAAGGATAAGGCGTTTCGCACGGTACGTAATGGCCTGTTGTTTTGAGGACAATGTTGACCTTTGCATACAGAGACTCGTTGCTTCTTGGGTTTCTACGAATCTGCTCTTAATCGCCGTTCTGACGTTCAGGTTTGTGGAACTCGAGTGCTATTATTACTCATGAAGCTAACGAGCTTGCAGTAACTTTGACCAGTTGTTCGGGACTGTGAGCTATGCAGCCGATCGTACTCAGGCTTACTTCAAGTTCCTCCTCATCGCAACCGCGGTCCTGAGTCTCATCAGGTTCCTGGGCCAGCTCACCTGGCTTGCGAAGACGGGTATCCTGTGGGGCTTCAGGAGGCATTGATTCAAAACAGTTTATCTTTTCGGAAGAATGAGGGGAGTATATTTTGGAAAGTTTCGCTTTTATCTTGCTTTGCGGTTTTTGGTTTGTATGACAATGAATATCACTGATATCTGCTCTAATGCTATCGTCCCCTCCCTTGCCTTGCACCTCCTCCAGAAGCCGTCAACGTTCGGAGGAGGTCTAGCAGCCTTCGCCCTTCTTCGGCTGAGCCGCGAGACATGATTGATCGTCTAGTGACCTGTCATCGGCCGTGAAGTTATACGAATCGGTGTCTCTGACAGCTGTACGGCCTCGGCATAATCATGATGGAAGAAGGACCTACGCCGACTGCAGCTGGATCCTGCTTAGCTTCAATCCTGATTGGATTCAGAAGCCTCAATTCAAGAACTCGCCGAAAACGGATCTGCCGGTGACATTTTTAACCGTTCATTGGGCGCCACGTGAATATGCGCGACCAGCCTTCCCTGCAACTTCGACTTTTGCGCACGGACCAACCGTCAAGCCTCCACAACAGCCTCACTAAACTTTAACCAATTCCGGCCAAACCCTGACCTGCCAGAAACCAGAACGATTTCCAGAGCAGGCTTCGATTGCTATGCTCCCCTCTGTGGCTTTAGCCGTTGTCTACCGCTCGCGGTCGTCGGACGCTGTGTCGGGTTGTTCGGCGATTGTAGCTGCCGTCGCTCTTTTCTGCTTCTTAAATCCCCGCTTGTCTGTCATCTCAGCTTACCTCACCGTCTAACATCACAATGCATATCCCAACAGCGTTTGTATTCTTGAGCGTAATCGCTGCTCAAGCTTTTGCGATTCCATGGCCTGGAAACACCAAGCGCGGGCAGGGCTCTTCATCCGCTGTGTGGAACGCTGCCGCCTCGCAGTCTCCTAGTGGTCTCGACAACTTTTGCAGCTCGTACATCTTGTCTACGAAGACTGTGACTACTACTATCACTCCTACGGTTGCGCAATTGGGTGCTGGAAATGCTGCGATTGCCGTTACCTCCACTTCGACTGCTCTCGCTACCACCACAGCTGTGCAGTACGTCACTACGACGGAAACCGACGTCGTTATTGTCAATGAGACATCGACCTACATTGTTCCTGTTGAGCAGACCGCTTCGGAGTACACTACCGTCACGGCTACCTCTGTCATCCCCACTACTACCACCGCCGTCAGCGTTGAATCAGATGTCTTGACCGATGTTTCCGTCTCCACGGACGTCGTCAGCAGCACGACTACCACTACTCTTCCTGTCTCGGTAACTAGGTTCAGCACTGTCCTCACCATCACCACCGCTTACGCCTCGACTACCACCAAGCTTCAGAACCAGAAGCGGGGTAAGGGCTCGTGCGATCTCTTCTGCACCTTGACCGACTACAGTGAGCCTTGGGTCTCAGCTCAGTGCAGCGGCTGGTTGTTGCGTCCCAAGACCGTCACCGTCACTAAGACCGCCAGTGTCTCCGCCCGCTCCGTCGCTTCGTCTGGTCCCTTGACAGTCAACGCCCTTGCCGTCTCAACCGTCACCGAGAACGTCACTTCTACGGTTTACGTGACTACCTATCAAACCACAACCTCCACCACCTCAATCCCTACCTCCTCCCTCTACACCGACGCAACCGTCACCGAAACCAGCACCGCCACCATCAACACAACCACCACCGTCACCGAATCACTCACCTCGACCACAGTCTCCTACACCACCTCCATTCTCCCCACCACCTCCACCTCCGTCGCCTCGACTCAGACTCTGACATCCTACTCCACCACAACCGCAACAGTGACCTCCACCATCATCTCCACCTCCGTCTCAACCCTCGTTCAAATCGCCCAACCAACTGGCCAATGTTACTCCGACGCGTCCTCCCGAACCCTCCAATACCACCTCGGCGCAAACAACAAATACGTTCCCTCGACCTGCAAGTCACTCTGTATCCAAGCTGGCTACAACTACGCCGGTCTCGAATATGGAGGACAATGTTGGTGTGATTTGCAAATCAACCCGATTGCGACGCCGATTGCGCAGACGAATTGTAACATGACTTGCACGGCGGATACGACGCAGATGTGTGGTGGTGATTGGGCGATTCAGTTGTACTACTTGGGTCAGTGAGATGTTCATGTAAATTACTTACTATCATAACTCCTTTAACTTTTTAATGTCACACTATAACTATGATCATATCTCACCCTCATCCTCCACGCCCCACGCCTGCTGCATAGCCTTCACCTTCCGATCCTGCTTCATATGTCCCGTCCGATACTTCCTAACATCTCTCTTCATCAACTCCCGTGCCGCCTTACTGACCTCCTCGCTCTCATCATCATCGTCCTCATCCTCATCTTCCCCTCCTCCTCCACCACCACCACCGCTGCTGGATACAGGACCGGTGTATTCGAGCATATCCCGGATCACTTGGTTGTGTAGAAAGTGTGAGTGCATCCCATGCGACAACACTCGGCGCAACTGTCTCAGCCGTGTGAGCTTGAGCCAGGAGTCTACGTACAGCGTCGCCGCACGCCCGAATTTGAGTGTCACGGATGGTGCGGAGTATTTCGGGTTGTTGACCGTGTCAAGGACATCCCTAAACGTCGAATGCAGCGTCCTTCGACTCGACTTCGCAATGCGTTTCGACGATGCCGTAGAAAGGTTAGAGAGTAAGTTCGTGAGATGACCGATGTCGTCATACGGCTTTTCCAATTCTTGTCCTTCTTCCGGCTCCTCACGCGTGTCGGAGTGTGCCCACATCTCATACATGAGTGCAATGACTTCTCCAGCCGCTACACGTACACTAACCTCCGCCGAATCCAACTGCTCCACCATCACAGGTAGTCCCTCTCTCACAATCTGATCAGCCTCCTCCCCCTCCTCTTCCAAACCCGTCAGCAAAAATCCAAAAGCTTCAATCGCGGCAGTAACCACTCCCTCATCATCACCTGCCTCCACGGTAATCCCATCACTCTCCACGATCTCTTGTAAGAAGTCAAGAACGGCGAGGGTTTCATGGGAAGAGCCGTATGTGAAGATCACGGTTGCGAGGGCGGATATGGAGGCGGATTTGACGCTGGTGAAGGAGGAGGATTGGATTTGTTGTTTAAGAATTTGGCGTGTAGCGTCGTAGGTTTGGCCGTAGTCTGGACATGTCAAGACAAACACCGACAACACTGTAGGTCTCAATTAGCTTTCATCGCGTTAGAAAGTTGCCCAAGACCTACGTCTTGCAGAGAGCAATGACTCCCGCTCCGTCCGTCCACCCTTGAGACTCTTCGCCACCGCATTTAGAAGATCCGCTTCACGTCCAACAAGCACAGTACGGGCATTCCTCAGACACATAACCTTATGAATCTTACTCAACAACTCCTCCCTCCCCTGCACACTACTCCCCTTCCTTTCCACTAACCCATCCACAAATCCCTTCAACTCATCGTCCCAGCCCTTCTCCAGCGCGACCTCTGTCGCTGCACCCCACGATTCGACACTCTCGATTGAGGCGACAGAGGCATCGTCGGACCATTCGTCCTCTGAGTTTTGGCGGGAGGCGGCGCGAGAGGAGGAGCGAGAGGAGGAGCGGGGGGCATCAAGGGAACGGCTGCCTAGAGCTTTTCGACGTAGATCGGACATTTGCGAGTGTATTTGTAGGTGATTGTTGGATTGGATCACGATGATTTGGTGGTTGGGTTTGCGGTGAAGGCAAAAGTTCAAGTTGGAGCTTTTGAGGACGTACGTCATTGCGGTCGCACGTGCACGGAACCAGACAGCTGAACACCAACCTGAAGTTACGAGGAAGTTAATAACGGTACGGTTGTCAAACAGCTATGACATTTGAAGTGCTATGCCTAGAAAACGCTGTAAACCAGGTGAAAGTGCTCAGGTCTCGACACTCAGAGACGCTGAAAACTGAAAAAATGGTGCTGAACCTTTCGTTCAAATCCATAATCACTCTGCGTAAGGCTCAAGAACTGCATCGTCCCAAAACGTCCCTGATCAAAAGGCTGCCCCTTGCCAACTTCTATTCAATTCGTGGCTCATCGTAGCGACGACAGCAATTCCTCTGCAATCCGAATCAGACCACTCTACTGAGAGTTTGAAGAGAGTGGGGAGTTGAGCGTGAGTCGCCGGCGTCAGATTCGTTTCTCGGTAACTTCACTTCATCCTGCTTGCTCATCAAGGGTCAGGTCAAGAACTAAAGCACGGCTGCATCCTCTTCACCCTCCTCTTCACCAATGCGTGTGATGGTGATTCCATCAATAGCTCAACACTGAGGCGACGGATCCATGCTTGCCAATTGTCTCGGGTTGATCTCCGTGAGGTTTCCCAGGCACTCTTGAGATGTGATGCTGTTGGTTAACGGGCAACCTCTTCGCGCTGACATCTGCTGATGACACTTCATCGGTACGAGCGTCACCGTAGCGCTGCTCGGGACTCCTCTTCCTCTTCCTGGCGTTGTTAACTCGAGTTTCGTTTGCCACAGGTGAGGTCATCCGTCGCCTTAGCTGGGCCTGCGAAGGCACATGCTTCTCAATCACGCCCTCTGGGGTGGCCTTTTCTGCCTCATTCTGCTTGATACGTAAGTCTCGGGCAGGTTCTTTAACAATCGGATGTCCGGCAATGACTGCAGCTGGCCAGTCAACGAGCTTGTTTGGCCATTTTCTTTCTGTGGTAGGAGCAAGGTGCTCCACATCTTGACATTTTTCGAGATCGACAAAGCGACGGCGGACTTTTGGGGAAAATCGGAGTCGTGGAAAAGCGCCCACATACGCGTCCTTTACCACAGGGATATCTGGTCTAGGCTCTCTCCTGCCAATTTCGGTGAACCATTCGATCGGCTTGATGTCTTTCTTTCTCTCCACGCCGGCTTGCCTTGCAGCATCATCAACAAGAGCCTCCAGAGCCACAATGAACTGATCAATCTCGCCTCCGGCCAAAATCTTTGCTGTCAAATAGAGGGTCGTATCGGCATTTCCCACGTCCTCTAGCCATTGAGGAACAATGTCCTTTAGCCCATGTTGTGGCAGCATGCAAAGCGCAGCAGCCTCAGCTGATAAAGGCAAGCCTCGGGTCGGCAGCGGTCGCCCGATGAACAGTCTCTTCTTCCCATTCACCCACCTACGTAGTTCTTGCACATTCATGCCGATATTAATATTCTGCCGGCAGATATAAGTAGGATTAGGATGGCGCCCAGTTGTGAACACCACGAAACTCCATAAAACGTTGGTAAGGTATTCGTCGACACTGGGATTTCCGACGTCATTGCTGTTAGATTTCCAGAGCCAATGGTCGAGTTTCTGACCATGGCTCAGAAATGCATCAAGGACTTCCAGGTCAATTGCTGGTCTCGAGCCGAGCGTTGTCATGAGATAGCGACCTCGCCACTTATGTATCTTTCTGAACTGCTCATAGCTCTTCCAAATAGTGCTGAACTCCCCCGCCCCTTGCAGTTTTGCGATATAGTCATTCCCTACAAATTGGATGAGGAACAGCATATCCCTCCTAACCAAATCGACGTCAGCAGAAGGAAACGTTTGCTGCAGGAGCGTCATGAAACGATCGAGTGAGAAGATTGAACAAAACTGTTTGTCGTTGTCTTGTGGAGTTGAAGGTACTAATAGGAAACTATTAGGGACTGCAGACGCAATAACTTGTACAATCACGTCCGAATCGGGCGAAAGCACTGCAACGGGACCCTTAAAAGGATGAGTCTTCGAACGGTGCATTAAATAGAACTGAATCTTCCCTTCTCCTTCAAATTGTGTAGCGGCGCTATCGACCACTATCCTTTTCGGTGCTGGCGGCCGTTTCGGCGAACCCGAAGTTCGTCCAAGAGTTTGATAAGCCCAGAAATCGAGATACCCAGGCAACTTCTCCATAAATAGGGTTCCCGGGGTGATAGCGAGCTTGGTTGTGCCGTTTTTCAGCTTCTAAATCAGGTTGGACATCTCATTAACGATGATCAAACACGGGCCTCAACAAATCTCACCTTCCTCCTCCTTGCTGCACTTTCTATCATCTTTACAGAAACTGGGGATCCATCAAAGGCGAGATATAGCAGATCTCGGACACCGGTTCTACGCAAGAGCATGTCCAGGGTAGTGTAGAGCCCCACGACCACGAATCTGACGGGACTCTGTCCGGTTTCTTTCGCTTTTCCCCTCGCCCATCCGAATTGCTCGTGCAGAATCGAGTTCGCGTCAACGAAGATGGTGTCAAAAATCTTCTTCTTTGACGTGCCGCCTGCCAACCTACTGAACGCCCCTGGGTATATCTTGCTGAACTGTGGTTTCATTGTTAGCGAGTATACCAGAAGCCTGGAAAGTGCCACCATACGTTCTTTGCAAAACCAACCTCACGTATACCCATCGACGTAAGCTACTGTCTTGTCTAGGCTCATGAATTGGACATCGCAGCTGGCCGGATCGCTCAAAGATAGTGACATGTTTGGAGGTTTACCTCGGCCGTCATATGGGTAGCGACCGCACTGTGCCACGACGTCACCCGCCACACGTATCGCAGCGCTTGCCGGGCAGAGCAGTCAACAGGCAGCGAACAACCATGTCGGCACTGGTAGCAGGTTATGGGTCAAGTGATGAGAGTGGTGATGAGGCTGCTCCTGCTCTGAGGCAAGCCCATGTGTCGTTGATCCAGCCTGTGGTGGCAGCGCCTGAAGTTTCTACAGAGGTATGTGCATTCAACCGTCTCTCTTTGGCCTTGCTAATGAATCGCAGAACCCCATGGAACTACAAATGATGATTGCCAAACCGACGGATACACAGATCATGGTGAACACCTCATACAGCGACCTATCACGGCCTGAGCAGGGTCCCACGAATCCCTTCAACCAGAACTCGAGTATCAAGCGGAATGTTTTGACGGGTGCGGTGGAAGCGCAAACAATTACGGACGCGATGTTCAATGCGCAACAACGGACCTATAACACGTATGGATATGCTCGAGATCCGTCACTAAATGCGCAGGGATTTGTTGGGAATCAGGCTCTTGCGCAGCAATTTGAGGGTTCAGACATCGTCGAGAGGAAGGTCAGCAAGGCTGGGCTTGCTGCACTCAAAGCAAAGAGGGAGAAGAAGGGCGATGCTTCTGTATTGGAAGGTGACAATCGATATCTCGGTCCTTGGGCTGCATACAACCATGCGGAGGCCGCGGACGAGGATGAGATGGATGATGGAGAGTACGCGGATGAGGCTATGGCGCCTGAGAGTCATCCCGTCATTGTGCAAGATCGGGACGCAGATGTGTACAACACGTCTGCGGAGGAGAAGACGGAATTTCTTGGATCCGAAATGTACGATTACCAAGGGCGAACGTATATGCATGTACCACAAGACCTGGATGTCAACCTTCTCGGCGAACCTGGCGAGCAGGAATGCTTTGTTCCTAAGAAACTTGTGCACACTTGGGAAGCACATGCCAAGGCCGTATCAGCTGTCAGGTTTTTCCCTCGAAGCGGGCATCTTTTGCTGAGTTCTGGAATGGACTCGCAGATCAAGCTCTGGGATGTTTATCATGATAGGGAGCTTCTTCGATCGTATTCCGGTCACTCCAAGGCTGTGCGAGACGTCACTTTCAACAACGATGGTCGACAATTCCTGTCCGCTTCGTATGACAAGATGATCAAGCTCTGGGATACAGAAACCGGTCAATGCATCTCGAGATTTACGACGGGCAAGATCCCATATGTTGTCAAGTTCAATCCAGATCCCGCACTTCACCATGAATTCCTTACTGGTATGTCTGACAAGAAGATCGTACAATTCGACATCCGGTCTGGAGACGTCATCCAAGAATATGACCACCATCTTGGTCCAGTGAACACAATCACTTTCTGTGACGAAAATCGTCGATTCATTACTACGTCAGACGACAAGTCACTGCGAGCATGGGATTATGGGATTCCTGTCCCTATCAAATATGTGGCAGAACCATACATGCACTCTATGCCTGCCGTGGCGCTGCATCCCAATGGTAAGTACGTTGCTTGTCAGTCACTCGACAACAATGTCTGTGTGTTCTCCGCTACAGACAGATTCAAGGCCCATCGCCGCAAGACATTCAAGGGCCATTCGTGCGCTGGCTACGCTATCGATGTTGGGTTTTCCCCTGATGGAAAGTTCTTGTTTTCTGGTGATAGTGGAGGGTATGCTGTCTTCTGGGACTGGAAGACGTGCAAGATGTGGAAGAAGTGGAAGGCTCATGACAAGCCGTGTACTGTGCTGGCAATGCACCCGCAGGAGACAAGTAAGTTGGTAACGGCAGGTTACGATGGGCTGATCAAGTATTGGGATTAGTTACGAGAAAATAACAATGAAATATTGATAACTCCTACCAAAAGAACAAACGCTCAATACAAAAAGAACTAAAACTTCCATCCTGATGTCTATATCCATGGCCCTTTCCATGACACTCGTCATCATCCCCTCTCGCTCTCCTCCGAGTTAGCTTACGGTCCAGGAAGGTATCCCTGATGACCTTGTGCCGCACCAGTCATATCCCCATGTCCGACTCCCCACGCCATGTTATTCAGATCCATGAACGCAGGGAATCCCGGCAAGACACCCGGTACAGGCATCACAGGCGCAACACCATTGTTCCCAACCCCGGCTCCAGAGTTATCCCACCCAACCACTCCAGCATCAGCAAAGAAGTCCAAAGGACCAGGCGTGGAAGCCATTCCAACCGGCTGCCAGTTCCTCAGGTGCATCTCGGGACTCGGTAACCCTTCTGCACCAGGCGGCACAAGCGACGGGAAGTCATCCTTCGAGCCGACATTCCACTTCCTCGCAAGTGCACCAACAACCCTCAACGACCTCGACGCACTCTCCCACGTATTCGAAATCTCCGCCAACCCATCGGAACACACCCTCAACGCCTTTCTAGACTCCGCACGAGACTCGACCGAAGAAGTCGCGACCGTGGCGTCCACAAGATGGATCGTACACGCCGTGAAGAGGATATGCACCGAGAGGTTAACAACGTAGCGCAACGAAAACCGCTGACGGTAGTACGTCAACAGATTCGCGATCGCCATAGCCGCATTCGTGCACATCTGCCTCGGCAGTGCAGTCCCCTTCAACACCGGCTCCTTCTTCGCCAAAAATGGCCTGAACAGTAGGATAACCGTCGTATGGTACATCATACTAAAACACAGCAATTAGCACTCATTCAAAACTCCTCCTCGGAATAGGAAAACTTACTGCATCAAGACAACACTCGGCAATCCAACATCCCCAGGACCGCTGCCAACCCCTCCAACCTTTGCCCACCCCTCCAACCCATCCTCCCACCCCCTCAATCTTGTCCAAATCTCCCCAACCCTACCCACCCTCCCACTGGCCCCAACCTTCGTCGGACTACTCGAATACAACCCCTGCATCAAACTCCCCAGAATCTCCGTCAACGAACAAATACTCCCAAAAGTCGAATACAAATGCAACGGCACGTCCGGCAATTGCTGAATCGGAAAGCTCGGTTCATAATATGCGCGCCAGGGTAACGCTTCCTCGTTTAGGGAGATATTCGGTTTCGGAACCGTGACGTCGTCGGCAGGTATGAGAGATGGTCGTCCCATGTAGGTGGACCATCCTTTGTCGAAGACATAACATCCCCAAAACGTGACACTCCGAATCTCGGCCTCTTCAGCACGCATCGCACCGACTTCCACGAATCGCCGACAATCCAAGTGTAGCCCCAAATCCAACGCCATCCGGAAACTCATACCCGAGAAGATCCACCCGCGTGCATCGCGTCCACACCCCGCCTCCCTGGACCCCAACAACGCAAGTGCTTGCACAGTGGTGATGGACGGCTTCTCCAACTCATCCTCGAGTAGCTCACGAGCACGCTGGTAGAAGTGGTATCCTGCCGTACACACCTCACCCCCGACATCCCTGAGATCAGATCTCGAACTATACGGCGCCGCATGCGCCAAAATCGCATTCAACAACAGCTCCGAATAGTATTTGCCCCCACCCGCATGATAATCTCTCATGAACGCCGTGCGATCCAACACCACGAAATAGGGATGCTGCCACGTCCAATACAGCTCCAAGAGATGAGAGACGAGGGTAGAATCATACCACGTATTCGCCATCTTCGCTGTCTGTGCTCGCGGAGAGAGGGATATACTTCGCTGAGTCGCAGGGGTATCTTTCTCACTCCCCTCCACTAAATTCAAATTACTCGTCGGCCCGAAAAACCTCAATTCTCCAGCATCATCAACCCGTAACTGTCCCATAACCTCACTTAAATCAGTCACGAGGGATGGGCCAATCGGTGTTCGCGTCCCGCTCCCTTCGGCATTTTGTGGGGTATTGTTCGCGGGGTCGAAATCGAGGATGAGGGTTTCGAGGGGAGTGTCGCGGATGTAGGAGAGGAGTGAGTCTGTTTTGTCGCGGGGGCAGGATTGGAGGGATGTGATGAGCGCTTCGAGTGCGCCGACGCGGATTTTGAGTGCGTCGACGTGTTGTCGGGAATGTGTTCTATTTCTGTTACAGCATAACATATCAGCTCTGCGCAGGGTAGGAAGGAGAAAGGAGAGCATACCTTCTTCGATCCGATTCGGTGTCGTACGCACACTCCGTCTTATACAACTGACACGTCAAACACACCGGTAACCCACCATCACACTTAGACTTCCGTCTTCGACACGGGAAGCATGCGGTCGTAACACACCTCCTCTTCGCCTTCGTGCCGCCTTCTTGTTTGATCTCGGGTCCGGGGCTGTCCTCGAACTTGGGCGCCGTGGGTTGTCGATTGATCACCGGCGGCTGCTGTTGCTGCGGTGGAGGCGGTTGCGCAACACCCGAGCCTGGAGGCGGGTATCCCATTTGGCTGTGATCGTGCCCGGGTGGAATCGACATGTTATGATGTGTACTCCTTGCCGCGTAATCTCCGTGCCCCTCCATCTTCGTCGAACTTTGTCTTGCGTCTCGCGTGTCGTACGTAAACTCTTGGCGAAACTTCTCTCGGTCGCGACGAGTGCGACGTTCTTCGAAGATCTGCTCTTGCTCCTTCTCTTCGAATGATCTCTTCTCGAATCGCGACTTCACCTGTGGCGATGATGTCCTGTCCCTGCTGATTCAGCTTTGCAGTTCCTTGCAGGTCGTGCGTGCACCCCTTCGGTTTCGTTTGCGGCACTTGCTTCCTGGATATTTGATCCGAGATTGCTGGTTATCGCAATCGATCTCGAGTGCTTCCGTCAAGCAGGTTTGTGCAGGGATTGCAGCAACGGTATGAGAGATGGACAGATCAGGCTGATTCTCCCAAGTGCCTTCCCTTCAGGCTGAATTAATGGAGGTGGGTTCTTGCGCTGGGTGACTAAGCTTACCGTAGCGGTTGTTTCTCCAGACTCAGCCCGTGCATAAACTGGGGCCTGGGGTTCGGAGAACCGGGAATTTGGTGGGGCTCCACAGTCTGGCTCCGTGCTACAGCTGATCTGAGAGTTCTTGGAAGGAGAAAATAAAGATGATCCAGCTGTTCGCTGATCAGACCGCTCCATGCAATTTAATCGCTCGCTCTTTGGCCTGCGCACTCAACGACAGCCCGCGGATGGTGCACATGGCCATAGGCCCATGCGCTTCTACACGCTCCCGCGGAGACCCGGAGAAAGGGAAGATCCAGAGGAGCAGAGATTGAGATGCGTCACGAAGGGATAAGACTGTCCTGGATCTGGTTGGGTTGAGTTGAACGGTGAGGATCGATTGGTGGAATGGGCCAGGCGATTGCAACTGCTAAGGAACCGGGTAAGTTGTTGGGCGATTCGCCGCCCGTATCATTAGTCTGGCGTGGCAAGGGTCCGCTGATCGACAGATGTATGACCTATAAAGGACGATAACGAAGGATGACTTCGGGTGCATGTTTCCCGATCGAACCCTGCGACGACCTGACCTTTGACTTCTGAACGACACACATTGATCACGAACCAGACAAGATGTAGCACACATACAGATTCAATTTAGGTATCACAAATCCAAAGCAAAGACTCATCTAGTTATACTATACTCAAACACTTCACAACTTTCCCTCAGCCTGATATCCCTTCCCGCCACCCTCAACCGCAACCTGTAGCCTCGCCGCGTCCTCCGCATTCTCTTTGGCATTGCCCTTAACAGCATGACTCTTTGCTCCTCCATCGGGCAAAAACCAGTTCAAGTAAACATCCGCCAACTTCTTCGTAACACCCGCAACACCGATCTCCTCCTGTCCCTTGTACTCGAGATGAGCGCGAACGGCGTCTTGTGCGTCGACTTCGGCATCGTAAGCATACGTGCCCAAGACAGTGACCGGGTCCCCGTAGAGGTTGGGCGAACGGAGGTATTGCTTGCCAGAGAGTTCGGGGGACATAGCTGCGTCACGAGCATCTGCCTCCGCGCCATCGGGAAGATGCCAGATTGCGCCGTTGATGAATGAGATCTGTTGCTTTGCGTAGGCTTTGGGTTGACGAACCTTCTCGTAGATCTCGAGTGCTTCGGCGAGGGAGATAGAGCCCTTGACGACTTCGCCGAGGACGACACCGAGGAATGCGCCGTCTTCCATGGCGGTTGCGGCACCTTGGGCCATGTGGTTCACCATGGAGTGTGCGGCATCGCCCATGAGTGCGACATTGCGCTGGGGCGAAAGCCAAGTCTTGAGGGGACCGGTGACGAGCAAGGGCCACCTCTTAACAGACCCCTCTGGGATCATCTCAAGGATCTTGACAACCCTGGGGTCGAAATCCTTGTAGGTCTCCCTCAACGTCTTCACACAGTCCTCGCTGTCCCACTCACTCATCGGCGTCGTACAATGGTGACTCAAGACCATGTTGAAAATCTCACCCCCAGAGATAGGGTAAGAGATAATGTACTTGTGATCAGCCATCCAGACCTCCATCGTGAGTTTCTCGATGAGTTCGGCGGCCTGGGGGTCTTTGCGGACTTCACTGTAAGGGACGACGGCACGGTAGGCGCAGTTGGGGGTTGGTTGGATGGGGTCGGTGCTTTGACCGGGGAAGAGGGAGTTGCGGACAACAGACTTGACACCATCGGAGCCGATGATGAGGTCGGCCTCGACGACATCTCCCTTGGTTGTGAACACCTTCGCCTTTTGTCCAGGCGCGACATCGTACTCAATCCGGTCAACACGCGAATCAACACGGATTTCGACACCCTGCTTCTGTGCGACGGCGACGAGTCCATCGTGCAAATGCGCGCGGTGCACAACCCACCACGGCCATCCAACATCATTCCTCACCTCCGGAATCATATGAGTATACCCAACCTTGGTTCCATCCTGCTTCCTCATGTTCAACTCCTCGAACTCCACAAGGTTCTTGCCGATCACGTCCGCGACACCCCATTTGATGAGGAAACGGGAGACGTTGGGGGTCATCTGGATACCGGCACCGATTTCGCCGAGTTCGGGGGCTTGTTCGAGGAGGATTACTTTGACGCCGTTCTTTGCCATCGCGATGGAGCCGGCGACACCGCCGAGGCCTGCGCCGACGATGCAGACCGTCAAGTCTTTCTTGGTACCGTTTGTGATAGGAGCCATTGTGTTTGTTCAAGTAGCTGGTGCTGATCTGATCCTTGAAGGTCGAGGACGTGCCCTTCTTATACTTTTCCGCGCATCCCCGGATACCTGCTTCCCCCCATCGCATGCACCCTCATGATCCGGTCATTTGCCATTGCCGACGTTTCCGGAGCGAAATACCCAATCAAAGTCGAGGGATGTTGCGGGTACATGGTTCCGCCTTGAAATCTGCACATATCTGGGGGTGAGGGAGTGGGGCGTGGCGCAGGCGCGGAAATTTAGAGTTGGAATGTGGGGTGGGTGCATGCTTCCGCGAGGGTTGGACGGAAGAGTTGATGAAGGTTCTCGAGCGAGACTCGGTAATCGGCCGGGTAAGTCGGCAGTGTTGACATTTCTTGTAGTTGTAGGGTTGTTGAGACTGAAGGCTGGATCCGGAGGAGGTCGGCGGAGCGTACTGTTGCCTAGAGGCCCAGGATTGCCGGGAGATGTTTACAGCAATCGACTCGGTTGCAGGTCCTCATCGCCCATCGGTGGCAGCCTTGCTAGGTACCCGAGGGAAAATGTAGTCGTGTGAAAGCTTCAGCGTAGGGGGGCTATTACGTGTAAGCGTGAGATACAGACGAGGTTGATGATATGAATTCGGTTCCTAACCCGAGCCCATCACCTGAAACTCTCCGTCCTCGCAGTCACAATTAGGCCTTGGCGTTATTATCGATGTTGGTGCATGTACAGAGTTTGTGAGCGCTCCGGATCCCACGGTTCTTGGTGATGCGTAGAGGATTGTAGGTCATCAAATCACGCACAAATCAAAGTGCAAGGTAGTGGAAGCATTGAGTGAGGCACTGAAAGTCCTGCTGCGAGCACGGCGGATTGGCGGAGTCAATGTCGTTAGAGGCTTGGGCACAGCGACAATGTCGGCGTCCTTGTACAAATACACTTCAGACGTCAGTCACGAAGGGTAACAATGCATACCATGACAAGCTTCTTCTGTGCAAGGCGGGTCGTAACACTAAGTGGATAGCAGTCGCAACAAACCGCTCCACAGCTTCAGTACAGCTCTCGCCTAAGCGTCAACACCACGATCCGATTTCATAGAGATCACGAGTGACTGTCCCACTTCTTTTGAATTGGGCCACACCTGACCTACTCCAGGGAAGGTGGCCGAGTGGTTTAAGGCGTTGGCTTTAGGCGCCAATGGGTTCGCCCGCGCGAGTTCGAACCTCGTCCTTCTCACCATTAACTTCTTTTCTTTGCCGAACCGTTGACTCAACGAAAATTCCAAACGAGACGTAATATGAAGTGAAACTTCGTCTTTATTCCTGCGCTTGACGCAAAGGGCTCGGACTGGGGGACTTTCTCTTTGTATGTGGGCTGTTGTTCATCTGCACGCTTAGCGGGAGCAAGTAGATGGTAGACACGAGCGTAAGAAGTGGATATTGGGGTTCTTGAACATTATCAAGACATACCAGGCAAGAGCAGTCTGTGCTGTGCTAGGCATAATCTGTCTCGATCTTGTCACCTGGCGTGATTTATCACTCAGGTTGGCCTCGCCTCCCACGGTTTACCCGTAACGGCAACATGAAGCGACAAAGTGACCGAGAAAGTTTGCTCGTGCATTTGACAAGGTTCATGGACTTTCTGAACCCCATTCTGACCCTTTCAAGTACATATCTCCACTCGTGCACTGTTTGTCACCATCTTTGCTGGATTCGGCAATCCTGCAGTAACCTTCCCACGGTGCTCACGCTCACGCTGACGCTGAAGAGTGTCCTGTGAGCGTTCTTTGGTGAGGTGGTGGTCTGTCAGCGTAGATGCACGAAATAATACTCCAATCGACTCCAGTTTCGGTCCGAGCACTCTACCACCACCACCAAAAATCCGAATAACCTCCAAGAATGATCCAAACTCCAGGAAACAATACACCTTCACGTCCACCACGGCTTCAACATTCCTGATTACACCTCAGTCGCCATCTATGAGCGTTATCCAGGGATCGATCGGATTCGGATTTCCGGATCCAGCACGCGCTAGCGCATGGGCACTCGACATCGGCCGACTGACTCGCACGACGCTAAACTTTCACTTTATCTCCGGCACTCCATCCCTCGCTCGAGTTCGATTTCGGCACGAACCCAGCACCACCACATCCACAACTACCATGATTACGGCTAACATAGTCAGTCAGATTGTCTGAATCGCCTGAGGGTTGAACAGGTGTGGCATACTTCAGGTATGCTGAATCGAGTGACTTCACATTGTCTAAATTTAAATATCGAATCTTGTCACTCCAGACGGATGTCCTCACGGTTCATGCTTGCGTTGGTTGGGAATTTATCGCTTAAGCGCGCGGCGGTCGGCGTGCCTCTTCGTGCAGCTGTCTACGTAACCGCATACACCCGACAAACAGACCATCAAGGGAACCGACGAGCTCAGCTTCCATCGATCTGAGCATCAAGACCTATTTACAGACCACATTTCAAGTTTACGAAGCTATTACTCTCGATCATGTACGGTCTTCGCTCGACTCTGACCTCCTGGCGCGAGTATCTCGCACCGGTTGCGACGACCTCATCGTTCAAATCGACCGGAACGCTCACACCGGAGGAGTTTGTTGCTGCGGGCGATTATTTGGTGTACAAGTTTCCGACTTGGTCTTGGAGTGGCGCGAGTGAGGGTGGGAAGAAGGACTACCTCCCGGAGGGCAAGCAGTTTCTTGTAACGAAGCATGGTAAGTTCAGAAGTGTGAATGATGTTGGGTCTGGGTGAGTGTATGCTAACACATATCATAGTACCGTGTATGAAACGACCGAGTGCGCTTGAGGCTGCTACGGCGGATGAATTTGAGATTGCCGCTGAAGAGGGAGAGGGAGAGGAAGGATGGCTTGCTCCCGTTTCCCAGGCGCAGAACATCACCTCAGCAGCAGAGGAGATCCCAGACATGGACGATGAGTCCGCACCAGTAACGACCATCGAACCCATCGCAGCTGCGAAGAGTGGACCACTCGCCGACGATGATCTGCCGGATCTCGATGAACTTGCCCTTCCGGACGAAGACGACGACGATGCTGTTGCGACGAATACGTTGAGTCACCGTACCTACGACCTCTACATTACCTATGATAAGTACTACCGTACACCTCGACTTTGGCTCTCGGGTTACTCCGAGTCTGGCGCTCCGCTTCCTCCCTCGTCCGTCTTGGACGACGTCATGGGTGATTATGCGCGAAAGACGGTCACAGTGGAGAAAGCTACGTTCTTGGGTGAGGGAGTTGGTATGCCGACGGTACACCCTTGTAGGCATGCGGAGGTCATGAAGAGGGTCATTGAGAGGGCAGATGTGCGTGTCAAGGAGAAGGCTGCGAAGAAGGAGGCCGATGGTAACGAGGAAGGTTTGAGGGTCGATCAGTATTTGGTTGTATTTTTGAAGTTTATGGCGAGTGTTATTCCGACGATTGAACACGACCAGACGATGGGATTCTGATTGATGATTTGGAGATGATTGAATTCGGATGTCTCGGCAGCACACGGAACGAGGCTCGAACCTGGGGAACGGCCTGCAGCGAACTGAGCAGTGGTAACAGGGTAGAGGTACACGGGCTTTTCTAGGGAGTTGGCGTCTTTATGATCGAATATATTTTCCTTATTCAACATGCGTATCGAAAGCTTAGCAACTCAGCACTTTTGTCCATACGTTGGCATTGGCGCCACCCGAAGAAGCTCCGCAGGCTGTGCGCATTAACGAGCTCTAGGCCCCCGGTCCAAACGTCATTCGAGTCCCTGCCCAATTTGTGGATTCCCGAAGTACCGATCTCGGGACTTTATTTTGGATTTATCCTTTATACCCGTTTCACCGTTCGGTTTCAGCTGTGTTCTTTTGCCCAGCTGCTTGGAACTTCGTTGGACGTAGGTGTTGCTCATGAGCGCTGACGGTGCTCTCATTGCCGGCGGCGGCTTCGAGTATGCTCCCATTCCGCTCGTTGTTGTCGATAACGAGCATGTCGTCCGTGCCGTCAACATTGCGGCCAGGAATATTCTTCAGATCCGGGAAGTGAAGGATAGGTATGGGTTATTGGAGGATATCGGCGTTGAGGTTTGGCCGGGCTCACAGGGACCGCCGGTACCGACACATCATAACCCATCACACCGATTATTCAAATCACTTGAGATCCAGTTCGTCAGTACTGATAGCGATTTACATTTACAGCCTGCTCCGACACCCGTACGCCTTGGATATCCCGGAAATGAACAACCTGGCTCAGCAAGATATTTTAGCGGAGTCATACAGCCATGGGCGAGGGGACGACAGACATGGTATACGATTACTATATTCCCGACTGGACCGGATTCACGATCAGTTGATGGTTGGTCGTCGCCGTCATCGTCTATGTCGGGCATGAGTAGGCCGCGATATTCGTTACCGCCGAGAGATCAGCCATTACAGCAGACGAATGGATACAATAACAACAAGACGACGGTTGTACGATTAGAGGATGTGGATGAGGAGATGAGTCTGGATACTGTTGAGGAGATTGGGATTGGTGCGGAGACGCCGGGTAATGAAGCTGAAGACCAGATTACCACGAGAAGTGGGATGCCGAGTCGGTCGTCGCATTATCCATTCTTGAAGAGGGTACGGAGGGCGTTGTTGAATGCGATTGATTTGCCATTGGCTGCGATTACTTCTGATTCGTCGATGTTGGTCTTAAATGACGCGGCATGTATGGTCCTCGGAAATCCTCGGGGTTCGACGATCACTAGGGAAGACTTTGATGAAGGCTTCGAGTGGCTTCAACAATGGAGATTATGGACGGAAGATTGGAGGCAACTACTACCAGCACCTCAGTATCCAGTCGTCCGCGCACAACGTGGTGAGAGCTTCGATGATGTGCTGCACGGATACGAACACATTCAAACCGGCGAACGACTCTTCTTACTCTTCAGCGGACGACCCATGTACGACGGCGACAAACCTCTCGGCGGATTTGTCTGGTTCAACGACGTCACGGCACGCATGGAAGCAGAGAAAAGTACGAACGACATTGCGGCAATCAAAGGTGGTGAAGAAAAGTTCAGAGAGATTCTCGACTTGCTGCCATGGGTTATCTGGACCGCAGACGCGAACGGACGCGTGGATCATTTCAATATGAGGTGGTATCATACGACTGGGCATTCAGCCGATAAGCTGGATGCGTGGTCGGATTATGTGCATGAAGATGATCGAGAGGCGCTCATTGAGACGTGGAAGCATGCTGTGGCTACCGGGACGCAGTATTTGTTTGAAGGACGGTTACATCAGAATGGATCTGAGGCACGGTATCATATGATGCAGGCTCAGCCATTGCGGAATATCGAGGGCGAGGTCGTGCGGTGGTTTGGTTCGTGTACGGATATTCATGATCGTTATACCGCTGTCAAGAATGCCGAAGCGGCACAGGCTGCAGCGATTGCCGCGAAAGAAGCGAGTAGATTGAAGAGTGAGTTCTTGGCTGTTATGAGTCACGAGATCAGAACTCCCATTGCGGGAGTTATCGGTATGAGTGATTTGTTGCTCGATACTGAGTTGGATGAGGAACAGAAGGATTACGGATTGAATATTCGGAGGAGTGCGGATGCGTTGTTGACTGTCATCAACGATATTCTGGACTTCAGCAAGATCGAGGTCAACCGTCTCGAGATGGATAACGCACCGTTCGATATGTGCGTCTGTCTTACCGATGTTGTTCGTATGCTCAATTTCTCTCTGGAAGTCAAGAACTTACGGTTTGTCTGTAAATCAGAAATTGAAGGGCGAGATTTGGTCGTTATGGGTGATTCGGGACGTGTACGACAGGTTGTCACGAATCTGATGAGTAATGCGGTCAAATTCACGCCGGCTGGTGGTACGATCACATTGGGCGTTGAGATTGTGAAGGAGGAGGAGAAGAACATCAGGTTGCGGATTGCGGTACAGGATACTGGTATTGGAATTTCAGAGGCGACACAGAAGATGCTCTTTATGCCCTTTACGCAGGCTGATAGCTCGACTGCGAGGAATTACGGCGGTACTGGATTGGGGTTGAGTATTTGCCGGAGTCTGGTGGAGTTGATGGGTGGGTTTATCACCTTGTCATCTAAGCTTGGTGAAGGCTCGGAAATCTGGTTCGAGGTCCCGTTCACGAAGGCGACGAAGGAGGATTTGGCAAAGGCAAGCCCAGACTTGGGCAGCCGGAGTCGATTCCCGAACAGCAACTTTACCCCAGCCACGCCATCGACTGGCAAGAGACAGCGGTCGGGTGACAAGACGCCTGAGGAGCTCCACTCTGAGGCTGAGGCACGAGCGCAGGTGACGATCCTTGTCGCGGAGGATAACGCGCTCAACCTTCAAATCGCCATGAAAACCCTTCGAAAAATGGGCTTCGACGCCGAAAGTGTCAACAATGGACTCGAAGCCGTCGAAGCGGTTAAAAGGCGTGCAGAATCCGGGAAACCTGGATATGGCTGCGTTCTCATGGATTGTCAGATGCCGACGATGGACGGTTATGAAGCCACTGCAATCATCCGCAGAAACACGAATCCGGAGGTTAGAGACGTTCCGGTAATTGCGATGACGGCCTCAGCCATAAGAGGTGAGAGGGAGAAGTGCCTTGAAGCTGGGATGGACGATTATTTGTCGAAGCCGGTTCGGCTGAAGAGTTTGGAAACGACGTTGTTGAAGTGGATGCATAAGGATCAGAAAGGAAACGAGAACGCGATGGATATATCGCGATAAACTCAATGGAAATGTGCAATATCAGTGGAAGAGAGGAGTTTCTGGCAGCATATGTGTGGTTATGGGCAAACAAAACACGGGATAACACGGCTATACATATACCAGCAACGGTGATGGGTTTTTGGACTTTTATGAGTTACGTGGACTTGCATATGGAGTAAGACGGGTGGTTTCTTTGCATAACAATGAGATGATATTGGATCCATCCAAAAAGTTGCAAGCGAGATTGCTTCACCGCCCGTAATTGAAGATAACGTAGGTAATTATAACATAAACTCCGAAAATACCGCCACCCTCAGACAGACATTATCAAATAAGATACCAGTCATTTCACACAGTCACCTCGTCCAAAAGAGAAAAAAACCCTCAAACTCGTTCACGCCCAACTCCGCGCTGCACCTCCCTCACTTGCTTCCAGAACCACGCCTAAAGAACCCACCCAAGATACCGCCGCCCTTCCCACTATCACTCGTCTCACTTCCCGCAACGCTAGCCCTCCTGTCCGGCATCGCCTTAGTGATGTTCTTCACGTAGCCATTCTTATCGACAGTGACCAGTACCCTGTTCACCTATAATCAGCACATTTTCACGGACGATGGTTATCTTCCAGAAGCAGAAGCGTGGGAATGGAAGGGCACATACGAGACAGGAGGCTCAGGCGGGTTGTTGATAGCCTTCTGAGCATCGATTGCAGACTTTGGGTTTTCGTGTTTAGCAGCTTGGTTGTCTTTAAAGGAGCCGAATGCCATTGACATTGGGAATGAGATTTTTGGTTCTTCGACGCGGTGCTTTGGGAGCTTGTTCTTCACTTCCTTTCACCACCCTCTATCAGCCTCTGACACACCTGGTTTTTTAGTTCTCAAAGTTTAGACATACCGTATAGGCTTTGTCGACATACATTTCCTTGAGACGCGAGACTTCCTGCTCAGAAACACCGCCGGAGATGGTTTGCTGCAATGGAGCGAACTGATCGTGGGATTCGTCTTCGTCGGCGGTAGCTCGGGTGGGGGAGGAGGGTCCCTCGGACTTGGAGGAGCCCCCGGGCTTGAGGGAGAAACGGCGGCGGGCTGGCGATTTTTGCTCAGCTGGAGGGGAAGACATCGTTACTATTACAATTGAAACCACTTGCAATTGATTTGATGCGAGCGTGGTAGGGAGAAGCACTGGACAAGGAGGGGGAACGAGGTCTTTATAAGGTAGCGGGCCGGTGAGTTACGAATCAGCTGCCTCACTCGTCATCGACCGGCCGGCCTCAAAAGCGGACAACATGCTATGAACGCCCGCTGATCCCCTCATGCACGCAGTTGGGTGCTGTGACTGTATAGGCCACATGATAAGGGGAGACTCGCTTGACGAATTCAAAACTTGATTGGAGCCCGCATAATGAGACAGGCAGCAGCAGCAGGCAATACTTGGACAGTTTCCGAGTCACAGGTACGTTTCCGAGATTGTGTTTGGTTGCAATTGTGCAGCGGAGGATCGGACCGCGCGCCGTAGCAAAACTCTAAAATGCCCGTCGAGAGCGAAGTTTCAGGATGAGAATGTCCATGCGAAGGGATGAATCAATGAGATCAAATAGTATTTCTGACGAAAAAGTGAAGCAAAATCAAGGGTATCTGACCGCTAGCTACAAACCGTAGCACCAAAAAACTCGCTCGCTCCGCTAATAACCCAAAGCCTGAATAAACCAACCCACACGACGTTGTCCTCTAACAAGCGTTCGTAAACACTCACAAATACATCCTCACACTCATACATTCGTCGGTATCACCAATCCCAAACCCCTGATCCCGGTACTCCGCTTCTGAACACCCTCCTCGTGCTCCTCCTCCTCCTCCTCCTCAATACTCTCATGCACACTATTCCTCGTACTCCCACTCTCCCCCTCAACCTCCAACCCCAAACTATCCCTCGCTCTAACAACCCTCGGCGGTGTCCCGCTACTCCCACTCGCCCCATACGGCGCCTTCCCAAATATCCTCTCCAGTTTCTTCGCCCTTCGCTCTTCATCTCCCATACTCGGTCCATCACGGGATGAATCAAGGAGACGGCCGGCGTCGGTGAAGTTCATCCCGGACAGGCGGGGGGCTTCGTTAGCGGAGGAATTGGAGTTGTTGATAGAGGAGTCTTGGGTTGAGGTTGAGGAGCGGGGGATGAGGGCTTCGCGGGATTCAGCTTTATAGTGCACGCCGATCAACCTTACACTTCCTGCTCCTCGGGCAACGTGTCGTCCTCCACTGACACCGGGGTGCGGTGATAGAGTCACACGCCCAGGATACCCCATCACGGGCGGCATACTCGAACTACGAACCCGTACCCCCGCACCCCCATCACCCACCCCAAAGAAATCATTCATCTTCTTCGCCCTCCTCATCCTCCCCAATCGCTCCGCCCTCTCCTCCGCCAACTCATCCTCATCCGCCTCATCATCGGTGATTCCCTCTTCACTGTCTTCAGAGTGTGAGTCGAGAGGCACACGGTATGAAGGCGATCCACTCCGTCCACGGGACCGCATAGCGGGTTCGACGAGTGCGCGGTGGATGAGGTCCTCACTGAGTGTCTCCCCGAATACCGCGCGGAGTTTCGATTGTGAGCGACGGAGACGGGAGCGTTCGCGTGACGAGAGGCGTTTTCCCATGGGGTTGCTCTCCGCCAGAGTTTCACCGAGCAGTGCTTGCAGTTTGGGGAGTTGACGACGGGGGAGGTAGATCTTCGTCGCACGACGCTGATGGTGTCCATGTGTAACACCAGGTCTATCAACCTCCTCAGCCGAGCTCCGCGTAGACTCCGACTCACTACTCGCGATCTCAACTGCAATCCTAATATCCTGCATCCGCTCCTCATACTCCAACAACGAATCCGCCTCCTCTTTATCCAACGGTAACCCAAGCACCGACAACAACCTCACCCTCGTCTCCCTCTCCGTCCCCGTTCGTGTCCGTCCCCGTGCGTAGAGCTCGATGAGTTCTTCGGCGAGGGAGGAGTCATAGTAGGTGTGGAGTTTTGTGCGGATGATTGCGGTGCGGATGGTGGCGTCAAGGTAGTCTTCGCGGCTCAGAATGTCGCCCACGAGGACAGGTTCTGAGGACGAAGGGGTGATGGAGGAGGTGGTGGTGGATTCGAGTTCGGAGGGGGAGAGTTGGAAGATTGCCCAGACGACGGGGCCTTCGCGTATTGAGTGCACGAAGGAGTTGATATCGGTTGAAGATGAGAATGAGCCGAGGTCCGTTCGGGATCTTCGGATGTTGACTTTGACAGGTGCGTATTCATCGAAGTAGACCTTTTCCAGCTCGTCTGCGGGTACGTTTTGTGCGTGTTCGAGCAGTAACAGCAATTCGGGGAGTAGGTGATTTCGCGCGAGGTGTTTCGCGATTGTCGGTGATAAAAGCGACACCTTCTCCGTTTCTTCTTTCGCAATATAGATCCCAATCTTATCCCCATCCGACAAACACGCTCCCAACGCCTCATTCCACCTTAGCCGTACCCTCTCATCCCTATCATGCCCAAACAAAGCACCCAATCTTGGGATATCCTTCACATCCTGCGATAACGAGGGGGAGCTGTTTGGGCGGGAGTTGGTGGGTGTGACGAAGGGTGATTCATTCGTGACGGGGATCAGGGATTTTTCGATGAGGGATGCGAGATCGGAGACGGTGGTTGTGGTGGAGAGGTCGATGGTGACTTCCAAAGGGAGGACGTTACCGGGCGCTGGAGAGGATGAGGGAAGGAGGTATGGATGGAGTCGCATCTTGAATCTTGAGGTTGAGCAAAAGGTAATTGCAATTGATCGTGACAGCTGTCAAATCGAACCCCTTTTGTCGATCAATGGCGGGTTCGTCGCGGAGCCGATCGAGAGTGTTGATGTTGGTGCAGCTGAAACGAAGAAAGCAAGCAGGCAGCCGCGAGAGTCGGAGAAAGGAACGAAGGTGGTACGAGCTGGTATATATACGTCGACGTAGCAAATCGCAGATAGGATAGATCAGATGGTATCAGTTCAGAGTCCCCTCTCGGGTGGTGTCGTCGCTCTCGCTCCGAGTTTGGCTTTGGCTTTGGCTTTGGGCTTACGGTGCAGCGCTCGCTGGCTGTAACGTTATGCGCCTAAGAGAAGGAAGCTCAAGTGCTGGTTTCACCGCGAAGCAGAAGATAGCTAAGCTGATCACCTGAGGAAAAAGAGGACTAGGACAAAGAAAGGAACTACCAACCACCAAATCCGCGCTGGGTGACGCACGGATCGCAGCTTTAGAGCGTGGATCAGAGGTGGAGCGGGCGGCTAGGGAAGTTTGAGCAGCGTTGTTCGGGGTTTACGGACTACAGTCTCCCCGTTGGACAGCATCCCGGTTGAGACTACGCAGCTACACGTGCTGCCCCACGCCGTTCGGTGCATGTGTAGCGGTCCATGATACCAGCGTCACTTCAAGGGCTTGATAGGAGAATTATCCAACGTGGTGTCTTGTCAATTGGAGCCATGGGCATGGATTTTCTCCGTAGTTTACCCGTATGGACCCGTACAATTCTCCTAACCGCAGCTGCAGCGCATCCCCACTCTGATATCCTCGAGCCTCGAGTCTCCTTCCCCTCGCCAATGGCAGCGTTCACGGACCCGAATTGAACGAGAGATCTCATGCGCATCATCCTCCGCAAACACATCTTTCATCTCCGAGCAGCGGCTGTCAAGACCAACCCTTCTGCGGCGTCGCGCCACAACGTCGAAAAACCGTACATGCGCCCCCCGTACATTCCATCTCGGGGTGAATCTCCTCCAAATCAGCTGTGTAAGATGAATCCTTCGAACAGCTGACGGACGGCCTCTGTAGAAAAGGCTTTTGGGCGTTTCCTGCGGACCAATGGAATGGAAGGCTTTGCTTTGCATTACGAGTAAGTCGCGTAGAAGCCTGATCGCAGCTTCCCCGAGGTTTTGTGGCTGGCAGGCGTCCAGTGTGGGTGCTGTCAGAAAAGCTTGGTTCGTTGATCCCGGGGACGTCCAGGGAACTTCCAGGGAACTTCCGGGGACGTGCGATCTGTTGGCGCTCTGGTTGATTCCCACGGTGGATGCGGGTCACGTGTACACCAGCCAGCCTAGCTGCACCTCCCACACCGTACACCTTCCTCCCAAGGACGATGCCAACACCAACAGGCCCCGAAACACTCGCTTCCCTCCTCCAAACAACCCTCCGCACCCAACAACACCCCGACTCCCTCGCCAACGCTCTAACAGCCTACACCCTCGCCGGATCAGCGACCGAAGCCGCCACTGTTGCTCCCCTGTTATTGAGATGCTTGTATATTTTGGATGGAGAGTGGACACAGCATTTGTGTGATGCGATTGAGGCGTCGTTGAAGAGGGTTGGTGGGGTCAGGGTTGCGGGGTTGGGCTACGATATTCTTAAAGCGGGGTTGGAGGAGGAGAATCCAGTGCCGGTACGCATTCTATGTCTGCGTGTGCTCAGGGAGGAAAAGGGTGGGGAGTGGAGTGAGGATAGGGGTGTGGTGAGCGGGTTAGTCGGGAGTCTGGGGGCGAGGGAGGAGGGTGTGGGTGGGTTCGCTGTCGAGGTTCTTACACAGAAACTCAAAGAGGTGGAAGGGTTGGGTGAGGTGTTGGTGGCGAGGGATGTATTGGATCAATTACTCGAGTTGCCGAGGGGGAGGGGGTTGACGAGTGCGCAGGCGAGTACGGTACAAGCGCGGATTCTGGCGGTGTTGACTGCGTTACCGCCGACGACGCTCTATTGCACACCAGAGTTGAGGGCGTTGTTGGATCCAGCGGTGGTGGAGGAGGATCCGTTGTTTGCGCTCGTTCTCATCGATACGTACGCTTCCCTTCTTCTCACTTCGCCAGCCGAAACCTTCACCTTTCTAAAGGAAAACGGAGCAACGGACAAAATGATCGCCCTGGTGAAGGACGACGACCCACTACTCAGTCCATACATCTACAAATCAATCTTACCGGCACTACCAGAGGTCCCGGACGAAATGATATCGTCCGTCGCGAGGGCTTTAGACGACAAAGCACTACGCAATGGAGCCTTGGTCGCAGTCGGCCTCACCCCCGCCCTAGCAAAAAACAAAGACGTACTCGAAGCATCTTTCGTCACCGGATTCACCAAGCGAGCCGATATCCCCGCCCTAGAATCTCTCGCCGCAATCCTCACCCGCGAGCCTTCGGCCTCCGCGCAATCCATCTGGAACTCTCTCCCAGATGCCCGAAAACTGCTCGGAGGCCTCATTGATGCCACGACGGATTTCGCACTCGTCGAGCCCGCTGCTGCGATTGCGGCGTATAGTGTCTTGAAGGGGTTGGTGAGGCATAGGTTTGGGGTTGAGATTGTTGTGGGGAGTGCGGCTGCAATGGAGAGGTTGTTGGGGGTTGGGGAGAGAAGTTGGGGGAAGGAGGTTATGTGGGCGAGGTTTGAGTTGGTTCAGGGTATGGCTAAGTGGAAAGAGGAGGAGGGAGGTTCGGGGTCGGTGTTGGGGCCTTGGGAGGAAAGTGTGAGGGTGAGGATTGGGAAGGGACCGTTTTGGGTTGAGAATAATCTGGAGATTGATGTTATGTAGGAGAAATCTTAAAAGATAAGTGAAGGGGTTTGGATGTACCGAGGTATTTTGCGGAATTCACGTGAGGGGGGGGGGAGCATGACGTTCCACGCATACGCGGCCGCGGAACGTCGAGTCTCGAGCACGACGAACGTAAAGGGAGCAAGAAGCTTGAAGACCAATTCCTCAAAATGGATCACATGCCAGAAACCTGGGGCCGTCCCCGTAACGACGTCTACCCCTCCTTCTCCGAACTCTCCCTCTTCCCTCAGCACACAAACCCAACCCACCACTCACACGCCGCCCCCTCCGGCCCCACGACTCATACCCAACAACCAATCGTCACCGGAACCTCCGTGATTGGGTTGAAATTCAAGGATGGCGTCATGATCGCCACGGACAAGTTGGCGAGTTACGGTAGTTTGGCACGGTTTAAGGATGTGGAGAGGGTGTTGAAGGTTGGGGAGTATACCGCTGTTGGCGCTGGTGGGGATGTCAGTGATTATCAGCATATTCAGACTGTGCTGGATAACTTGCTGTATGCGAATCTTCCTCACGTATGAGTGTGCTGCATGCTGACAAAAGATTTCCCATAGTATCCACGAAGAGGAACAAGAAGATGGTCACCACCTCACCCCCACACACATCCACACCTACCTCTCACGTCTCATGTACGCCCGCCGCACAAAGATGAACCCATTGTGGAACGCGCTCTTGGTGGGCGGGTACAACACCTCCACAACCGCAATCTCCCACTCCCCAACCCTCCTCCGCAACCTTTCCTCCCCCGACACCCACGACCCCCGCTTCCTCGCTTACGTCGACCTCCTCGGCACCACCTACTCCGCTCCCTCCCTCGCGACCGGTTTTGGCGCACATTTAGCGATCCCACTCCTCCGTAACGCGGTCGACGGAAAAGAAGATACCTTGACGGAGGAAGAAGCGAGGAAGGTTGTGGCGGAGTGTATGAAGGTGTTGTATTATCGTGATGCGAGGAGTATTGATGTTTATGATTTGGCGGTGTGTACGGAGAGTGGGGTTAAGGTTGAGAAGGAGATTAGGGTGGAGAGTGAGTGGAAGGTGTTGGCGGGGGAGGTTAAGGGGTATGGGGCGAAGCCTACTGTGTAGGTGATAGATGTGCTGGGTGGAAGGGAGACGATACGAGTGATTGCACGCATATACCAAATCGATTACGCTTTTCATCTGACCGACTCAGCGCGTTGGATCATGTAAAGGCCTGCGAATTCACACCGCAACAAGACGAACCGACCTGGCAGAACTAGACGTCCTTAGATGCCATAATAACGAGAATCCTTTCGTGATCTCATGCACCCTGTCTCGAGAGCTTCTCGTTATTCACGTGAGCCGCAAGTCCACGCACAACCACGCAACCGGCTGCAGGTGCCCGGCCTCCAAAGTCTCCAAAATCCCGACATTCGGCAACCTCATCGATCTCCTACTGATCTCCACACCTCGAAGACAATGGAGGATGATGCGCCAATTACGGCGGTCGCGTCGTGGGAGTGGATCACTGATGAACGCGTTGCGCAATGGGATGTCACTGGCAGGGATGAGGTGTAAGTTGAGACCTGCGGTAATTTCGTGGCATTGGGACTGATATTGAGAGATGTAGGATCACAGGTGGAGCTGAAATGGAAGCGGGCTCGTTACGGCTTACGGGCGCCGTGAGAGAGATCATCGAATCCGGCGTCATTCACACTCGACTATCGGCACAAGCAGCAGCAACGACTCTCTCCGCCCTCGGCTCCTCAAAAGTCAGGGAGTTAATACTGGATATTGCATGGCTCCTCGACACAGACGAACTACCAGACTCCAACATTGAGGCACGAGAAAGGTTGCTGTCGCTACTTCGAGCATGCGCAGAAACCGGGATATGGGCATCGACGCCGACGCTGCCACATGAATATCTCAGCGTCCCACTCTTGTCGAAACTCGGATGGCTGAACACTCCAGCCCCCATCTTTGAGAAGAAGGTCGTAAGGGCGAACACGTCCGCACTCTACAAACAACAAAAATACAACCTCCTACGTGAAGAGAACGAGGGCTTCTCCAAGCTTTTGACCATCCTCCTGGACTCCTCCAAAGATAAACGCGATGCAGGAAGCGGAAGTGCAAAGGAGAAAATGAATGAGGTTAAGGCGGTGATCGGATACTTCAACCTCGACCCAAATAGGGTATTGGACGTCATTGTAGATGTGGGTGTCGAGGCCTGCGCGGATCGATATCAGTATTTCCTTGATTTGCTACGGGAGTCGCCGTGGTGGCCCTCCTCCTCTCGCAGAGATTCTCCACTGCTGTGGGAGGAGAAGAGCGCAGAGGAGAAGAAGGCGTTCTTGGCGGAACTGGCTGCTGATCCAGGAGTGTTGGCGAGGGATGCACTGCATTCACACGACGGAAACTCACTCGCAGCCCAACTCCTCGGCTTCAAATTCCGCTACTACCAACCCTCCACCATCTCCCCTCAGCCAGAACCAACACCCGAATCCCTCTACATGTTCACCGCGCTTCTAATCAAGGAAGGGTTTGTGTCGTTGACAGCGTTGTGGCCGTATTTGAGTACGACGGATGAGGAACTACAGAAGGAGGAGGGGAAGTGGAAGGCGGAGATGGGGGATAAGGCACTGGCTGCTAAGGGGAATGCGTTGGCGATGGCTGGTGGACTAGGCGAGGAGCCTGCCGGAGGCTCAGCTCCAACACGTACGACTAAAGATGGGGATGATGTGGAGATGGAGGATGAGCAGGTTGGGAGTGCGGAGGAGGTGGTACCGATGGCCGAGCCTCCGCAACAGAAAATTGCGTTGTTGAAGGCGTTGTTGGCTGTCGGTGCGTTAAGCCAAGCAATGTACGTGTTGGGCCGGTTCCCATTCTTGACTGCGACACATCCCGAGATTGCGGATGGTGTGATGAGGTTGGTGGATTGGATGATTGAACCCTTATATTCTCCCCTTTCCGTCAAATCTCAACTTGGGTTCGACGTAACGGCTGGAGAAGCCGACGAAAGGGAGGTGAAGAGGGTGTTTGAATCAACGCCGGGACGAGGGACGCCGAGGCAGAAGCTAGTGTTCTTTTATGAAGAGTGGAGGCGGGGGGTGTTTCAAATTGAGACGGGTGAGGAGTTCCTCAGCGTTGTTATCCCACTCCTCCGAGTCGTCGGCATCAGAATCTACCGTGATGTTAAGCTCATCGTCAAGATTTGCCGAATTGGATGCCATATGTTGGCTGAGTCAAGTAAGCCGACTGAGGTGGTGAGGAAGAAGTGGCTGGATATCGCGCGGCAGTTCTTGATTCCGTCAGTGAGTTTGATGGAACTGAATCCGGGGGCTGTGGATGCGATTTGGGATGTAATTAAAGTATACAGATACGAGGAGAGGTTCGCGTTGTATGGGGAGTGGCAGACCTTGATGTACAAGCGGCACCCCGAGTTAAAGCTGCAGCTGGTTCTGTCGGAGAAGGAGACGAAGGGGATTATGCGCCGTATCGGTAAGGGACGCGAGAAGCTTTTCGGAAGGGTACTCGCGAAGGCGGCGCAGTCCAATCCGTGTGTTGTGTTCTCGGTTGCTCTGACCCAGGTCGAGGCGTATTCGAATATCGGTGAAGTTGTTGTCGAGTGTGCACGCTACATCACCCTCTTCGGATTCGACGTCCTCACCTACGTCATGCTCACAAATCTCTCAAACGACAAACGCTCTCGTCTCAAGAACGACGGTACATCTCTCGGAGCATGGCTCCAATCCCTCTCAGCATTCTGTGCGAGTATGTTTAAGAAGTATCCGTATATGGACACTACCCCGCTCCTGACGTATGTCGCGATGCAGTTGAAGCAGCAGCAAGGGTTTGATTTGGTCATTATCAGTGAGTTGGTTAGTCAGATGGGCGGAATTGAGAGGATTTTGGATTTTAACAGGGAGCAGTTGGAGAGTTTGTCTGGTGGAGCAATTTTACGACAAGACGCATCAGGTTTAACGAACGAGAAGAAGAAGGCCACGTTCAGGGATGCGTCACGCTTGCTTCGGCATCTCGAGAATTCTGGGCTGGTGGGACCGTTGACTGTGTTGATTGCGCAGCAGCGTGCGGTATCGGTGTATTCCATGCGAGAACAGGATTCGATCGTGAAGCTGTTAGCGACGTTGTTTGATGAGAGTCATGCGATCTTTTTGCAATATACGGAATTTTTGATTGCGTATGCGGAGAAGGATCTGAAGAGGTATGCGACGAGTACGCATTCGTTGGAGGAGTATGTGGTGAAATTGGGGTTGGAGCCTGTTGTTGCGTTTCATGTTTGTCGGCCGTTGATTCGGGCTGCGATCAGGCACTATGATTCGGATGAGGAGACGATGAAGAAGCAGGGCGCCAAGATGGAAGGCGATAATGATGTCGAGATGTCTGATGCACCTGCCGATGGCGGGAAGAAATCAGTTGAGGAAACTGCTGCCGCTGCCGAGCAGCAAGTTTGGCATCCGGCATTGACGACGATTCACAAGACAGTGAAGGAGTTCCTTCCGGTTGAGACGTGGGAGTACATGACGGAACAGTTCTATGCCACGTTCTGGCAACTTGAGCTTTACGACATCCATGTTCCCGTGGCTCGATACCAGGACCGCAAGTTCAAGCTTGCGAATCGCATTCGGGAGATTGATTCGGATCGCTCAGATATGTCCGCGGCGGCTGTTCGTGCTCGCAAGCAGCGCAAGCAGGTTCTCATGGATGAGGATTCTCAGTTATCAGCTGAAGTCACTGCTCAGCTTACAGCTTACGAACGTACGATGAACCGCCTGAAGAAGGAAAAGGATCATTGGTTTGCGCAAAAAATCCACCAGAAGGTCCGGAAGGGTATCATCACCAACTTTTTGCAGCACTGTATTCATCCACGTGTGAAATTCAGTGCGGCAGATGCAGTGTTCAGTGCAAGGATGATCAGGCAGATGCATACCATCGGTACGCCGAACTTCTCGACTCTTACGATGTACGATACGATCTTCAGTGATGAGTTGGCGCCGACCATTTTCATCTGTACACCAACAGAGGCAGAGAACTATGGTCGTTTCTTGGCCGAGATCTTAAAGGATCTTACGGCTTGGCACCGTGACGCAGCGTTGTATAACCGCGAAGGGCGCGGCAGGAACCTTCCCGGCTTCCAGAAGAGGTGGCAGCCTAAGCCCATCGAAGAGGACTTCATCGACTGGGAGGACTTCCGAAAATGTCTGTACAAGTGGCACCAGGCCATTCAGAGAGCGGTCAAGATCTGTCTCGATTCCAAGGATCACATGCACATCAGTAACTGTCTTATGATCTTGGAGAAGATTCAAGACTTCTTCCCGACTGTCACCTGGATGGGTAAGGCACTCAAAGAGAGGATCAAGGGCTTGATGGACAAAGAAACCCGTAGCGACCTCCAGATTCGTTCGATGGCTTACAATGGTATTCTTACGAAGCTTGAGCCGAAGCTAATGACGCTCGACAATTTCGTGCAGAGGAACAACCAGGCTGCATCTCAGACTCCGGCCCAAACCCCGGCTAACGGAGAGAAGAAGGACACCGAACAGAAGACTGGCACGCCCTTAAACCCGTCTGCGCCTTCGTTTCAGCCTGGCAGCGCACCGACCGGCCCAGCCAGCACTGCTTCAAAGCCCCGAGCGCCGTTGGCACCACAATCTGCTGCCGCTGAATCTGCACTGGCACCTCCTCGCCAGGACACAAGGCCGCCCCGGCGCGATCCTGATCGTCGGCCGGATAACAGAGCCCAAGTACCACCAGCAGGGCCTGAGCTCGGAACTGTTCAACGACAGGAGAGGGCAGGAAATGTTCCTGACAACAGGTCGCAGGTGCGGGAGTCAAGAGGGGACCGCGACCCGAGGCAGGAGAGGGAGCGAGAGCGTGCCGCTGATCGCCGCATACCACGAGTGCGCGACATTGCTTCAGGCACTTCAACGCCCCGTTCAAGCCAGCAAGAGGCTCGCGATGACGCAAGCCGCCCCTCAAGTCGCACGGGGACCCGCAGTGAGCGTGGTCAGCATACAACTGCTTCGGGACCATCCGAAAACCGTCGTCCTAACGATGCCCGACATGCCAGACCTGCGGAAGACGAGCCTCTCAGAAGAGATGGCTCAGATCGCTCGAAGCGAGAGGATACCGGAGTCCGAACTGCGGATGCCCGTCCTCGCCGTGATGAACAAACGCGTCGTCATCCAGCGGAAGCTTTACGCGATGCCGCAGGTGAAGGGAGGAACTCACCGCGCAACGCAAATGCCCAACAACGGCCTGATGCCCCCATCAACCGAGGAGGCCAGCGCGGTGGTCAAAATGACGGTCGTCTTGAGCGCATGCCTGCATCTGGTCCACCTGCTCGCAATCGACCTGAGCTAACATCCGCACCTGGTGCCCCGCCGGCTGCTGATCCACCGGTGCATCCTAGTCGTGCTGTAGCTCTGGATCTGCCAGCCGCGGGTCCGAACCAAGCTGCCGCGGCGCCTTCCGGTCCTCAACCTGGTGTTGTTGGTGGTCGACGCGCACCACTACCACCTCAGACCTTCCCAGCCAATCAAAACCAGAACCAGCGCAATCCTGGCCCACGTGGAGGCAATGCTTCGCCGTCTCAGGAAGGACCGATCTTCCCCAACCGCGGTGGTCCTCGAGGAAATCAGGGTCAGAGTGGTGCGATGCCTGCGCCGGAACTGGTTGTTCACCCCAGTCGTCGTCAAAGTCTTGGTGAGCGCAGCGGATTCCAGGGTGGGATGCAGCAGATGCAGCCCTCGCCTACGGGAGGACATGCCGTGCACCCGGACAGGCTACAGGGACCAAGCCCTAACGGTCCTATGCAATCACCTGGAGGTAATCCACCCTTCAACGCTGAGCGCAGAGGAGGCCACATGATAGGTACTGGGCCCGGCGTGCAACAGCAAGGCCGTGGTGGTCCTATGAACGGTGGTGGACCAATGGGACCCGGTGGTAATCAGGGTCTTAACCAGAGACCATCACGGGAAGACCTCAGGCATGGACGGTTGAATCAGCCGATGCACGAAGCTCCTGCTCAAGGATTCCCCCGTGGAGGAGGCGGACCCGGCGGTAGGATGAACCAAGGGATGAACATGAACTCAGGTCCACCGCCTCCGCCGCCCGGTGGTCCAGATGAGCCTGGACATGGTAGAGGACGCGGTGGTCATGGTGGAAGGGGAGGCGGTATGGGTGGACGGAGGGACGACATGAGACGAAACGATGGTCCTGGAGCTGGTGCTGGTGCTGGTCCTGGAGGTATGAGCGGTGGTCCTGGTGGTCCCCCCGGCGATGGTGGACGCCGTGGAGGCCGCGGTGGTGGTGATGATAGGCGTGACGGACCTGGACCCGGACCTGGACCCGGACCCGGACACGAACGGGGTGAGAAGCGTGACAGAGAAGGCGGTAACAACGATAGCCGGAATTTGCGCGGGAATGGAAATGGAAGCAGTGGACCTGGTCCTCAAGCACCGAGCACTGATAGTCAAGGTTCCAACGGTGGCGGACGGGATTCGAAGAGGCGGCGGACGCGGAATTAGGGAAGGGTGGGGAAAATACGTTGACACCAGAGGTGATTAAGCATAATATAGCATTAGGTATTCGCCAAAGAGACGATTTCGTATATCGTCTAATTCTCGTGCTTTGCGGGTATCTCAAGCAAACATAACGCCGACGCCTATGCCCTTGTAGCCCTGTCCATATATAACCCCCGACAGGTTCGTTGTCCCTTCCATAAGCACATCCCCCGGGTTACTGCCCCCTCCACTCCTCCCAAACGCCAACCTCACCCTCTGGCTCCGTGTAGCCCCACAACCTCTCACCGACAGAGACCTTCCCGCCAACCTTCACTTCACCGTTTCCGATTTTCTCTAGTAACATCATCTTCCTCACCTCTCTTCTCCTTCCCCCCACACTCCCAGTCTCGGCCACAACACTCAACATACCCCGTCCCTCCTCCATCGCCACCACAGTAACTTCCTCGTCTTGCGTAGCCGTCTTGAGATGTGCAGGAATCGGCGCGCTTGCATCCGCGAGTATCCGCGCTACGGCGTTCGCTATCCCACCCTCCACAAATCGGGCGTTTTTCCTCCGGGTGGGAGACCAATCTGCTGGTAAGTTTGGAGCAGCTGTGGAGGTGGAAGGGGAGTTGGTGGTGGGAAGGAAACGGGTGAAGTGTCGGGTTGCTGGGAGCATCTTTCCATCCTCTTGGGGAGCGGCGTGGTGGAGGGGGGTAAAGGATGAGGTGGCTGAGTGAAGTCGGAAACGGGAGGTGGGGAGGGTGGAGGGTGTCGATGGCCGTGTGAGGTCGGAGGAGGTATGCGGTGCGTGTAACGACGTCGTCACCGGAACCGAATCAAGTCCTTGCGCAGCATTCAAGATAGGTGGTAAGTCCTCCTCGACGTCTTCGATGTCCCACCCACCCTCCTCTTTCACCCTCCGTGGTGCCAAATCGTCGAGTTCCCCATGGTCGTCAATTTCGATTTCTTCGTCGAGTTCTTGGCCCCTCCGCGCACGCTTTCGGGGCGTCTCGGTTCCGAACTCCAACTCGGGCAGATATCGGTCCTCGATTACTTCTTTTTTGGGGGAGTCATCCTCTTTCTTGACTCTATCCAGAAACCGCGACCCGCCGCCACTCTCGCTGCCGTCTGTAGCGGCAACGGATGGTGGGAAGATAAATCGCGGCAGGGACCGGCGTGACGGCGTTTCCTGACTCGGAGCAGGACTCGATGAAGGTGGTACAGGTATCACAAATGACGGTCTTGCTCTCGTCGCTGGTGCTGGAGTGGCCATCTGCCCCCGCTGTTGTGACGGCGTCTGACTTGGACTCGCAGCCGCATCTTTCTTGTCTTGGGATTTCGGGACGATGAAACGGAATGGACTCGGCACTGGCATCCTCTATCGTCCTTTTGCCTTCACGTCGGTGTACAGTTTACGTTATCGCTAATATATATGAATATATATATATATAAGGTTGGCCGCATGCATCAACCCACATCATCGATCTCCCCGCGCACGGACGCCCGGATCCTCGAACAAACCTCACCACCAACCCGAAAAATGAACAAAACGCAAGCAATCCACGGCCTACTAGAGTATCTGGAGGGCAAGGAGTACTTCTTCTTGACCCCGACGCCGGAGACGCACGCATTGGTGGATCAGAAGTTACGGAAGAACGATGACGTCACAGCAAAGTGCTTGACGGATGTCTTTGGATGGTCGATGGAGTTCGAAATGTGTCCTCTCTCATGTTCTCTTCGTCGTGTGTGGCTGCTAACAGTTGCAATTAACCATAGGCCACTCGAAGATTTTCCTGAATCGTTGCTACTCAAACTCCGTGACGAGAACCTAATCCAAAAGAAAGCCGAGAACCGATACTGGTCAACCATCCGGGTCTCAACCCTCTACCCTCCCGGTCCCTACCTTCCCTCCTCCTCCGCCCTACCAAGGAATTTGTACACTCACTCAGCCTTCCCAACCCACGACCAATCAGCCGTTTTCTTCGGTCCGGACACATATCGTTTTTTACGGTTCATGACACAAGCCTACAAGCACTTCGGACACCTCCTGCCCAAGGATCCCATCCCACAGGCGGCGGATGTAGGGACTGGAGGCGGCGCAGGCGCAATCCACCTCCGGCACCTCCTCGGCCGATACGCCCGCGTCTACGGCCTTGATTTAAGCCCGAAGGCAATAGAGCTGGCGGGGATCAACGCTCGATACATCTTCCCACTCAACACAACGGGTCCCGCGCCCCCTGATTTCGCCGAGAGCGATATCCTCTCCGGCCTCCCCCGCCCATATCCCCCTTCCCACCCCAACTTCGTCCCAGGCGTCGACCGCGAACACGATCCAGGATTGGATTTACTCGTGTGTAACCCACCGTATATCGCATCCGCTACCCAAACATATGCAGCGGGCGGTACCGCAAAATCCGGGTTGGATTTGCCGTTGAGGATTTTGGCGGAGGCGTTGGGGGAGAAGGGGGTTAGGGTTGGTGGGATGGTGTGGTTTTATACGGGGGTTCCGGTGCCGATTCGGGGTAGGAGGAAGGATATGTTTTATGAGGAGGTTGAAATTATGACAGCAGACGGTGAGGGGGGCAAAGGGTATAAGTGGGAGGTGTTGGAGTATGATGTGATGGATGTCGATATCTTTGGGTGTGAGATGGAGACTCATGAGGGGCCGTATAAGGGGATTGGGAGGATTCAGGCTATCGGGTGTGTGCTGCAGAAGGTTGAGGTATAGGGTTGGGAAGACGGGCTACCCGGGTTATACCTGTTATCATGCCTACATGGCAGTGTATAGAGAGAGAAGATGAAGGACGATGTACATGTGGAATAATACGAAATACTATTACACTCGCACGCTGGTTATCTAAGGTTATCCCCGTCATGCGCCTTGCATCACTAGCCCCACGGCGTATACGTCCACACACCTCCTCTCTCCTCCCCGAATCAAGTCGTTACCATCATGGATACCTCACCTCTAACAGCCGTACGATTCCCCCAATGGCATGGAGCCCGGTGTCGGCTGACATTGAGATCTAGGCCCACGATCTCGTCGCCGCCGCAGATCGGTTAACATTGAAGAACGACTACATCAAAGCCGCCGAAAAACACACCGAAGCAGCAGGTCAATGATTCGTGACCTTGAGCTTCGAGAACCGGCTGACGACATTGACAGATAAGTTCGCGGTCGCGAGCAAGAGTTTCACGGATCCAGAAGCGCTGAGGACGTTGGGGTTGTTGAGTGAGTCACATCGGCGGCTCGCAGCGGATGTTGTGGTACGGAGCAAGGCTCCGAAGGGTCCGCCCCTTGTGCCGAGGGGTTCGCAATCTCAAGGACAAGCACAACCGTCGTCAACAGCATCGGCTCCGTCACCGGCTCCGCCAGCGGGGCCTTCGAATTCGATTGCCAGGACGTTAGCTGCAGCACGAGGAGCACCAGTCTCTCCGCTCCATCCACCCCCCCGTGCCGCCCAACCCGCCATCGATCCTTCAGCCTCGAATCTCACACCCGCAGCCACCTTCGATGGCAGCTTCGTCGACCCCACTGATCTCACCACCCCCACCGAGGCAACAAGTGGACAAGACGCCTTCGAGAGATTCTGGACAGTAGTAGAATCCATGTCCCAAACGCTCGGCAATGGGCCTTTAGCATTCACCACCGCACCCCTCGACGGTATCCCCACCGGCGGCGTCGATGTGAGCGCTGAATCATTCTACGTAGTCCCCGGCACCAACACCCCACGAGTCGAAAAAGGGAAAAGGACGGTGGAAGAGTATGCGGAAGAGAATGTGCAACTCAAACACGTGCTAGATACCTTAGCCAAGAAGTTGGGGGCGTATGAGAGGGGAGCGGGTGAACAACAACAAGTATTGAAGAGCTCTATTCTCGCACTCAAAGCCGCGATGCCCATGCCGTCTGCTTCGACGATGGGCAGCACGGCTTCGCTCGTGTCTCATGTGTCGATATCGCAGCCAGGGAGGCGACATACCACAGACACAGTCGATGGAGGACAGGGGAGGACTGCGAGTGCGAGGGAGGCGGCGTTGGAGGAGGAAGTGAAGAAGTTGAAGGAGGAATTGGAGAGGCAGAGGGTGTTGAGGGAGAAGTATGAGAGGAGGTGGGATCGATTGAAGGAGGGGGCGAGGAAGAAGGTTAAGGAGAGGGGAGGGGAGAAGTGAGGTCAAGATCTGCTCGGTGTAGGGATTGTGGGTAAGGGAGTGCCAGTGGAGTCTTTGGGCGTTTTCTGCTTTTTGGTGGGTTTCTTGGATAGTAGTCGGTGGACCAGGCTCAACTACGGTTCGGCGTGCTCGTCGCTTGATTGGCATATCAAGACAGACCCAGTGGTTATTTGTACCAACCCGCGGTACCATCATTGTCATGATCCGCTTCAACTGCTGCGCCTCTCGTGGGGGTGAGAAGAATACAACCAGTATCCGATCAATTGACGTCAAAGATATCTATGATATATTATGCTTCAAAGTCCTGAACGTCCTTACATGAAAATTATGCCAACATAACAACAAAAACCCCAAGCGCAAGTCCCATCGCAACATGTCCAACCTCAACACCAACCTTCCACCCCGCACTCACGCAACTACTCCCCGTCGAACACGTACTCGAACTGCTCCCACCACTACTCGTCGCTCCAGTACCCGACGAAACCTGATCCGCCCCCTCAACAGCCGTAATATTCCCCAAATACAACCGCCCCAACGCTGTAACCTCCCCCTCCCCATCCAAAAACGCCGCATTCCCCCCAACATTACTAACGTCACTCCTAAAACTCCCAAACCACGCATACCTCTCAACCCACTCCAACCCATCCAACCACTCCAAACTCGTTTGCATCATCCCCAGGGTATCCTCCTCACTCGCATTATCCAGAGCAAACTCGGTGATCCAGAGGGTACGGTTGGAGAAAGAGTAGTATATATCGCCGCAGTGGGATGCGAGACCTTCGAAGGTGCCGTAGTAGTGGAGGGGGATGAAGTCGATTGTGCACGAGGTACAATTGCCGAAGAATTGTTGGAGCCAGACCTTTCCGACTGGGGAGCCCGTTACGGCTGGTGCGCCGAGTTTGATGCCTTTCGCTGCCAAGGGCTCGATGTATTCTTTCCACACCTCGGCTGCATAAGCGGGCTCCATCCCGCTTTGCCCATTCCCCGACGCATCAGGCTCGTTGAACCCGAGTACGTGTGTAATATTCGTGTCACCCTCAACGGTGTTCGCGAGTTGTGAGGCAGAGTCTGCGTTCCATTGTTGTGGAACGAAATTGAGGGAACCGTATTCGGAGGATGGGGAGGGGGGTTCGTTGGTGTAGTCGTAGACCCAGGTTAGGGAGGGGGATTTGAGGAAGGTTTGGAGGTCGATGGTGCCGGTTGTTACGTTGCCGGGGTTGATTAGGCCGCGTTTTGGGGTTGGGGAGGTGGTGTTGGCGGCGAGGGTGGTGGTGAGGAGGGAGAAGGCGGTGAGGAGGAGGAGGGGTGATCCCTTCATCTTATGGTTGTTGATCCTGTAGGTATACCAGAGACTGTCACACGGGCAGATCAAAGCCCTCCGGGTGTTCGAGTTGAACAAACAGCTCAAATGCTCTTACCCCATTGCAACAGCGAACACCTCGATCTATAAAGCATCAGAGCAAACAATCTACCCCATCGATCCAGTCGATATTAAAGTCTCGTCCTCTCAAGCTCTTTGTTCGACGCCGGATCTGACTTGGGCGCGGGAGGCCGCCCAATCTGAGACAAAGTGCTTCGATTCGATTCACTCCCCGAAGTACACGTCCATCGAATTGGCACGGCTCGGGTGTCGGTCATTTATTTGGAAGATGTTGATATTCCGCGATGCACTTTACGAGATTGCGGCCGGGTGAGGAGGCTGTGTGGACGTTCACGACGTTTTCGGGACCCGCTGAGTGATGACCCAGGAGACAAAGCTATGTACATGGAAGGGATGGAGGATCACTTGATAGATAGATGAACTTCAAAACGAGTTCTCGACGGATCAACGGCGGCGACGGCATCTACGGCCCAATAAGGGATCTCGCCCTGCGCTCCCTCAAAAAGTTCGCACTAACCAAAAGTCACCGCCGCCGTACGAGAACTCATCAACCCTCCAAAAACACAACCTCCATCCTCTCTTACGCCCCTAATACAATGTTCTCTACATCAAGAACACTCATCCAAACCTGCCGCGTCGCAAGATCCGTCCGCAACCTCTCCAAGCACGCCCGCGCCGCCCTCCCATCCGGTCAAATCATCACCGTCGACGAGCGCTTCGGTACCCTCATCTACAACCCTCCCTCCGCAGCTCCATCACCCCTCATCACACCCTCCGCATTCATTCCTGCCCATGCCCGCGTGGAAGCACCAGTACCCAACACCTCGTCACCAGAAACCTCCACCCTCCCCCCAGCATTGAGGAACAAGGACAAAAACGAGAAGAAGTACCATCTCACCGAGAAAGAATTCGAGCAGATCCGACAGCTGAGAGCGGAGGGTGTCAGCAGACTGGAGATTGCAAGGCGGTTTGACTGTAGTCCCTTCGTTGTTGGGATGGTTGCGCCGCAGAAGAAGGAGGTTATTGAGGAGCAGGAGAAGGAGTTGAAGGAGCGTCAGAAGCATTGGTCCAAGAGGAAGCTGAATGACAGACATGATCGTGTGCGCAGGAGGGCGCTTTGGGGTTTGGATGAAGTTATGTAAGGAGTTGTTGCGTGAAGGACGTGGATAGGAGATGATACGAGGTGACAAGGAAGAATGTATTGAAAGCAAAAGGCCTGGTTTCTATCCGGTTTGGGTTGCATCACGGGGTTGGGCGTCCAAAAGCATGAACATGAAGCTCGAGCAAATTCAAAGTGCGGGAACGTTGGCATCGGATTGGCACGGCTCGGGTGTCGGTCATTTATTTTAGAGGTGTTGATGCATTTTGAGAGATGTCGAGGAGTCTCATTGCGGCGACGGTTGGGGGCGGCTGTGATGATGTTCATGAACGTCGATTTCGGTGGAAGTATTGCGGTATGAGCCAGTCATATTGCTCCTAGGCCTCGTCATAATAAATAAATGGTATCCTATCCACCTTATCCGATCCCTATCCCAAAACGACAGTATTGCCTCATCTCCCAAGCATCGATATTCGAATTCGTCGTGTCAAATCACCCGTCGCTTCGCTCCGGCGCCCACTACTGCTTCATCGTACTCCTAGCCCACGGCCCCAAATCAACCTCCTCCCCCTCCCCGTCCATCATAAACGCACTTTTCAACACCACCTCAGGCCCCCACCTCGCCTCTGGGTCCTTATCCAAACACCCCGCAACAACCTCCTTCAGACTACGGTCGACCCTCCACTCGACCTCATCATCCCCACTCCTCTTTCCTTCCCCCTCTTTCACGTAGGGGCCGACATACTCCACCTTTCCGCGGACGAGTTCGGGAAGGGTGGGAGCGGGTTCGTGGACGATTTGTTGTAGGAGATCGAGGATTCCGAGAGGGGTGCCGGCGGAGGAGGGGAAGGGGAAGGAACCGGCGGCGAGTTCGATGAGGGTTATGCCGAAGGACCAGACGTCGGATTTAACGGAGTATTGGGCGCCTTGGATGCGTTCGGGCTAGACAACTCAAAACGTCAGCTCATGACAAAAAAAAAGAAGGGGGGGGGTCGGGTAGGGACATACACTCATGTAGGTCGACGTCCCGACGAATGTGTCGGCGATAGAGTTAATCAACTCCCCCGAAACCCCAAAATCACACAACTTGACCTCGCCCCTCCGATTCACGAGAACATTACTCGGCTTAATATCCCGATGAATGATTCTATGCACATTATACAAATAGCCCAACCCCTCCATCACACTCCTCGTCACCGCTCTCAATATCCGTGGTGGGAGCGGGGAGAGTTTGGAGATTCGATCAAGGGAACCGGCGTCCATGTGTTCCATGAAGATTGCGACGTCGGCGGATTGTGGGCCTGTTAGGATTGCGCCGTAGAAGGAGACGATGTGGGGAGAGGAACAGTCGTACATGATTTGGAGTTCGCGGAGGATTTGTTTCCGGGTTGCGGGTTTGGCTTCGATGTGGATGATCTGTGTGAGTCATTCGTCAGTATACACTCCTGTGGATTCATACAGAATGATCACACACCTTTCGGGCCATGATGGTCCGTGTGGGTTTGTGTAATACCCGGCTCACGGTCCCTCCATTCCCCGCTCCCAACTCCCTCTGAACCTCGATATCCTCCTCTTTCAAATCCAGCTTGAACTCGACTCCCAACTCCAGCGTAGCCAGCTGTTCAGACAACTTGTTATGATACTGACTCTGCCGATTCAGATAAACCTGTTCCGCCCTCGAGCCAGGAATCACCGCATCCTCAACCGCCGGCTGTGCTACCGCGGGCGGCGCGGGCGTAGCCGGGCTCGCGGGTAGGTTCAATTTCTTAAAGTTCTTTCGTTTTGACATGCTCTTGATCTTTAGGCCTCCTGCTGCGGGCACGCCGGGCGGCGGAGGTGGTAATGGGGAGGTGGGAGCTGCTGTTGGTGGGGGTGGCAGGGGCATTGTTGGAGCGGCACCGGGAGGGGGAGGGAGAGGAGCGGAAGGAGGTGGGCGGGGAGGAAGGGATTTGTTCAGGGAGGACATTGTGATGGTAAATTGGCGGGTTGGGAAGGATGTGGTGGGCGGTTGACTTGTGCCGGGGTACCAGGGCATGTGATGTAGCAGAGGAGTACAAAGAAGGCACATCAAAATTGGATTCGAGTAATGTCGAGTAGGATGATGATACGTTTGCCCTGTATGTTCCTTCTGATAACCATGCTACCCCTGGTTGCCCGCACCGACGAGCATCACGCACGGTCAACTGGCGACCAGGCAAGGGAGCTTCAACCCCACCACCAGCTCGCAATCCACAATGGCCGATTTCGTAGATCGAGCAGCACGAGAAGACAATGACGACGTTTCGGACGCCGGATCTATTCGCGGTGAAGACGTCCCGCGAGCTGTAGGCTCCGACAACGAAGACGACAACAACGACGGCAATGACAATGAGAACGGTAACGGTTCGGGCGACGACTCTTCAGAAGAGGAGGATGAAGACGACGATGAGGAAGCCGCCCGGAAAGTTCGGGAGGGCTTCATCGTCGACGACGAAGAAGAGGAAGAAGTCGAGGACGACGAAGGAAACCTGAGACGTCGCAAGAAGAAGAAGAGAAAGCTCGTCGACGAAGAACGCGATGAACTCGATGAAGACGACCTCGACCTCGTCGCTGAAGCGACCGGCCGCGAACGACCACGCGATTCCGGGGGAAATAAGTTGAAACGACTCAAGCGTCGCAAGGAAGATCGTGAAGAACGTGCTGATGCTGTCCGTGCGGCCGGGTTGGACAACATGTTCGATGACGACGAAGATGATACAGCCGCTGTCGGAGCTGAACTCGATGATCTGGACGACGTACGCGAAAACCGTGTTTCGCGCCTCGAAGACGAGTTCGCGGATTTCATCGAGGAAGACGACCTCGATGAGGAACTTCTCGCCGAAGAACGTGAGACGCGGCCTCCACAACCTCAAGTCAAGGCTCCGCGTCCAAGACCCGGGTTCGCGGGTTCCATGGCCGGGATCGACGAAGAGGGTATGCAAGAAGTCTTCGAGCTCTTCGGTGATGGGCAGGAGTACGAGTGGGCTCTCGACGGTGCACAGGATGATGAGGGGCCTGGTGATATGGATATTGACCCACAAGACCCCGGAGCATCTCAGGGCGGCAAGAAGGAATTAGGATTGAAAGATGTCTTTGAGCCTGAGGAGCTAAAGGCGAGGATGTTGACGCGTGAGGATGATATTATCCGCATGCAAGACGAGCCTGAACGCTTCCAAGAACTTCGTGCCGGATTCACGCAACCCCTCATCTCCGATTCCGCACTCGATGAGGAGACAGACTGGATCTTCCCCCAATTCCCAATCTTCTTTGAACAGATCGACCCGGATTGGCTCACCCCACACGTTCGGAAAGCGATACGTAAGGTCCTGGAGTTCTTGAATGTGGATTTGTTGGAGGTACCATTTATCTGGGCGCATCGGAGGGATTATTTGTTGTTTGTTGAGAAGGATTCGGTTACGGGACGCTTTTTGAAGGAGCATCGGCTGTTGAAGAAGTATCATTTGTGGTGGGTGCTTGCGATGGATACGCAGTACCGTGCTATTCTGGAGAAGAAGGCTGCTGTGCAGTCCTTGTTCCAAGGGTTGGGCGTCGAGGATGAGATGGTGGAGGAATCGACGAGAGGCGCGGAGACGATGGATGACTGGAATGATCTCTCGGATTACATCCACTTCCGCTACGCAGAGCAAATCCGCGACTCGAACATCACTGCAGGCTCCACCGTCCGCAGACCACGCAGCACAGTCAGTCTCTTCGACAAAATCCGCAACGGCGAAATCTACTACCTCGTCCGCGCTTTCGGTTTGTCAGCCGAGAACTTTGCCGTCAATGTTGCGGAGAATGAGAAGAGGTTCTTCACGGATGACATTGAGGCTTTGCCGGAGGTGTCCGCGGAACAATACGTTAAGGCGCCTGAGTTCCCGACCGCCGAGGCTGCATTGAAGGCGTGCAGGGATATGCTGAGTGAGGAGATTTGGACGAATCCTGCTGTGAGGAAGAATATGCAAAAGTTCTTTGTGGCAAGTGTGAGAGTCCGCGTGGTACCCACTGAGAAGGGTATTAGGCAGATTGATGAGGAGCATTTGTACTACAAATTCAAGTATCTTAGGGATCAGACTGTCGGAGATCTCGTGCGTGCGCCCGAGCAGTATTTGCAGATGTTGCAGGCCGAGACGGAGGGGTTGGTGAACGTGTTGCTCGAGGTCGGTACCAGGCAAAAGGCGATGCATTTCGAGAGTTTGTTGAGGTTGTTCGTGAGTGATGGTTCATCCGAAGTCGCCGACAAGTGGAACGAGCAGCGCCGGAAGGTTCTGGAGGAGGTTTTTGATAAGACCATCCCGCATATGGTGAAGAACATGAAGGAGAGGGTAAAAACGATGTGTGAGGATAAACTCGCGATGGATGTTCAGGATGCTTTTACCAAGAAGCTAGATCAGCCGCCGTTTTTGCCGAGGGATAGTACGGAGGAGAAGGGTGTTATTCCGCGTGTTATTGCGGTTAGCAGTGGTGCTGGTGATTTTGGGAAGGAAGCGACGTTGGTGGTTTATGTTGATGAACATGGGCAGACAAAAGCAAACCTCAAACTCAGAGATATCCGCGATCCTGATGCAAGAGCCGAGTTTGTACAAATGGTTAGGAGATACAAGCCTGATGTCATCGGTGTTGCGGGATGGGGTGTCCCAACTTCCAGACTATTCCTCGATGTTAGGAGGATTTCGGAGGAGGAGAGGTTCGAGAGGTGTGAGGTGCAGTTTGTTGATGATCACACGGCAAGGCTTTATAAGGAATCCCAACGTGCGAAGGAAGATCATGCCGATTTGCCGCCGCTTGCGAGGTATTGTGTAGGGTTGGCCAAGTACTTGCAGAGTCCTTTGATGGAGTATGCGGCTATGGAGATTGATGGATCCCTATTCAGTGTCAAATTCCACGAGTACCAGGATTTGTTGCCGATTGAAAAGAGGAAGAGGGCGTATGAGTGTGGTTTCGTGGATATTGTCAACATGGTCGGTGTGATGATCAACGATGCTGCAAGGGAGACTTATCGTGCGAATTTGTTGCCTTTTGTCGCGGGGTTGGGGAAGAGGAAGGCGCAGGGTCTGTTGAAGAAGATTGCCCTCAATGGCGGGTATCTTACCAACAGGCGTGACCTTGTGGAACAGAGGATGGCGGCTCAGCATGTTTTCTTGAATTGCGCAAGTTTCTTGAGAATTCCTTATGAGTCGAAGGCTTACCGCAACGATGGTGCTGAGGCTCTCGATGCTACCCGCATTCACCCAGAAGATTACGAGTTGGCTAGGAAGATGGCTGCTGATGCGCTTGAGTTGGACGAGGAGGATCTTGATGAGTTTGAGGCCACTGGCGGTGTCGTTGCTCACCTCTTCACCAACAAGGATGATGCCAAGAAGCTCGATGAGCTTATTCTGGAGGATTACGCGGAAGAGCTCGAGAAGGCTATTGGTGTTCCTAAGCGTGATACCCTCGATATCATCAAGGACGAGCTCATGAACCCATACGCTGAGAGGCGTTTCGAGTTCTTGGTCCCCACTGCTAAGGCTGTGTTCAACATGCTTACCGGTGAGACTGAAAAGACCTTCCACGAGGGCGTTGTCGTCGCTGCCAGCATTAAGCGGTTGGGCGATAGGTATGCTGTCGCTACGCTTGACAACGGCGTGGAGGGTAATATCTCAGTTGCGGAAATGAAGGATGAAGTCCGGAATAGGTACGGTGAACCCGTTGAAGTTGTTCCTTCTCAGGTGTTTACCATCGAGCAGACTGTCCGTGCTGTCGTGATCAGCATTGACTACGAGTTCTTCCGTTGTGAGCTTTCTACTAAAGAGAGTCGCGTCAAGCAAGCTATGAGGGACAGAGTCGAGAGGGCACGACCTCGCGGAGAAGATTGGGATGAGGATGCAGAAGCCGCTGATCGCCGACGGATCACGGCGAAGCGGGATGCGAACCAGAGAACGGCTAGAGTCATCAAGCATGTTCTGTTCCATCCTTTCAACACGAAGCAGGCCGAGGATTACCTCGCTCCCTTGGGTAAAGGAGACGCAGTCATCCGTCCTTCGTCTATGGGTTCGGATCACCTTGTCATCACTTGGAAGATCGATGAGAATGTGTACCAACACATAGACGTGCTCGAGCTCGAGAAGGACAATGAGTTCTCTTTGGGTAAGATCCTTAGGATCGGTAACCAGAACTATTCCGACCTGGATGAGATCATCGTCGCTCATGTGAGGGCTATGGCCCGTAAAGCTGAAGAGTTGATGGCACATGAGAAGTACAGGGGTACGCCATCTCAAGCAGAGCAGTGGCTGAACACCTACTCTGAAGCCAATCCGAAGAGGTCCGCATATTGTTTTTCAATCGATTCTCAGCATCCTGGTTGGTTCATCCTCATGTTCAAGGTTAACCCTGCGACGAGGATCCAGAAGTGGTCCGTCAGGCTGGCTCCGAATGCCTATATGATGCAGAAGGTGCCTTATCCGGATGTCCTGAGTCTTTCTAATGGATTCAAGAGAATGTATGCCTCGCAAAAGGGGAGAGGCAGCAGGATGTGAGGAAGCCGAGTCCATGAATGGGTGTAAAATAGTGGTAGCATCTTGGCAATTGCGGGTAAAAGAACGTTGAAAAGGCAGGCATTAGGTAGTTTGTTACGATTATCAAATAATCATGGTTCATTTTCGTTACAAACAACATGCATCCTCGTGCTGTTGTACAACCATTCATTCACCTGCCCCTTATTGAACAAGTAAAATCGACGTCTCCATTTCACTATAGTCCTGTCCAACATCATCCCATCTCATCCCGAATCCTAATCCGAAAACTCCATAAACTCATGCTAAGCAAAAGACCCCTTGCCAGAAAACAATCCCATCACTGTCTTTCTCCTCTCATCCTTCTTCACCCTTTCTGCCTTCAGCTTCTCCTCATCTACTTCTTTAGCAGACAGACCACCCTTGGTAACACGCTGCTTGGCCATGAAAGTCACTGCGCGACTGCTGCTCCGGGCACCAGCCTTGGCGATCCTCCGCAGACCTTCCGACGAAGTCGTCCTCTGCGAGTCCGAAGTGTCTGAATAGAACGAAGACGTCTGATGTGGCAGGGAAGGAACGCGGAAAACTGGTTGGGTTGCATGCGCACCACCAAAAGCCATCTTTACGGAACTGGATGCCGTGACTGATGCTCGCTTCTGAGAAGCACGGTCGACAACCGCGACAGATGACGAAATCGAAGATTCGATAGTAACGTCTTCTTCGTCATCAGACTCGATGATCTGCGTTGTTTGCGAATCCTCATACAAAAACGCCAACGTCTCTCTCACATCGATCTCTCTTACCGACTTCTTCTTCAGTAAAGGAGCAGGCATCATGCGGGAACCCTGTGGATCCGCAATTGTGACTGGCAAACTGTCCTCCTGCGTGGCATTGACTTGGACTTGAGCCTGACTTTCCTCGTCATCTGCCATTTCCACATCTTCGTCATACTCCTCATCCAGGAAACTCTTCTCCTTCTGCATGCCGCGATCTTCAATTGCAGCCAAGAAAGCAGACATCTTGGGATTATTCGCAAGGTTACTGAGCTTCTCGTCCTCAAGTAACTTCTTGCGCATAGCTTGTAGCCTTCGGTTGTAGCGCTCTCGAGCAATCTCCTCGTCTTCCTCATCCTCGTCGTCGGAATCGAGATCCATCATCCGCCCACCGCGTTTCCGACGCAATCCACCGTTCGTGATGTCGTTCAGCAGATCCGAAATGGCTTTCGTGTCGCTGTCGAGTTCCTTTTGCGCGTAGAAGGCGGCCAGTCCTGTATCGTCGACATCCTGTGTTTCGTGATCAATCAGGTCTTCCAGATCACTGCCGGTACCGAGATCGACTTCATCATCACCTCCATCAAGACCAGCATACTCGTCCTCAGATTCTTCGGCCTGCTCTTCAACAAAGCCCCGAATCCGCTCCTGCTCTTTTTCTGACATATCCTTGACTTCCTTCGCCTTGTGCTTTTTCGCGGCGCGTCTCATCACATTGAATGCGGAAGACTCATCATCATCCTCAGCTGTAGCCTGACGCTGCATCAACCTTCCTTTCCTCGGTAGCGATACCTCATCAATTTGCGTAGGATCAGCCTGTGTCGACTCCATGTTGTTCGCAAACCTCCGTGGAGCCGCTGCCTCGGGCTGCGAGGACTGCACGCCCGGGCTGGGAGGAGCAAAGACGGACACCTGCGTAGCGTCCACCTCAGCGAGAACCTGTGTTGCCTGGTTCTGGGTGGCAAGAACAACATCCTCGTACTCGAGGGACCAAGCATTCTGCGGTGTATCCGAAAGGGTAGCTGCCCTTCTCGGCGTAACTGAATTAACTGTCGTCCCAGTCGCGAAGAACTGCGTTAAACCATCACCTGTAGGTTCCACGCCTTCCGCTTCGTCTTCATCATCCAGGGCTCGAATACGGCGGAGAGCCCGGGGCTTAACTACAGCGATTGAATCGTCCTCGTCATCCGATTCCATGGCAGCTGGAAGAAGACCCACGCCTGGCCGAGTTGATGTCAACGCTGATGGAGATGGAGGCACGTTCTCATCATTTTCCTCCTCTTCACCACTCTCGCTCCCTTCCTCATCAGAGAAATCTCTATTCTCACCTTCATCTGCATCGCTGTCTCCATCCTCGCTATTGCTTTCCTCAGCGCTCGCCTCTTCCTCCTCCTCTTCCATGTCCCAATCACCGTCGTCATCCTCGCCGCCCTCCTCTTTTTTCTCCTTCTTCTTCGCATCCTCCATCTTTTTAATTTTTTCTGCCTGCTCACGCGCCTTCTCCACCAAATCCATAACAGCCTCTTCCTCTTTCACATGCTCTTCAACACTCTTATAGATACCCTTCGCCCTCAACTCGGCCTCCTTTTCCTCTCGTTCTAGCTTAGCTTGCATACCCGCAGCCATCAATAGCTGTTTGTTCAGATCGGCTTTCGACATAGCAGGTGCTGCATTTGGTGCTGTCTTGCCTTTGCGAGAAACTCCAGCAAGACGCTTGAGAAGTTGTTGGTCCTTGGTGATGGCGGAGTTAGTTGCTCGAGAGGCCTTTGCGCGTGCGAGTACCTGTGAGTGAATAGAGACAGACTTCTCTTCATCCTCCCCTTCTTCGTCGGAATCATCAAGTACGATTTCGGTGAATTTGGTCTTCGCGATACGAGCGGCCTTGGTGAGCACGGAAGTCGCGGCACTGGGTGCAGGAGCAGGAGGTTTTGCTGGTGACGACTTCGGTGCTGCTTGCGATGAGAGGGCCTCAACAGCAGATGGTAGGTCCAACTCCATATCGGAATCATCTTCCATCTCGAACGCAGCCTGTCGAATCTGATTCTTCGGCTGCTCTGGCTCTTCGGTCTCTAGTACTGGTGCTGCCCGTTCCAGTGCTTTCTTTGTTTCTTCGGAAACTACAGTCTGCTCGTCCTGTACTGGTAGTGCAGGTGTAGCTGCCTCCTCTGCCACAGGCTCATCTTTCTTCCCACCCTTATACCCGAACTTCTTGAAGAAATCACCCATGCTCACCTTCTTCTTCACATACACCTCCGGCGCAAGCGCCATACTGCGTTCCATCCGCAGCGTCTCCTTGTGCATCTCTTCCATGGCTTTCTTGCTTGCTGCACGGGGTTTGCGCTCCTTCACCACCTTGCCTTTCTCCTCCTCGTCGCTACCGTCGTCGGAGAAAAGCTGTGGTTCGGCAGCGGCATTTGCCTCGCGTTTGGCACGTTCAGCTTCTTCGGCAGCTTCTCGCTCGGCACGTTTCTTAGCAATCAATGCTTGTAGACGGGATCGTTCGACACCCTCTGTGGCGGTAGGGAGTTCGTCCTCATCATCGTCATCGCTTGCACCACCGATCCGCATCTCACCCTCAGAGTCCGACTCTGAGACGGCACGGATGGCGTCCGTTTCGGGTGCTTTGAAGGCATTCATCCTCTTGGTAATCGAAGAATCGGAATCCGAGTCGTTGGAGATGACGGATTTAGGAGCGCGCTTCTTAAGGGCGCGGCGAGGTGGTGATGGTGCTTGCTCCGTGTTCATTCCACCGTCTGGAACGGGATGGTCCTCCTTTGCGGTGGCTTTGGTTTTCGGTGCAAGTAGAGATCTTTTGACGCGTTCATATGCCGTCAACCCATCTTCCTTGTCTTGAACACCATTCTCTGTGACGGGTGCCGTAGGCGGCGATTGAGGGCCGGGTTTTGCTGTGGAGATATTCTTTCCCTTCATCCTCGCAGCCATCTTCCCTCTCGGTCTCACTTCATCCTCGTCATCTTCCTCCTCCTCTTCCTCATCACTCGAAGACTTCTGATAGGCTTGCGTTTGTGTCGGTTGCGTATCATATTTCGCCAGCATCGCCCTAATCTTGCTTCTTGGCGTCAAATCTCCTCCTGAAACACCAACCTCCATCTCCTCCTCATCCTCATCCGAGCTCGAGTTATTGGAGACGCGTTCAGGTTGAGTTTGCGGGGGTGTACTCGGTTCAGCAGGCCTGGGACGACCGTAGGTGTGCCTTGGAGCTGGTGTCGCTGACATTATAGATATTGATACAGAAACTCAAACAATCTGAGCCTGATAGGAGGTGGATGAATATAGTGTACGGTTTTGAAGGTGTTATTGAGCAAACGCGGACGCAACGCGCCAATCAACGCCCAATTTGGAAAAATCATTACAAAACCGCAGCTGAACTCGATTACAGGAGATGTCAAATGTTTGTTCACATTGTCCTCTCTATAAAAAACCTAGCTAATCCTAGAAACCTCTCAAGTCCGCAATGACCCTCTCAAAAAAGAACGACTCGGGTCAAGAAATCCGCAGTCACACGTGTACGCGTAGATATCGAACAAGAAACATAACAAAACTCCAAAAGACACAATCGAAGCCGCTCACTCATCAAAACCTCCCACCATACCCAGCTCCCCGATGCCACTGACCCTGCATCTGCTGATACTGCGGTGGCGGCGTTTCGTTGTGACTCGGATCTCTCAGCATAGGAACCGAGCTCTGACTCGGATTCGCACCACCATACAAGCTCCTCCCACCACTCACGAAACTCTCGTTACTGTACTGTTGTCGTGGTGCACGGTCGTCGTAGCTTGGACGTTGGAGACCGATGTCGGATCCTCTGGGCGCAACGAGGGGACTCGTTGGACGAGATCCCGTGCTCGGACTTTGCATCCCCGCTGCGTGGGGAGGAAGGTTGATCGGGCTCGGGTCCCTGGATCCATGACCAACACCACGGTAGGAGGTATCTCTATGCATGAACTCATCCTCATCGATCAACTCCATCCGCTTCAACCTGTTCTCCTCACCCTGAGGAAGGGTAGGCGAAGCAAGTGCGTCCAACTCAGTAGCGGCCGGAGCACCGAAACCACCCTTCATGAAGGAGGTACGGTCGTCGCGCATAGGTTGATACCGCACATCAGGGTTCTTCGAGAACAGGGCGTAGAAAGCTGCGACAATGACGAGGATAAGAAGAACAAGCGCAAACGCAGCGTTGAGAATGAAAAACACAACACCGAGTACACCACTCGCGATTCCCTAATAGACCACCAGTTAGCATACTCTCAAAAAAAACAACGAAGAAGGTCCACGAACCGAAACATAAAACAAATCCGAGAAAATGATCAAAAAGATCGAGTTAATCAAATTGACCACCGCAATCGAAATATTGAAAATATTCGTCGCACGGTCCATATAAGGCCTCATCACACACACCCCAACCAAAAACATAAGCTCAAGCACCAAAAGTGCCACGGCCTCCGCATTCCCATTATTCTGCCCAAAAGCAATGATACAAGCTTTCGCAAGCGAGTAACCGAGAACAGGCACGATAAACCAATACGCCGTAGCCCGGTACTGTACATACAGAAATCCCCACCGCGCGAGCTGACTCGGATCCGAATACAGGATATACGCCGGGGAGTTATGCATCACAATCGACCTCTTCGCGATCCGAATGACATGCCACGCGGCATACGCCAACAACGCAAACATCACCAAAAAGGTAATAACAGCCAATACCACCACCGCAGCGGAATCGCGTACCGTCAACTCCCACAGACAGAGCAGCGCCATCTGCGGCCATCCAATCAGAACGAGACGATACACAGTTCCCTTCAAAACCTGTTTCCACCCACGCCTAAACTCGAGGAATCGGTCTTGTCGCATCCAGCGGCGTCTGGCACATAACTCCGTGATCCCCCTGAAGAGGAGTACACCGATAACCGCCACCGCGAGCGCGACCAAGAAGAAGATAAACCCAGTCAAGAAGAGTGAGGTGGACTCGATCCCTGCACGCCACGCAACACGATCGATACCCCTCAAGACGGCAGTCGTGGAGGTAGATGCTGAATCATCCGTCGTATCCGCACGCAAGAACAATTTCTTGGTCCCGTGGATTGCGCCTTTGAGGATATTACTCGTTGAGCGCATACCGAGTCCGAGCATCTGATCCATCCCCTCAAACTCCGGCGCAATCTGCATTCCCCACTCCCTCTTCGATCCAAGTCCAAAGTCATCAACACCCCTCCTCAGCAAACCCCCAACCGCCTCCAAACTCCTCTTCGTAACAACACTAACCGCACCCTGACTCGAATCCTCAACAAGCGTCGACGGCGTCCCCCCCGTCGCCCTCACGTACCACTTCGTACAGACATTGATGAAACCAAGCTTAATCACACCCATCGTCCACGCAAAATTCTGCGTCCACGAGTCCACGATGGGCGGCATACCAACGGCCATCATCCCCACAATCGCCTGCGCCTGGAAATACCCAAACAGCGCAATTGAATTAGCGGCAACATGTGCCGCCGTATTCGAATGTCCCAACGTCGAGGCCACAGCTGAAGCCATGAGCGCAGCCGACGCAATCACCCCCGTAACCCACGACACAGAGGTATAATATACCGTTTTGCCGTTGTACAGTTCCGACTCGACACACGCCAACATCGTATTATCCTCCGTTGAATTAATCATAATCCGCACACTCCCATCAATATCCGGAACGTCATACGCAATCCCCGGAATCTTACTGACAACATCCGCATCGACCGCAAACGTCCCGACCATATTCAAATCCCCCGGACTCATCGGACATAGGACCCCACTCGCCCAATCGTAGTCACACGGATTGATGGTCTTCTCGAATATTTGGAATCCGTACGCTTGGATGAGGAGTGTAACGTTCACGACCCCGGAAACGTTCGTGGACCCTTCGATGTCGAAAGCGAACGAGGCGTTGTTTGGGGTGAAGGTTACGTCGAAGACTGTTGCGGATATTTGGGAGTTTTGCATGCATGTTGAGAGGGATCGCGTGCCGATGGATTTTACGGCGTCGACGGTTGTTGTTGTGAGGAGGAGGTAGAGGAGGGTGAGGGTTTGGAGGAATCGCGAGATGGGGGGTATTGAGGCCATGTAGACAAACTGTCCGTGTGTCGGTTCAGTTCTTTTTCGCGCGGTGTATGCGCCGCCGTTTCAGTACTGTTGTTGACGTTTGTCGTCGTCTGCAGAAAAGACAGTCGTTCGTTCGTCTCCCTAATCTCACACTTCTCACTTCAATATACAACGACAAAGAATGCCCACAAATACAGATGGTCAGCTGGTTGATGTATGCACTTGCCGAGCCGCTCCCACTCTTACGGTTGTTGTCTCGTCTCGTCTCGTCTTGGCGTTCAAAACACCGAGAATGCAATCAAGGGTCCAGTTACTACTGTACAAGCAGGGGCAGCTGGAATGGCGCGCGGGAGCGGCTGGGGCCCGGGGCCGGGGGCCGGGAAGTCCGTGCGCGTGGATGGATGCTATTTAATAGATACACGCAAACGAAGGGTGCTCAAGCTGATGAAAAATTCTCCTCTTCGAGAAGTCGTATACAGTTTCATCCATCATTCGCTCGCAAGGGGGTTTTCCCACTCCCGCTCATATCGGCCGCAGCTACCGCACACTCGCGGCCGCTTGCGAGATGGACCATAACGGATGCGTGCATGCCGCGATGAGGCTCGGCGAGGCGTCGAGCGCAGCACCTGCCATACCGTATCACCCCCCCCAGCTTTCAAAAAAGACGAAAGGGCTCAGCATCCCTAATCTACTCCCTCCGTTCGTCCCAAGCCCAAACTCGCCCTCGTCATAACCGTAACCCCACCCGCGACCAACCCCATCCCGACAACCACATTCCACCTCGGAATTTTTGACTCGGCGAGGAAGTCTCCGAGAACGGTGAAGATGAATGCGAGGGAGTTTGTTACGGGGACGGCGTATGATAAATCTGCAACAACCCATGATTAAGATACATGTAAACAAGACCGAAGGAGGACTGGTGGAGTGGGAGAGACGACGTACCAGCTTCACCGAGTAACACGTAATACCAAAAACTCCCACTCATATTGATCACTAATGGGACAAAATATCTTGGGCGCTTGATGACTGCCCACGCTCTCTTCACTACTCGATCATCCGGTGTGGCAGCGGAAGTGGATGAGTTCTGTGCGGTCCGGATGAAAGAGTTTGTTAGGCCCCAGCATGCACCGACGAGGAGGAAACCGATGATTTGGCGGAAGAGGGAGGGATCGTCCAAGGGCATTGCAATTGTCGCAGGTGGAGGTGTGGAGGGTGTGTGGGTGTTGGAGGGTGTGTGGGTGTTGGAGGGCACGGCTGTCTCGCCCCCTGCATCCCTGGCGCGGTATACGAAGCCACAAACAGAGTGCCCTCGAAACTCGAAACCTCGAAACTCCAACTCTCCAATCCGATATGATCACGGAAAACTCACGTGCACCCACTCTCCTCGAAACAACAGCTGCCTCGCCCCCTGCATCTCCCGGCTCACGGTTTGATTGATGGCTTGATAAACTTCAGCTACTATCGGAGAATAGATTACCTAACCAACGCAGTTTCTGTGACGACGGGCTGATCTCTCCTTGCACAAGTCGATCTTGACGGTTGGACGTTTTGGGTCCGAGGACCGTGGAGACCCGTCAATTTGCACGTTTCAGATGCGAAATATTTGCAATTGTGCGTGTGTCCACCGCCCGGACGCTGTATTTCGCCTTGGTGTTGGGATGCGTATATAACATCGCGGTTGATCCACCCTACAATTGAGAGGGAGTCGACGAAGAAGAATCAACGATGTCAATCCTCGAAGCCCGACGACACCTAAACACATGTACACCTCCTCTTCCGCCTCACTCGCCTCCCAAACCCCCATCTCCAAAAGGCAGAGGAAGAGAACACGAGTTGGTACTGGGAAGACGGGAGAGTATCCCACTCCTCCCATTCCAGGTACAGCAGTTTGCGTACGTGTATTCGCCGCACAAAAGGCAATCAACTACCATCAAATCTGCTCACCCAATTGCAACCTCGCGCACCGACCCAACGCCGATGCTCACCTCTGAGACTGATCTGGCAATCATCGATCCCGTCCTCTCTTCTTTTTCATGTCGACAAGAGCAGAGGTCGTCGTATCCGATGATACGCAGCCCGGCCCCGAGGCCCGATTCCGAGATCTTCCCTGCCGGCGCCGCCTGTGCACCCATCGCCCACTCAAACCATAAGGAGGATGGGAGAGCTGATACTGCGCAGGAAGTGTTGATTGAACGGATTGTAGCGGCGGCTTTCTCACGTCTCCTCGCCGCCGAGGGACTCAAGGTGACCCCCATACCGTCCACCACAACCACCACCACCACCACCACCTCTTCCTCCGCCTTTACCACGCCGTCGGATAGGAGAGAAAGGGGAGATAGTGCAAGACTATACGAGTTATTCCAAAAATTGAATCAAGATTCTGCGGAACGGACAGAGCGGATATTGTGTGAGATAGGGATCTTGAGGAGCGAGGTTGTGGAGTTGAGGCGGCACGTGTCTACTCACTCTCAGACCCACGCGCAGACGCCTGCTGCGGGTGTCGCCGGGGATGAAAGTTCGGGTTCGAAGGGTGGGTTGTTCGGTTCGATTTTTCGGAAGAGTGTTGGTCGCCCCCGCGCCAGTAGTGGGGCGAGTACCACTTCCTATACGACGACGCCGGTGTATTCCTCGCCGGCTGTGCCAGCGTCATTCCTACCGCTCCCTACGATGTCAAACTCAGAAGAGCGCTTCGACAAACTCGATGCCTCACTCGCTCAACTCACCCGAAAAGTCGATCTCCTCGAATCCCACTCCCAGTCCCGGCCGTGTACCGCGTCGACGGTCATGTCCCCACCCCGTCCCGACACGGCTTCGACGATCATGTCACCACCTACTGGAGTTTTGGATACGAGGGTAAATAGACTCCTGTGGCCACGACCACGCTTGGATTCGAGGCCGGCGTTGGTCGAGGTTTGGAGGGATGTCAGTCCTGAGCGTGGTCGTGGTCGTGGTCGTACTACCGCTACCTATCAAGAGGCAACGGAGAATGAGGACGTGCAGGTGGGCACCACGGGGGTGTTGGGGCATAGGGTACAGAGGAGTAGCCTTGATTTCGGGGTTAACTCTGTGCAGGGAAGCGCAAGCGCAAGCTCGAGGCCAGAGCACGGACTCCGTATCCCTGGTCTTGATCGGGACCCTAGTGTCACTGGTACTGCTGTTGGGAAGGAGAAGAGAGTTACTGCTGGTCTCGCAGGCGGAACTGGTACCGCCAAGGTGAGGGAAGAGGGTGCGAAGATTGTGATGGAAGCGAAAGGGAAGGTTAGGGAGGGAACCCCGGTCGCGTATCGATTTATGCGGGAGTTACCGGTGAACCCCAACACTACGATCACCACGTCCACGTCCACGTCGCCGGCTAAGTTGAGGTTATCGCCGAGGTCGGGGAAGAGGAAGGGTGATGCGGTTGTGTATGGACCACAAGGCTCGCCGCTCAAGAAGATGATCTCGAAGCCTTTTCTCGTGCACAACGATGTGGAGATGAGTCCATGGACACAACACATCCTCGCCGGCACCCGCGCACCCACCGTGGGAGAATCCCAACACGCAAGATCTAAGTCTACGGGATTGAGCTGTACCAGTCCGGCACGACGACGTATGACCTTTGGTTTCGGACCACAGGAGGAGGGTGGTGGAGCGGGGGTGAGGAGGGGAATGACGCTTCTTGAGAGAAGGAGGAATAAGAGTTTGGGGGGGCCGGCGGTGAGGAAGTTGGCTTTGGTCGAGAGGCACGCGTAGCCTGTCTAGATCGCGTTTAAGGATTTTATTGGATTTGGGTGTATTTAATTAGAACTACAAGTCAACTCCCTCTGTTACTTAATTTACCGACTGCTGCGACTGCGCCTCGCGATCTGCGGGAGTACCCCTGGCAACGCATCCTAACAACCGCAGGAGCTCCTCGGCGCGCGCAAACAGAACACCAAGTCTCCCCGTCTATCCCAGGAGTCGCGGGTCGAGTCGCAGCAGTTGCATACACCACGTATACCCAAGTCAAAGCTTGGCAAGTCCCAAGGCCCCAGTACGAGCATTCCCTACAATGGCGAACCGCAGGCCGGTGAACCAACAACAACAGCATTCACAGCAAGCATACATGTCGGATGACCCCTATGCCCAGCCTTCGCAGCAGAGAAGTTACGACCAATACCATGCTCAGGTAAACGATCAGTACCAGTCATATTCCGCACACTCTGCGTATCCGCAACAGGAGAGTGCGACATACGCGTCACATCCACAGGACGGGTCGTATCATTCGGGATACGCATCGCCACACCAAGACAACTACTACCCCTCCTCGAACCCAGCGAGTGCGGGTATGGCTTCTCAAGGCGCGTATCCCGTCGAAGCGATGCAACCCGCTTACCACTCCAACCAACAACTCCATGCTCAGGGCGCATACCAGCTCAACGACGGCGCGAGCTTCGATGACGACTATCCTGTCGAAACACACATCCCAGTTCGAGACGAGTACTACGGCGCCACCACGCCGAATGAGGAGGTGTACCCACTTACCACCTACCCTGCTGGCCATGGGTCGAGCGCGTATCTGCCGCCCCAGCATACACCGAGTCCGGGACCGGGGTTGAATGCTGGTCCGGGTGTGGGCGCGTTCGAGGGGTATACGGCTGGTGGGGTGAGTCGGGAGCCGAGTCCGGCGCCGTTTAGGCCTGCTGGGTTGGAGGATGACCCGCATTCACCCTTGTTGAATGCGCCATATCCCTATAACGCCGATAATCTCGATCCGGAAGGAAACGTCCGCTTCGGCGAGCCGCCACCGACGCGACAGCCGAGACGTTTCAAGACGATTAAGAGGGTCGAGTTGTACCAGGGAAACTTGGTGCTCGATTGTCCCGTCCCGTCGAAGTTGTTGCAGAAGGTTCCGAGGAGGGATGAGAGGGAGTTTACGCATATGCGATACACAGCCGCGACCTGTGATCCCGCCGACTTCAAGTCCGAGCGGTTCACATTGCGACAGGTGTTGTACGAACAACCCCGCCACACAGAACTCTTCATCGTCATCACGATGTACAATGAAGACGAGGTATTGTTCGCGCGTACCATGCACGGTGTGATGAAGAACATCCGACACCTCTGTTCCCGAGATCGTAGTCGGGTCTGGGGTAAAGACGGGTGGAAGAAGGTCGTGGTTTGTATCGTCTCCGATGGTCGTACGAAGATCAACCCCCGTACACTTGCGCTATTGGCATCATTGGGAGTCTACCAAGACGGTGTCGCGAAAAACATCGTCAACGGTAAACCAGTAACCGCACACATCTACGAGTACACAACCCAAATCACCATCGACCCCGAACTCAACACCAAGGGAGCCGAGAAAGGCTATGTACCCGTCCAAATGCTATTCTGTCTCAAAGAGAAGAACCAGAAGAAGATTAATTCGCATCGATGGTTTTTCCAGGCTTTTGGGCCGGTGTTGAATCCGAATGTGTGTGTGCTTTTGGATGGAGGTACGATGCCGGGACCGACAAGTATATATCATTTGTGGAAGGCATTCGATATCAATAGTAATGTCGCGGGTGCTTGTGGAGAGATCGTTGCATTGAAGGGAAAAGGAGGTGTCAATCTGTTGAACCCCCTCGTCGCCGCACAAAACTTCGAGTACAAGATGTCCAACATCCTCGACAAACCACTCGAATCCGTCTTCGGCTTCATCTCCGTCCTCCCAGGTGCATTCTCCGCATACCGCTACATCGCTCTTCAAAACGACGCAAAAGGTCAAGGACCCCTCGCGTCTTATTTCAAGGGTGAGACACTTCATGGAAGTGATGCGGGGATTTTCGAGGCGAATATGTATTTGGCTGAAGATAGGATCTTGTGCTTTGAGTTGGTTGCGAAGAGGAAGTGTGCGTGGGTTTTGCATTATGTGAAATCTGCGTATGCTGTCACTGATGTTCCGGATAAACTCCCTGAACTGATTTCGCAACGACGAAGATGGCTTAACGGATCCTTCTTTGCGGCTGTGTATGCCTTGGTCCACGCCTTTAGCATTTGGAGAAGTGATCACAGTATCTTCCGGAAACTCATGTTTCACGTGGAATTTTTGTATCAGTTCATTTCGATGGTGTTTAGTTGGTTCGCATTGGGGAACTTCTTCCTCACGTTCGTGATCTTGACGAGTAGTTTGGCGGATTCGAGTGTGAACTTTAGTCCTGGAAAGGTGTTGTTCATTATATTTGAGTGGCTTTATGCGGCGTTGATTGTCATGTGTTTCGTGTTGTCGATGGGAAACCGTCCGCAGGGTTCGAAGTGGGCGTATACGGGAACGGCGGTGTTCTTTGCTATTATCATGGCTTACATGATTTTTGCGTCGGGGTGGTTGTCGTATCAGGGTGTTTCTGCGACGATCGCGACTCTCAAAGCGGAGAATGCGGAGTTTGGACAGAATGCCTCTGTCACGCTCAAGGCCATCTCGGAGAACACGATCTTCCGTGATTTGGTGGTGTCGTTGCTTGCCACCTACGGTTTGTACTTGATCTCCTCGATCATTTACTTTGAGCCTTGGCATATGATCACGAGTTTCATTCAGTATTTGTTGTTGTCGCCGTCGTACACCAATATCCTGAACGTTTACGCGTTTTGCAATACGCATGATGTGTCCTGGGGTACGAAGGGTGATAACGGTGTCAAGACTGATCTCGGAGTCGTTAATACGCAGAAAGATGGACAAGTCGACGTTGAGATCCCGACGAAGGATGCGGATATCGATGCGGCGTACTCTGAGGCGATGGTGGTGTTGCAGCAACCCGCTCCGGAAGTCAAGCAGAAACGTGATGCGACGACAAAGCAGGAGGATTATTACAAAGCCTTCCGTACCCGCGTCGTGTTGGCGTGGATTATCTCAAACGCCGCGTTGGTGGCTGTCATTCTCAATCTTGGTAGCTCAGTCAACAGTGTCAGTATCTCGAATAGTTCGAGTGCGACGAGTGTGTACATGGCGATTTTGTTGTGGTTTGTTGCTGGGTTGAGTTTGTTTAGGTTTTTGGGAAGTGTGCTTTATTTGATCATTCGGATGTTCAGTGGAGAGTGAGGGAGGGAATGGATTCACAACGGCTAACGGTACAAGGAAGCGTTTGGTAGTTGGAAGGGACATTTAGCTAGGTGGGTAAATCTATCGTTTTGATTCATCGTTAAGCTATATGCGATGAGCTATTGTGGTTCTTCATTAAAAGCCCCGAAAGTAATGCTCGATTGCTTCCTTGGGTATAACAGGGTATATCGTTTTCACTCACACGATCATTTTTCGACGGTCGCACAGTCGTCGATTATTCTCATCTGCATCTCCGTCATGTTTATCAACCGCCAACATTCCTCCTCAATTTCTTCCGTTGGCGTACCACCTCTAGACTTTGGCTGTGACTTTGCCTTCAACTTAGCCTTCCGGTTCTCAGTCCCTTTCTCCACTACATCTCTCAGCTCTTCCCGTCCGGTCTTGAGTGGAGAATTCAAAACAAGCCACGTACGAAAGAAAGACTCCACTAAAAACGAGATTCGGGCAACATCTACCAGGGATGTCGTCCGCCTTGCGGTGCAAGGAAGGACACGCGAGACAAGGAAGTCCTCGTTCAAAACAAGTGCACCACGTCCAGCGCCACTGAAAGAAGCGAGTGACTGTAGAAGTGCGAGGTGTATATGCAGCTTCCGTGCTGTGTTTCCTGGTGCGAGTGTTATCCGGCGTACCCAGAGGCAGAACTGCGAAGGTGGCAGCGGAGTGATGTATGATGATAGAGAGGTGATGAGAGTATCGACGGTGTTTGTGGCTGAGGCGACGGTGAAAAGAATTGATATGAGCCGGGTTCGGATGTTAAGGGAGTCAAGACCGCCCCAGATCTCCAAGGCTTCGTCGTCGACAGTCATTGAAGAGGATCGCTCCTTAGCACTACGCTGTGAGGTACTGATTTGAGACGATATCAGTTGTGACGATGTCATTTGTGATGCTTCGTCGGTCTGCGAAGAAGAGGGCTGTTTTCGCAGCTTATGATCCGGATACGGGTCTCTCCAATTGTTGTATGCTTCGTCCTCCTCCTTGTCGTTCGCGAAGATCGTGCGTAACGCCGCATTGAAATTAGGTCGTGTTGGGTCTGCCTGTCGGAGATATTGCATCACTAGAGATCCTTGAACTTCCCGACCATCTCCGAGATCGTGTTCCAAGACTTGTATAACATGTAGTACTAATCTTCGCCATAACTGCCATTGTTGGGAGCTAGGACCAGAAGCACATGACGTCCAGAGCCCGAATCCCAAGAGGTTCCAGATAGAATCAACACGGGCAAACACGCTTTCACCTCCACCCAGGGGTCCTAGTCTCTCATGATCGTCGTCTTCGGCATCTGAGCCTTCGAGAATAACGGCGTCACGTCTAGCCCGTGAACCTCGCGAACCTGCCGCTGCACGTCCTTTTGACATTGATGACCATGCCTCAAACCACTTGTCCTGCCCTCTGTTGACCAGATCCGCCAATAATTGTTCTGCAGCCAAGCGCACACTCAGTTCTGCCTCGTTTGTCTCGGCATCCGCTCGAGGATGTACGAGAAGTGTGGCAATTAAACCGAGAGGTACAGGCGGGAGGATGAAAGAACCATAAGACGTTGTATTGAGTAAGAATGAAATGCCTTTGGAGTATTGTTCTTCCTCGAAACAGACTTCCGCTAGGTGAGCGAGCTTGGGTGGAAGAAGAGTTGCTGGTTTCGACTGTGCACTGACCTGGGGAAGAGTCGCGGGCGTGACTTCTCGCGGCATAACGAGATACAGTGGTGATCAATGAACGGGGCCGGCTGTAGCAATGCTGATTTACTGGCTCGTGCAGTGGTTGTTGGCCGAGGGTCCAATTGCCGTATCCAGTCTGTTGCGTGCCTGTAATGTCGACAAGGGTGTTTTCGAAACGTCGATAATGCTCAAAGTTAGCAATGTTTTCCATTCAGCTATACAATATATTTTGACAGAATGACGAGCTTCTTCTCGGTATATTTTTCTTATCGATAATCGCCACGACAAGCTCGTAGAAAAAGTCTAAAGTCTTGCAGCAAGCGGCGGGAAGCATTAAGGAAAACCTCAAGGATTCCTATAACAATCCGATCCACCATAATGGCACGGACACCAGCAGATCAATCCAAGAAGTCCTCAAAGAGGAAGAGGTCCTCCATTGCGCCCTCAGCCGAGGCGCCTGCCGCTGCGCCTGTGGTCGAGGAGAAGGTTGTCGCAGAGGTTGAGACTGAGCCTAAAGTCACCAAGAAGGCCAGGAAGGAGGTTGATGCGTCTGCTGATGAGGGGGATGTGGATGACGCCAACTCTGTCGAGCCCGCTGATCCTGAGACTATTACCGAGGAGACCTCTGACTTGCCCGAAGCCGGTGCCCTCCTCCCTCCTCCCCAGAACGACAATCCTACCCTCTTCTCCGAGCTCAACCTTTCCCAGAATACCCTCAAGGCACTCACGGAAGACATGAAATTCGAGAAGATGACCGATGTCCAGGCTCGTACCATTCCACCTCTCATGGCTGGTCGCGACGTCTTGGGTGCCGCGAAGACTGGTTCCGGAAAGACCTTGGCGTTCTTGATCCCTGCTATCGAGATGCTCTACGCACTCAAGTTCAAGCCAAGAAACGGTACTGGTGTTATTGTCGTTACCCCCACCCGTGAGCTCGCTCTCCAGATTTTCGGAGTCGCAAAGGACCTCCTTGCGCACCACCACCAGACATTCGGTATCTGTATCGGAGGAGCCAACCGTCGTGCCGAGGCTGAGAAGTTGCAGAAGGGTGTCAACCTCCTCATCGCTACCCCCGGTCGTCTCCTCGATCACCTTCAGAACACCAAGGGTTTCGTTTACCGTAACTTGAAGGCCCTCGTTATCGATGAGGCTGACCGTATCTTGGAGATCGGTTTCGAGGACGAAATGAAGCAGATCATCAA